GTAAAATACTTAGCCAAAAGTTTCAATTGAATACCAAAATTAGCTAAGTATTTTATCTAAGCCAAATACTAAGTAAAAGGCTTAAATTTTGTACTTAAGTATTGAATTGAATTTGGCTTTCTAACTTGTAACGGATACAGTGAGCTGTGAGAAGTTAAATTGATATCTGGGTCTGTATGTTAATTGTCATAAAAATTTATATTTCAGCAGAATAAACACTGGTTATTGGTACACTCGCTGCACGTGTTGCACAGAAATTAACCACTGGCCTGTCTCAAAGCCTCTCTAAAGTCTTGGGAGCCCCAAATTTGATGGCAAAATTTCACTTAAATTGTATCATAATGTGAAAGAGGAGGTCATTTATGATACACTTCTGCAAAGATTCCCCCCCCCCCCAAAAAAAAAAAAAAAAAAATGTGTCTGAAGACAAATATTGATGAAAGAAAACATAATTTGGGTTTTCCGATGTACGCAGAAAACCAAAATTTTGTATTCTTTAATCAATATTCGTCTTCAAAGACATTTGTTTTGAAAATCCTTGCAGAAACGCGTCTTAAATGGCAGCCTCTTTCACATCATGATACAATTTAAGTGAAATTTTGCTATCAAATTTCGGGGGCTCCCAACACTTTAGGGGCTCTAATATAAGTTTATTAAAACATTTAACATCTATTTTCTATTAATACAACCCCCACTGAGTACAGTCTCTACATGGACATTACATGTATGTTTACATTCATATGCAATACTACCCTGTAACCCCATCTACTAGATTAGGCCTACTATCCATCAACAACAATATAAGGTTATCAATTATCAAACATCAATCTTTTTTGTCCCAACGTCATCGCAAAATCAATTTGAATTTATCCTGGATCACAAGCAGCTACATGTACATTAGTAAGATTGCATGAAAGGTTTGAATATATAACCTTACCTCGTTAGATCTTTCCTCTTCTGGCACCTAGAGCTGCTACATGTACGTCAGGAAGATTGCATGATAGAGATGCTCTATCTAGGCAGGTATCTTCGCTCAATGATCCTTGAGCTCTGAAACTCAGCAATGTATCTCAATATTCTGCCTTTTTTAAAAGAAAATTAATAGGAGGAGCTTGATACCTTCAGTTTCGGTCTCAATCAAGGAAACTGGGTGTCACAGCTTTCCTTCTTTATCCGTCCTTATGTTATCCTTTGTTTTTTCTTTCAATAACCTTTTGGTCTCAGTTTCGGTCTCAATCAAGGAAACTGGGTGTCACAGCTTTCCTTCTATAACCGTCCTTCCTTCTATAACCGTCCTTATGTTATCCTTTGTTTCTTCCTTCTGTAACCTTTCCTTATGTTATCCTTTGTTTCTTCCTGCAATAACCTTTTCTTATTTTATCCTTTGTTTCTTCCTTCTATCTCCTATCCTTATGTTATTCTTTGTTTCTTCCTTCTATAACCTTTTTGTATGAATCCTTTTTTACTTCCTGATGTTTTCCTTTGTTTCTTCCTTCTATAACCTTTTTGTATGAATCCTTTTTTACTTCCTGATGTTTTTCTTTGTTTCTTCCTTCTATAACCTTTTATTATGTTATTCTTTGTTTCTTCCTTATATAACCTTTTCTTATGTTATTCTTGGTTTCTTCCTTTTATAACCTTTTCTTACGTTATTCTTGGTTTCTTCCTTCTATAAACTTTTCTAACATTGTATGTTATTCTTGGTGTCTTCCTTAAATAACCTTTCCTTATGTAATTCTTTGTTTCTCTATCTAGGCAGGTATCTTTGCTCAATGATCCTTGAGCTCTGAAACTCAGCAATGTATCTCAATATTCTGACTTTTTTTAAAAGAAAATTAATAGGAGGAGCTTGATACCATCAGTTTCGGTCTCAATCAAGGAAACTGGGTGTCACAGCTTTCCTTCTATAACTGTCCTTATGTTATCCTTTGTTTTTTCCTTTTATAACCTTTCCTTATGTTATCTGTTGTTTCTTCCTGCAATAACCTTTCCTTATGTTATCCTTTGTTTTTTCCTTCAATAACCTTTTGGTCTCAGTTTCGGTCTCAATCAAGGAAACTGGGTGTCATAGCTTTCCTTCTATAACCGTCCTTATGTTTTCCTTTTTTTCTTCCTTCTATAACCTTTTTGTATGAATCCTTTTTTACTTCCTGATGTTTTTCTTTGTTTCTTCCTTCTATAACCTTTTATTATGTTATTCTTTGTTTCTTCCTTATATAACCTTTTCTTATCTTATGTTATTCTTGGTTTCTTCCTTCTATAACCTTTTCTTACGTTATTCTTGGTTTCTTCCTTCTATAAACTTTTCTAACATTGTATGTTATTCTTGGTGTCTTCCTTAAATAACCTTTCCTTATGTAATTCTTTGTTTCTCTATCTAGGCAGGTATCTTTGCTCAATGATCCTTGAGCTCTGAAACTCAGCAATGTATCTCAATATTCTGACTTTTTTTTAAAGAAAATTAATAGGAGGAGCTTGATACCATCAGTTTCGGTCTCAATCAAGGAAACTGGGTGTCACAGCTTTCCTTCTATAACTGTCCTTATGTTATCCTTTGTTTTTTCCTTTTATAACCTTTCCTTATGTTATCCGTTGTTTCTTCCTGCAATAACCTTTCCTTATGTTATCCTTTGTTTTTTCCTTCAATAACTTTTCGGTCTCAGTTTCGGTCTCAATCAAGGAAACTGGGTGTCACAGCTTTCCTTCTATAACTGTCCTTTTGTTATCCTTTGTTTTTTCCTTTTATAACCTTTCCTTATGTTATCCGTTGTTTCTTCCTGCAATAACCTTTCCTTATGTTATCCTTTGTTTTTTCCTTCAATAACCTTTTGGTCTCAGTTTCGGTCTCAATCAAGGAAACTGGGTGTCACAGCTTTCCTTCTATAACCGTCCTTATGTTATCCTTTGTTTCTTCCTTCTATAACCGTCCTCATGTTATTCTTTGTTTTTTCCTTCAATAACTTTTCGGTCTCAGTTTCGGTCTCAATCAAGGAAACTGGGTGTCACAGCTTTCCTTCTATAACCGTCCTTATGTTATCCTTTGTTTCTTCCTTCTATAACCTTTCCTTATGTTATCCTTTGTTTCTTCCTGCAATAACCTTTCCTTATTTTATCCTTTGTTTCTTCCTTCTATATCCCATCCTTATGTTATTCTTTGTTTCGTCCTTCTATAACCTTTTTGTATGAATCCTTTTTTACTTCCTGATGTTTTCCTTTGTTTCTTCCTTCTATAACCTTTTCTTAAGTTTTTCTTGGTTTCTTCCTTCTATAAACTTTTCTTACATTGTATGTTATTCTTGGTGTCTTCCTTCAATAACCTTTCCTTATGTAATTCTTTGTTTCTTCCTTCTAATATAATCTTTTATAATGTTATTCCTCGTTTCTTACTTCTATAGCCTTCTCTTGTGTTATTCTTTGTTTCTTCCTTCTATAACCGTCTCTTAAGTTATTCTTTGTTTCTTTCTTCTAATATAATCTTTTATAATGTTATTCTTTGTTTCTTCCTTCTATAACCTTTCCTTATGAATCCTTTTTTACTTCCTTCTATAACCTTTCCTTATGTTATTCTTTGTTTCTTCCTTCTATAACCTATCCTTATGTTATTCTCTGTTTCTTTCTTCAATAACCTTTCATTATGATTCTTCCTTCTGTAACCCTTTCTTACGAATCCTTTTTTACTTCCTTCTATAACCTTTTCTTATGTTATTCTTTGTTACTTCCTTTTATCACTTTTTCTTATGTAACTCTTTGTTTCTTCCTTCAATAACCTTTCCTTATGTTATGGATCGGTCTAGGAAGTGAGTGAGAACGGGGTCTTACTGAGAGGATTGCTTTTCTTTTCTTTTGTTATCTGTGAACTGAAAATACAAATGCAAAACTTATACAAATTCTGGAGAAAGAATTTGCTTGGAATCATTCGTTGTGAGCTATAAAAAAATCAAGTAACTTTCAAAAGTAGTATAATTCAAAATCAAAATACATGTATCACTTTTAGCAGAACTTTAATATTTATTTTTATTTTAATGTTGTTGAATGTGTATTTTAAACTTTAATGTGAGCCCTTTCTGCTTGGAAAACATCTAAAGATGTACAGCAGGTATAGTTATTTATAAGTATGTTGTATGGCAAGTTTAAATTGTAATCAATGATATTTGTGTTTTTCTGTGTTTATTATCAGCCCATCTTTACAAGAAAGGACACTCGCCAAGCATTCCAATGGAGAATACGTAATCTTCCATATCCTATTGAGACATACAGCTTGTCAGTCGACCAAGACACCAGATGCTGCATTATCAGGACATCAAACAAAAAGTAAGCCCAACATTCTGAATTCTTTATGCCTTTGTCAACAAAGGTGGTGCCTGGAGGCATGTTTTGGGGTTGTCCATCCCACTTTTTGTTACTGTGATAACTTGAGAACTATTGAACAGATTTTTGTTGTTAAAGAGCTGATATTTTGAAATCATCTAATCTATTTATGACATCAGACTGTACCAACGAAAAAAATGTAATTACTCCAAAATAAGACCAGTTATTTTAGGCAGCGGCAAAATATAAAAAGAAAGCTAAATATCTAGTGAAAATATCAAGATTTTTTTTTTAGTAGAAGTTAGCCTTTTTGTCAAATAAGTACTCTTTACCAAATAATTTTGCTTCAAAAAATTATCATGAAAATATATTTTCAGTCTCTACACTAAAAAGATGATAGGCAAAATCCACCTCATACCAAACACTTTGCTTAATGTCCTTTAATTGGTATATTTCAAGCTGTAGTAGAGATCTATGCTGTCTTCAGTCACACAATTAAACCTTATGAGATACTTCCTGGTAATGCTTTTAACTTAGGTAAGCTTTTTTGTTCATGTACATTCCCTTAAAGCCCCTCTAAATTGTTGGGAGCCCCAGATTCGCCCAAAATTTGATGGCAAAATTTCACTTGAATTGTATCATAATGTGAAAGAGGATGTCATTTAAGATACACTTGTGCAAAAAAAAACCAAAAAAAAAAATTGTTTGAAGACAAATATTGATAGAAGAATAAATAATTTGGGTTTTCTTTTGAACGCAGAAAACCTTATTTTTTTCTATTCTTTCATCAATATTCAACTTCAAACACATTAGTTTTGAAAATCCTTGCAGAATTGTGTCTAAGCCTTAAAAATGACATCCTCTTTCACATAGTGATACAATTTTCCATCACATTTTTGGGCTCCCAACTCTTTAGAAGGGCTTTAAGGCTACCAAGATAAATTTTGTCTTCAAAATAATACATGAGGTAACAGTGATTCTTGTCATTTCCTTCTGTACTTGCAGGTACTACAAGAAATTCTCCATACCAGACATGGATAGAGCTGGTCTTCCTCTTCAGCAATCAGACTTCAGTATGGCTCATAGTAATAACACCCTCATTATCAATGTAAGTAATGTTAGTGCTCTATCACGAATCAGGGGCAGAGCCAGATTGTTAGGGTGGAGGGGGGGGGGGGGGGGGGGGGGGGGGGGGGGGGGGGGGGACTCTTCAACAATCAGACTTCAGTATGGTTCACAGTAATAACACCCTCATTATCAATGTAAGTAACGTTGGTGCTCTATCACAAATCAGGGGCAGAGCACAGATTGTAACGGAGGAGGGGGGGGGGGGGTTGAGGGGGACCTCTTCAGCAATCAGACTTCAGTATGGCTCAGAGTAATAACACTCTTATTTTCAATGTAATACCCCCTTCACATACACGGATTTTCCTACGAGTCCTTACGGATCGCCAACTCGTAGTAAATCGCAAGCATCTGTAAATAACTCAATGGTATCCGTAAATAGCTTGTCACAACTCGTAGACACTCGTAAGGATCCGTGAAGGAAGAGGCAAATTTGTTGACATGTCAAAAATGATTGTCCACAGATTTATTTTTCCATAAATAACTCATAAATAGCCCATAACAATCCGTAAGTATCCTAAACGGCTCGCATCAACACGTAACCATTCATAAACCCCTCACAAAAATCTGTGAATGACTCGTAAAAATGTTTGTAACAATTTTTTTACGGTTAGTTTACGATTCGTTAAATGATTGTTTACGGATTATTACGAATGCTTATGCGTTGTTTACAATTTAGTTCGGGGTCGTAATACGATGGCTTTACGGATTGTTACAAGCTATTACGAGCACGTCTAGTTGAAAGTGTTTTAAGAATAGATACATATACTTTACGTATTCTTGCGTATCGTTTACGATTTTGGGAAAAGCTGCAAAATCCTAAGGACTCGTAAATACTCGTAACTATTAGTACCAACACGTAAACAGGTCGAAAAATGCCCGTAAGTTGCTCGTAATTATCCGTGACAACTCGTAACAACTCGTGGAATTTTGCCGCAAATACATTGTAATAATTCGTAATAATCCGTCATAAACCGTAAATAGCTGGTAATGACCCGTAACAACTCTTAAATCGGTCGTAAAAGTGGCCAAATTGTAAGGATCCGTGAATTTGTGTATCCGTGTATGTGAAGGTGTATTAGTAGAGTTATACAGTACTAGAAACACATAGTGGTGTGAACATTTATACAATTGTGAAATCTACATTTTTACTTGATTTAGCTATATGTAGCATGTACATTTACATGTAGTGTCATCCAAAACTACATAACATATTTCATATACGTTCTACTCAATGTTGAGCAGGTCATGTAGCCAGGCTTTCAATTTCCATTCAGGGTTTGCAGGGCGATAACTATCTGTACCCCTTAATTTCAAGAGGGTTCATCTGAACAGTTTCAACATGAATAGTATAGTGTGAATCGAAATGCAATTATCAGATTGTTTCATTTTGTTCTGTTTATACAGTACAAGAAGCCAGCCGAGATTCTAGCGTTAGAGAAACAAGTTATTGCAGAGATACAGAAGACGAGGGAAAGCAAGGAAGGAGACATGGAGTGTGCACCAAGCTAACGTTCTCCCATTCACTCAGTGTGACGGTCAGCTCTGGACATTCAGTAATGGATGTAAACTTAGTTAATTTGGTTTGTTTGTTTGTTTTTTTCCAACTGCTAAGAAAGTGTGTGCGAGGAACTAGGGGACCGGTGGCCTTAAGTCCTCTCTGAGGGACTTGGTTATGAAGGTTATACCAAAGGGCACAAGCGCATCAACTTGGTTTCAAAATCGGGAGCTCCTAGTTATGAGACTACTGCTTTACCACTAAGCCATCACTCCTCCTCTATTAAAACTAAGTGTGCCTTAAGCTGACATGGTATATTTTAGTGATATGTAACTCTCCAACTGTCATGAATTCTGAGAACTATGGGATTTAACAATGAGTCCTTGTAGGAAAGAATAGTTTGAGACAGCTTGTTATAGGATGTGAGCCTCTTTTGAGATGCTCAAGATCAGTGAAGAAAAAAAGTACATGTACATGTAATTCTTGACAAAGTGTGCATACAGCAAATATAACAAGTACTGTCCTTATGCCCTTTCAACAAATTAATCTATATAACTCTCCAGTCATTGCAGAGTCTTGAATAAACTGCTCTTGATCAACTACTCTCTGTACTTATCCGCTCCGAGCTGAGTCTGATCTGGAATTGATTCCAACGTTGAGTATAATAGAAAATCCTCCAATTTCGATGTTATGCTCTTTTTTCCAGAGGTTTCTGCTAACCAGTGTATTATTGAATTAGATATGAATTGAATGAGTATGTGTGTGATTTACTTTTTTTCTGAAGCCCTTGTGACTTGTTTATGTGCTCCACTTTTCATTCATAAGGCTCAATATCAAAATATGTCTTTATATTCAAGATGATGATTGTATCAATTTGATACACCTAGGAGAAGTGTCAAAAGCTATTTGTAAACAAATGTACTTTTCAGCAGATTTGGGGGAGGGGGTTAACCCCCTACCTACCCCCCTCCCTCCTCCCCCCCCCCCCCCCAAAAAAAAAACCCCTCTAGAACTGCTACTGCTCCACGACTTCTTTTACATAGAGATTTAAGCAGTTGTGCTTTAGTTACTCTACCAGAAAGTTTATAAAATACTGACCAACGTAAATTGGGAACTTTGTGTAGTATTTATCGAAAGCTCAGAGTGTCGTGATTATGAATACATCATGTATTGCATTTTATTCACCGATGTTGTACATATTTTGTTGATTTGTAAAATAAAATGTTTCCCTATTCACAATGAAATTTGCACCTTTCTTTTTCAAAGTTCTATGCGTATACAGTGGAACCTGCTTACAATGACGTCCTTGGGACCATGGAAATTACTTTGTTATATCATGGTAAAAAATATTTTAAAAAATAATAATGATACCTTGTTATAACAGATACCTCTTGTCAGTGGCGGCGTAGGATTTTTTCAAGGGGAATGTTTTAAAATTGGATTGCATCATTAATGCGATTTTTTTTCTTCTCCCCAATCCGTGAGAAAATATTTGGCAGCAAATCAGCCAGCCGGTGAACAAAGGGGGCAGGGGGGTAATTACCATTAAATTTTGTCTGCGTACGCGCCTGCCTCTTGATTCAGAGCTCTTTATAATGAGTTTCCACTGACTGTATATACAGATGATTGATGTGTTCTTCATCCTTTCTGGATTACTTTGTGTGAACTCCCAAAAACCTGATAGCCCGAATTCACAAAGGAGGTTTGTCGACAAATCTCCTTTTGTTATTTACAAACCAGGTTTGTAAAAAACGTGTCAAAACGCTTCATATGACGTACATAAACCTCGGTTTGTCGACAAACCTCCTTTGTGAATTTGGGCCATAGAGTTCTCTCAAAACGACTAACTAAAGCAGAGATGGATCCAATATTTTATGATAATGGAGGGGCTAATGTACATTTAAAATTCTCTGACCAGCAAATACAAATTCTTTAACCCCCCCCCCCCCCTCAGGGTCCCCTGGTGTGCATACGTGTGTTGTGCTTTCAGAGAATGCGATTTTTCAACAGGTTTTTATCAGTTTGTTGTTGTTTTGTTGAGGGGTGGTTCTTTTTTTGTTTGCTGTTGTTATTGTTTTGTTTTCTTTTGTTTACCTATTAATTTTCTGGCTCAGAGAACTTATCTACAACATAACATTCAAAATTACTGAGACCCCTATCTCGAAATGCATATGAATTTCTAAAATCGAGATTAGCTTTATCAAAATCTGTATTTAAACGGTCTTTAAATTGTCAACATGTCTTCATGATTCCCGCTATTTTCAATGCTACATACATTTACAGCGTCTTGCCACTTTAAAAAAAATCCCTCAAAAACTTGAAAGCTCTTCACTCGGTAATATAACGTAATTCACGAGTCGACAAATCGTGTTACTCTTCAAATTCTGTGTAACTCTACGGTACTCTTTGTTTTCAGCAACTTTAAATACTCCATAATAAATGTATTACTCATATTATTCACACTTCTGGTTAGTTTACACCACACGAATAATAAACCGCAATAACGTTTATTTATTAATCTGTCATCAAAGTTTGTTTTTATTCAATGTGAATAATACATTTTTCATTAAAAAACAAATTTACTTTATAATTCATAATCATATCACTCAATGTATGTATTAGAATTTTGTTTGGATAAATGCAAAGTTTTAAGAAAAAAAGAGAGAAAATAAATGATGGGCACTGTAGTGCTATCCATCTAAATAATTTTGATTTAATTTCCAAATGCACAATGGCGTTTATTGTTTTATATGACTCATAGTACATGAAATACATTGATATTTTAATTCAATTTCTATAACCTTGGTGAAAGTGACCATAAATATATTTCAGTTATCTTGTATGATACAGCAAGAAGCGCTATCATAGCCATCACAGTAATTCATTACAAAAACTAGTGCATTAATTGCTTCCTAGCAGGACCTATTTTCAAAAGAACCGAATTACGAACTGAACAACATGTAAACCCATACGACGATTTCATTGACATATTTGTCTTGTTGCATAGTGTAAGCAGAAAGGCTCTTTGTCATTATTCTTATTATTTTGTGTGTTTCCTTTCGGTTATTTTTTGTCTAACCTTGTCAGCAAATGTTGCCTGACCGCCCCCCCCCCCTCCACACACACACACACACACACACACACACACTTTCCCGCTGAATTTAGCATGCAGTAGGAAATTCTCAAATGAAAAAAAATGACCCTTTCGAACTGGTTTGTGATACAGTTAAAACAGCAAAGTATTGTTATTTGAAGATTGTTGTTTGGTTGGGTTTTTTTTCCATACAGCCAAGTGATATGAAGCTTTTTCATACATTTTGCTGTAATCAGACGAGTATAATTGTAACAATTTAATAATTCTTGATAGCTGTAAAATGCTATTCTTACAATTAAAATACATCACAGCTAATATAAAAATGTTTCAAATAGATACAACAAAATATAGTAAAACACTGTGAACTCTACATTTTTAGCAATATATTGGGCATACACATTTCAACAGAGTAATACTACGTTATCTGAATTAATAAATGTCTGCAATTGGTTTGCTGCCAATAAATCAACAATCAACTTCAAGAAATGTATAACTACATGATATTTTACAGCTCTCCAAAATCTCCCGACTTTAGCTCTGTACAAATCAAATTAAATAATAATATTCTTCCCAGAGTGAAGTCTAAAAAAGCTTTGTGCACTGCAAAATAAGGTTTTACGTATCATATCAGTTTCTCACCCACGATCCAGTAGCGATCCCTTATTTAATTCTCTTAAAGGGATAGTTGAGTTCTGTTTTCAGACCGCAAATGCCTTCAAAGTGCATGGTTATTGCTCTTATTCTTATTTATGACATTTCTAGTGCCCTTTTAGTACCTAAAATTGCTATGAAGGTAATTTTAGACCGCAAAATGTGTGAAATTTAGCCAAAACGATCATACGGTGACCGTTAATTAATTATTTAATTAAAAATAACAATACATGGGCCGGCTGGTTGTGCGTAATATAACCAACACGAAAATACCAACAAAAAAGCCATTATCGACATTGGCTGGAATACGACGTAAAAGGCGCTATTTCTTTTTTGTGATGGTACACAATATTATAAATCTTTATATTTATGGATATTTCAGCCGTCTCTGAACCGATTTTGATCAAACAAAGATGATTTAGTCATTTAAATTGTTCTTTCAGCTTTGACACTCAGTTTTTCATTATCTCACAACAAAAATATATTGTGTAGCGCCCTCTGCAACAGAACTCAACTATCCCTTTTAGGTTGCTTCGTATTGAAGATGTAAATAATCTTCAACAATGTACATTACCGTAATGTAGTGACTATAAAAATGTCTGAACTCACAACTACCTTCTAAGTTCAGCAGCCAATTCCAACGTATTTCAGATATCCATAAGTAGGCCTATGTTACCAGATCATCTGAAGAAATCTATATTCCCAAACACCATGAACGTATTTTTCAAAATAATATCCGTTTTACCGGTCCTAAGCTTTGGAACAATTTACCTGAACCTCTGAGAAAATCTGTATCTCTGTTAAGCTTCCCTTGGAAGCTTAAAAAATGTATGACTTTAAATTACAGTGCATAAGTTTCAGCCCTATACCCGATTAGGTTGACGAGTGTGTGTGTATATTGTATAAGGTGGTGTGTATGGATGTGTAAATGTGTTGTATGCATGTGTATAATTATGTAAACATACATACATATTTATTTATTTCACTTCTTTATTCAGGGTAGTCTGTTCAGTATACAAAAATAAAAACCTGGTCTTCCACATATGTATTTATATATATCGTCCTTGTTTTCACGAAGTGACGGTAGTGAGGAAAATCGTAACGCAAAGTGAATGCAATTTTTTTTCACTACCATCACTTCGTGAAAACAGCGACGATATATATGTATAAGTTGTATAAATGTATGTACTTGTAATGATGTGTATATATATATATATATATATATATATATATGTGCATATATCCTGTTAATCTCAAAAACATTTGTTAATATTAACATATCAAAATATTCTGTTAAACTATCAAAATATTATTCTTCAATAAGAATGTCTTTTATTACTGTTATATCAATACCCATCTTATAAAAATGCTTTATAAAAATGCAGTCTAATATTTCTATATTCCACATTATATAAAAATACAGTCTAATATTTCCACATTATACCCTTCACCTATATCTTGCCATTATGTTGTTTATGCATGCCATACACTCCATTGCTACTATGTTGCATTCCTCTTCTTTTCTCTTTCTCCAAGCTCTCTATCCTCTTCTCCTCCTTGCCTACCTCTTTCTTCCTTTCTTCCTTTCTTCTATTTATAATGTACTGTGTATTCGGGCGTACCCATTACAAGCTATGCTTATCGAGATTTGCGCCTTCTTCCTTTTAATACAAGTTCTTTAATTAATATAATATATTTATGTCCCTACGTATAAATGGTATTGTTTGAACAAATGTCAAATATGTTGTCAAATTGAATGGAAGAAAATAAATGTTCATTTGAATTGAATTGAATTGAATAGTACACAAAATCGCACAAACTATCATTTCATGCATTATTTGAACACATATTTTCAAATCAATACCGTAAGCCTAACTAGGGAATAGTTCTCCCAACAGCAACCTTTAATATACATGCAACTTTCCTCATAACTACATTTAAAGCAATGGTACTGCATGGTATATCCCTGGGTCAATGTCCTTTGCAGTATTAACAATTCCATGTAATGGTTGCAGTCATCACAGTGTTTAACTTTACTTGATAAATAGCAAGAGATCACAAATCCCAACAGCTACATTAAAGGATAACTTTACCATCTGTTTTCAAAAGCCTGTGTTGTTTTCATTACCTGTCGCCATTTAAACAAAAAAAAATCATGACCTTTTGCCATGTTAGGAAATGTATGCCCTTGCCAACTTATTTATAGGAAGATGCAATTTATTCATAGATTTTCATGATCACAGGTATCATACTGCATTTTCTTAATCATTCAAACTCGTCATTTCTCGAAATGTCAATTCTAAACATTACTCTGAAAACATCCACCACCTTCATGCTATTCTGCTAACGATGGTGATGGTTATAGAGACAAGCGAGGAGAAGGAGGAAGAGCAGGCGGAGGAGAGGAAGAAAGAGGAGGAGGAGGGCGTTCATCCTGTTTACTCTCCTATAGCGGGGGCGTTATCCGTGAACCAATCTGCCACGGTATCTGCACTGGTACTCATCCACGCGATGTTAGTATTTGTCACCTCTATCGCCTGCTTGTATGCACGTGTTGCAGACCCCAAATTGTTTCCTTCCCCAAAAGCAATAAGCTATTAGATGATTCAGAAAAGAAAGTGAGAGAAAATATGACTAACTAGATGAAACTTGACTGCACGCAGGCGAAAAAGCTCCGCCATAGAGTGATTTTAAAAACCAAAACTAAAGCAATTTTTATATTCAAGTTTGATTTTAATCCATTAACAGGTTCGCAAAATATCGTGATTACAAGCTATTTTTCATGTACCGGTACATGGCTCTGCAAGATATATACATGTCTTGAGTTTGATAGTAATCCATCTGTTGGTTCCAATTATATTGCATTCACAAGCTTTTTATATGCATACATAATGAGCCCCATGACCTTTGACCTCATGACCCTAAAATCTAATTGGTTCATTGGCTCTCAAAGATACATAAACATGTCTTGAGTTTGATGGTAATCTGTCTATCGGTTCTATGCATGCATGCATGAAGTCTTTCGTCTACGGCTGATCGTCAACGAAATGGAGTTAAGTCTGTTGTCAACTCTGTTTGTTGCTACAGCAGGCACCCAGTGAAAACAAATTCATTTGATGAAATTATGGAAATGCAAGCACTACTTTAAACAAACAGAACTTTGTCATTCCTTGCTAGTTTTTCCAGATTGAGGTGCAATATAAAAGGGCAAAAACTCAACTTTCTAGAAATGTGATTTTCTCCTTGAAATTCAGATACCATCCGCCAAATGACTTTTTGGTTTCCTCTCTTCAAATTCATTTTAATCACTCATGCGTGGAAAATGCATCATGAGTTGCATCAAATGAAAGAAGAGGATCTAAGCTTTCAAAATATGTGTCATTTATTAATTATAAATGTGACTATGTTATGATAAAACATCGATAATTCTCGGTTTCGTTTTTTCTGGGACGCACTGTATAGGAAATGGCGAGAATTTTATATTCTGGAAATTTTGATGCAGTGGATTTCAAACCGGCACCCATGTCAAGCATTCAAAGACATTGTTTTTATACGTACCTCTTCTAATTCAAGGTCGGTGTTAAAATCTTCTGTTACGTCTGAAATGATATCACTTAACAGATTCGCACTTCCACCGTAACTGTAATGAGCAGGTTTGAAGAAAAAAATGGAACAAAAATTGTGAATAAAAATTGAAAAATTTATCTATCCTATTGTAATACACAAATTTACATAACGTACCAAGAGAGTTCTTTTTTAATCCTCAAGTTTTTGTATTTTTATTTCTCAAAATCCTCGTCTCGTTGTCATATACAATTAATGATAACCAAAACAGTTTCCACATGTACATGTTCTTAACTTTTTTCAAACATTTGAGATTTTAATGATAAACTTTATGATAGACACAATTACATGTCGTGAATTACATTAGGATCACAATGAACTAATTATCGCACTGTAAAAAAAAAGGAATTTTCATATTTTCGTAATGCTCCTTTGATCAAACACATATTAGTTTCATTCCTTTAGTGACATTTCTGGACATTTTCCCCAAAGTTGTATTTTTTCTGATTTTTTTCTTCTTCAAAACCAGCTTGATGCCAAGGTGGACATTCTCTTAAAAGACAAAATGGGCGACCTTTTTTTCTCTCGAGAAAGACAGTGCAAAATAGGCAGTTAAGAATCAGGCAAAATGCATGATTTTCTTACTATTCTTTGTAGGTTTCCCAATTAGATCGCAGATAATTCCAGGCATTAGAACGTCCGATGTAGTTCTGTGAAACGTAGACGATGACGGTATTTGAATCTTGGAAACGAACAGAATTAACATCAAGGGAGTAGTCTAGATACCTACAGACACCATAGAAATAATAAAATGAAAATGAGAAAGGAAGTTCTGTAAATAAATGTCAACAACTCAAATAACAATGTTGCCCATGAAGTTGGAATAAACATTTCTTACATCTTTCCATGAAATGATCATGACAATATTCTTGATAGATATACTGGTAGATTAAGGGCGCGTTCATGCTTGATTTTGACAGCCAGAATCAGGCATCTGTTACGCGTTTAGTTTAAAACACGCTTGCGTTCATGCTCACTTTTGTAGAATCACCGAAAAACGGCGATCACGATCGCCGATCGTAAACTCACAAAAAGATGCGTTTACAATTTGTAAACGCGTTTAAATGGGGTCAACGCACTGACCTCTAGTGGGTCTACGTAGCATGCGCACACAGGTTTGCGAATCCAGCTGAAGGCCACCCAAGGAGAATTGCCTGGAGAAGTAAGCATGAACACTACATCATGGAACTGCGATCACGATGAGCGTTTACGATGAGCGTTTCAGATCGCTCATTCTGCCTTCAAAATTTAAGCATGAACGCAGCCTAAATCTTCTCAGAACTTTACTGACCAATGGCTACCCTGGGTATTCATAATTATTATCATAATCATAATATCAATCCAGGAAATTACAAATCTTTCATTATTACAAACTGGTGTTATTTGCTGCTGTTTTACCTGCTAAGTATCCACGGTGCTTGAGAGTAGGAAAGAGCCAAAATCCAATTTGATTTCTCTGCGGCATCTAGAGTTTCTTTGTATTTCCTCCAGCCAAACTCCCACTCCTCCTGCCCGCCTTCCTGGATGCCATAGCAATATACCGTCGTCTTCAGGTTAGGAGAGATACTGTAGTAGTACAGGAAATATGATAAAAAATGGCGGATTCACGCGTTATAGAGGGCATGCACCCCCTCAAAAAAAATAATAATAAAACATAAATAAATAAATAAATAAATAATAAGAATACAAAAAAATTGTAAATCTATTCCATACTATCTAGATTAGCGTTTTTCAACAGGGGTGCCGCTAGACATCTGTAGGGGTGCCGTGAATTTGTTTAAGCAGTATATATATATATATATAAAAAATCATTATTATGAAATGACGTCAATTTCGTGAAAATCAAATATTAGAAACCGCTAAGTATGTAACTTCATGAGGAAGTAGCTAATGAATTTTAGCTAAGTGCCTGAATGCTTCCATTTTTTAGCAACGAGGTGCCCGAATAGCTTCTATTTGACTGCGAGGTGCCCGAATATGTATTGTATCTTTTATATCAAAATTACATTTTTACCATGCTCGTTCGCTAAGCATCATACATATCCTTTCAAAATATGCAAAGTGCTCAGTGACATTTTACACATTATAAACATGATTTTATAAAGGCAATGGTAACAAAAAATGAAAACTGTTCTACCAGTAAATTTCGCTAAAGTCCTTGCGATCTTGTTAAATTTACATTATCTGTGTATTAAAAAACCTTCAAAAACTATCATGAAAAGTAAATGAAAATCAATAACTTCGGACCATCACGAAAAAATAATTAGTAAATTAAAATGATGAATAGTTGAATTTTAGCTTACGGGTTGATTTCATAATCTGGTGAGTTGTCAATGTTGTTAGCATCGTTCGTCATGTACTCTTGGAAGAGAGTAGAAGCCTGGTCTAGACAATCTTGGTTGCGGTATTTACACGACGTGCCAATGGCGTTGACTCGGTTAAATCTAGTGTGAGGAAATGAATATTTAAAAGGCAAAATGTGTTGAAAGAATAGACGTGCAAGTATGTCGGGCAGAACATTATTTAAAGTAGGAAGTAAAGTTGGAATGATCCCGATGCATCAATGACTGCAAGCTCTGTTAAAAAAAACTATCATTATTAAAAAAAGTTCTTTCAAGTTTTGAGTTTTCTAGTCTTATTTGTTCCACATTTTACCGAAAATATAGACATAAATATAAAATAATAATTATACAATACATGTAGTATATATGAGCACGTCTCAATTATTATGATAGATTAGGTAGAATGTGAGGAGCCTATTAAAAAGCAATGCTTGTATATTATAGGTTCCTGGTACAATAAATATTGTAGATGTAAACTAGATGGAACTTCAAATGCGTGCAGTCGAAAATGATGCCTCCGCCAAAGAGCAATTATTCAAATTCAAGTTTAATAGTAATCCATTAAGAGGTTCTCAGAATATCATATACATGTATGACCCTTTAATCTTTAACCTCATGACCCTAAAATCTAAACAGTTCATTGGCTTTGCAAGATACATACATGTCTTGAGTGTGATGATAATCTGTCCATCGCTTCTAATGTGATCACCAGCTATTTATGCATACATAATGAGCCATGTGACCTTTGACCTCATGACCCCAAAATTTAATCAATTCATTGGCTCTGCAAGATACATATATATATGACCTAAGTTTGGCAGGAATCCATCAATCGGTTCTTGAAATTACGCGATCACAAGTTATTTTTGCATACATAATGAGCACTGTGACCTTTGACCTTTGACCTCGTGACCCCAAAATCTAATCAATTTATCGGCTCTGCAAGATACATACATGACCTAAGTTTGGCAGGAATCCATCAATCGGTTCTTGAGATAATGCGATCACAAGAACGAGACGTACGGACGAACGTACGGACGGACGGACAACCCGAAAACATAATGCCTCCGGCTACTTCGTAACGGAGGCATAAAAACGTAGCAGTAGAGAAAGATGCAATTTAGAGGGGGATTTAAAACACAATGGAATAAGGACATTTGTATACAAAATAATGCATTAATTAGTACCAATATCCAGAGTCACCTAGTTAAAATGGGTAGTCACCCAAGCAATTTAGTTAGCATAGCACAAAGTAATTAGTTTTTATACATTTGAAAAAACAGGAACATGTATCATTAGTTAACAATTAAGATTAGCATTGGAGAATAGAAGACTGTGGAGGGCAAACAAATTATATCAGATGTAAGAATTTAAAAGAAAAACTCAAAATTTGCGTTTGAAGCAATTCAACGGTTGTGCTTCCTGTAACCTCCAAATCCAAACCATTCCAAAAAGAGGGATTGGTATACATGATTGTTTTGGGGGCAAAAAATTGTCCGGATTCATGGGGGTAGATGGAAATTGTCACTTTGTTTTGTGGGATAGGAGTGAATAACGCTGTTTAAGCAAACATGGGAGGGAATATATTGGGCAAATCATCCTTACTTAGCTATTACATGAAATATCAGAGGAAATAATTGTATAAAGTAGATACTTTCAGAAAACGATTTGCAAGAAATAAAACGTTAGCGTGTGCCTGGAAATCTGCCAAATTTATTATTCTTATTGCTCTTTTGGGGATCTTGTATATCAAATTCTTTCATTACAATCAGTAGAAGAATGACCTGTTTTTAATTCACTTCTGTGCTGCAAGCGCAGCTTTGTCAGACCTAGCTATGCCGTAATTTTTCTACTAATTGTGAAGAATTTTTTCTTTTTTTCTTCAGGGATTTTAGGAAGTATCATCAATATGGAATATTTTGTATGAAAATTTGACCTCGTTGCATGGTTTGAAACAACAAATCTCCAAATCGTTTTTGAAATGCGAAATTCATCTTTTGACAAAATAATGTATTACTATTTCAGAAGACGCCGAATGTTGTGCGCATCTCTCGACAACCCAATCAACATGACCATTATGATGAAAATGACAAATGATGGCCGGTAAGAGACAGAAGGGCGCTATATAACTCTGGTTCAAAGTGATATGAGTTAACGCTCTTCTTGCTCTCATGAGGCGCTTATTGACTTACTGCGTTAGGTGAGGGTCATTTACTGGGTCATCGTTCCATTGTAGATCGTTGTATAATGTCTGGACTTTCTTCTGCATGTATCTCTGTTAAAATATTAATGTATTAAGAGAGAAATAAACAACAACGTTATAACTTTAATCAATACCATCCACTATATAATCATCATTCTTTCATAGTACAGTCTATGCACTACCGTATTCAAAGGAGGGGCCCAGGGGGTAGTTTACCCTTCCTGACAGATTTCTGACTAGGATAAATAAATTATGCAACTTTGGTTTACCCCATATATAGTTAGCAGGTTAGGAAAACATATTAAGATGAAGGAAAAAAAAAGCAAAAATGAAGTCAAAATCAAAATAATTAATTTTGGGTGACCCCCCTCCCCCCCCCCCCCACCTCTCTCTCTCTCTCTCTCTCTCTTCCCTCATTTTCCCTCTCACTCTCGCCTAGCAATCCAAGACCCTCAAAAAGCGACTTCTTGACTGAGGGTATAGGGATAACATTAAGTTGAGATGTATAGCCCCTCCTGCGGACACGATCTGAGTACGCCATGCACTGAGTCTATGGTGTTATCATTGCAGTCACCTATTTCCATTATACTGTTACTATATACTGTCATTTCAGCCTGTATACAAGGAGGTAAACACTGGCTTCAAACTATACTGGAATCGCCATTAACATTGGTATATAATATGTGATATATAAACCATTCTTGATATTTTCAAGAAAAGTGAAATACATGCAGGGTAAACATTGTCAGATAGGATTAATAAATCCAACATGTTCTGAAAAAAGAACAGGGAAATGTCATTTGAATTTGTTTTTAGTAGTAACATAAAAATGACGGTTAGAAAGTTGCAATTCTACCAGTTGCACTGCTTGTAAAGGTAGATGGCTAGTTTGCCTGAATTTTTTTATTTACATTGTAATATACATGGTTATCAGTCGGGGGAAATAAACATCCAACAAAATGGGGCAATAAATGGGATTCTTATAGACCGCTGCCCCTGATTGGATCAAAATTGACATACAGGTGCTGTATTACGCTACCCATTAGTTAAAATCTTTTCTATCATTTGCAAAATCAGAGGCTCCTCCCCTTTTCAGTCCATCCTGCATCGGCCCCTGTATATACCTCTAGCGAGCCGTAACCATAATGCCTGCTGAACATATCAGTGATGTACGAGATAACACTAAGGAGTGCCTCCCAAGGTACATAGTCCTCCTCGTTCTCCATGTAGAGGGTCAGATCAAGAGCGATGGGGTAATCCACACGCCCCACCCGGGCCAATGTGAGGGCATCACTGATGAGCTGGGCGCGGTTTTCGGTAGGGAATACCTTGGTAGAAAGAGAAGAAATGTTTAAAGAGTGTTTGACAATGGAGCTGGGCGAATTATCACAACTAAAGCAAGCTAAGGTAGATCTGGATTTCATTTTTCATCGAATAATAATGATAATTTAATCAGTTAGTCTGTACTATAATACAATCAAAGCATAAATCGAGCAGAGAGATAGAGAGAGAAAGCAACAGATAGAGAGACTTATAGAGGCGGTTAATTTTTTACCTTCAACCACCTTCAACTAGCACTAAGCAAAATTTTAACGGTATCTAATTTTATGTGATTTTGGTGTGAGTTTTTTCTTTCTTTGGTTTCTTCCTCTTACTGAACCGTGATTTATTTTTAAACAAAGCAAAAAAATTATTGAGAGGAAAAAAATATTTTGCAATTCTGAAAATAAAAGAAGGTACATACTTCTGAAAATTAGAAAGGGTTCAAAATTATGATAGTGATAAAAGGTTCATAATTTTGAAAATAAAACAAACCAACTAAATGAAGACAACAAACAATGACCTAAGACCAAACCGGTTAAACATGTCTTTTTCCAGAAGGTTCATAATTTTGAAGGTTTCATTTTTTTCCATAGGTTCGTTACTCCAAAGTTTCTGAATTCCGAAAGGTCATAATTCCGGAAACAAAATAGTAAGCAAATAATTACCGTTGGTGAAGGTGATGGGACAAACTATCACTTCCGAGGCGATCTGGATGTAGCTATCTTTCCGAAGCGAAGCTGAGGAAAGATAGCGTATACATTCTGATCGACGAGGAAGTGATAGTTTGCCATCCCCTGAAACCAAAAGGTGCTTTAATATTTGCTTTATATTCCACATCTAAAACAATTTAATTACAAAAGAAGGACATGTGTGCATCTACATAAAAGACACCTAGGCCCAAATTCACACCAAAAAAGTTTAAGTTTAACCCAACCCCTTGAGGGTACGGTGCGCGCATGTGTTTTCTTTAATTGCGCTCATAGGTAATGCACGCTTAATTATACGCCTGTTTTAGTGCGCTTTTGGATAATCTTCAGTGAAAGTGCGTTGCCCTGTGTAGATAGTACCTCTATCTTCAATGAAAGTGCATTGCACTGTGTAGATAGTATAGTACTATCTACACAGTGTAATGAACTTTTTGCTTCTCCCATCAATAATGGGCGAACTATCTTTCATCACGTGATTTACTTTTGAACAATCGTAGAGCAAGATTCTTAGTATGTGGAATATAAAATCCTGTATCCTTTTGGTAATCACGTACCTTGACCTTCAGAATAATTAACCTTCTGGAATAGCCTCAGCTTACCAAATGATTATCTACTAACTGTTGGATGAGGCGAGCCCAGTTTTCATTGTCATAGTTCACTCGATAATATCCGTAATGCTGAATGTTAGCAAGAAACCAATCGTCAGCTTCCATGGGGGATGAGAGGGTTATGAGGGCTGAAAAAGGAAGAAATTGAATGAGAATTTTATGATAGGATTTAAATCATACTGTTTCCCTCTCTTTCAGTTATTATATTAGGCTTCCATAAAAGGAAAAACACAAGGAAGTTTTGCTTAATACAGACCGTCATTGGGATGACATTTTAGCTGCAATAACTGTGTAATAATCAAAGCAATAATGGCCTTAGAATCACATACAGTACCACTAGAGCCCCCCCCCCCCCTTAAAAAAGGATTTTGTATCCTCCCTTTTGAGACCTTCCAGGGCCGACATATTTCCTGTAGGAAAATAATTACCACAATGAAATGATCAGGAAATTTTCTGGGCACACACCCTCCGACCCCCCTCTATTTAAGAAGCTGGCCGGGGAGTTTCCTGAAGTCACGTTCCTTGGAAACATAACAGTCAGGGAAACTTTCTGTCCCAACTTTTAGATACTGATTCTGTATGAATCCAACTTCTTCATAGCTACTCAAAGGGGGAGGGGGGAGATAGATGCAAAGTTACAACTGCCATTTATAATACTTTTTGTTCGAAACAATAATCTTACCCCATGGTTCTTTTTCGATCCACATAGTATTGGGCCTTTCAAAATTAACGTCTGTCTTTTGTGTATAGGTGAGGAAAATATACCACAGGTATCTAAGTTATATCAGAAGAAACAGTGAAATAATTAAAATGATGATTATTTTGAAACACAAAATGGTTATCAAAGTTCCTTTATCGGAAAGAACTTGCGGAGTATCTATAACTCTTCTGTCATATATAGAAAAGACTCGGGGGGGGGGGGGGGTTCGACGGACAATTTTATGGGGTGTGCTTGTCTTTGTATTACTTGGCGGTCTGTTGTTCTAAAACTTCAATTTTAAAAAGAAGATGGGAAACAAATGAAGAATAGACATATTCCTAATTAAAATAAAGACTGGGACGGCCACTGGTCTTTAAAGGTTTTAGGTATCCCCCCGACCCTCCCTTCCTCCCTCAATCCCTACCTCTCTCTCCCCTGCCTCCATTTCTTCTTCCTTTCTTTATCTCTCTCTCTCTCTCATTTTTCCAATAGTGATCTTTGATTAACACAACATGATAGGAAACAAAATTAGCAGGGGTGGACTGGCAATAGGGAGTTTGGAGAGTTTCCCCCAAGGACCTAGCTTGAGGGACGGTTGATTTGTGGTCTGAGGGCCGGTTGGCAAGTACTTTGGGGCTACGGTGGGGCTGCCACATCAAAATTAATAGAACTTCATGCCCAGTCCACCCCTGAACATAAATGTTGCTTATTTTTTAAATCACCCGAGGTCGCCGTATCTGTCATCGACTCCAGCATCAGGATTAATGAGGAAATGTTCCTGTGAAGCATTGAAGTGGGTATCGTCGATGCGACGGAAATCGACCACGGGGAAACCCATCTGTAGCGTCCACGTGTCCATAATCTGTTTGACATCGTTATCACCCATTCCTTTATCTGCCTGTATGTTGGAATATTAAAGACAACATCCATTGTCTTGCATCTGTGAGTATGCGGTATAATATTTGAGAAGGGCATTATACAATGGCATGCTGACGGGATGATATGGAGGCACGTGCCCCCTCCCCCCGACAAAAAGTAGCAAAAATATTAAAAGAAAATATTTAATTTTTTTAATGAGGAAGAAAGGATGGCGGGGGAACACAATCAACAGAAGATGATACTTATGTCCCTGTTACCCCAAGACTCTTTATTTCATTATTTTATTGATTGATTGATTTGTTGGTTGATGATATATTCATTGAATGTTTATATATTCCTAGTTATTGGTTACTTGTTTGTTATCATGTTATTAATTAATTGATGATAAATCTGCCATTTAAATAACCAATACCTCTGTTAGAGCCGCCCATAGATCATCAGTTTTGGCGTTATCCTTTCTGTGCGTGATTAGATAAGCGTTGAGTCCACTCACGAATACGTCTTCTCCGAGGATGTCATTTAACATACGGAGGATCGAAGCTCCCTTGATAGATAAATCAAGATACAATGTAATTCAATTCAGTCTCACTTTATCAACTAAAAGAAGATAGCAGTAGTAAGAGGCGGCTGCGGCAGCAGCAGTAATAGTAGTGGTGTTGGTTGGGTTCTAAGCCAACTATTCCCTAGGGCAAACACCCTCTAGGACAACTACCCCCCCAGACAACTACCCCCTCCAGACAAGCGCCCCTAGGACAACTATCCCTACAACTACTCCCTGGACAACTATCCTAGGGGGTAGTTGTCCTATGGGGTAGTTGTCTGGAGGGGGTAGTTGTCCTAGGGGTAGTTGTTTGGGGGTAGTTGTCCAGGGGTAGTTGTTTGGGGGGTACTTGTCCGGGGTTAGTTGTCCTAGGGGGTAGTCGTCCTAGAGGGAGGTTGCCCTAGGGGGTAGTTGTCCTATGGGGAGTTGTCCTAAAGGGTGGTTATCCGGGGGTGCATGTCCAGGGGGTAAGTGTCCGGATACGGTGGTGGTGGTCATTGTTGTCGTCGTATTACTAGTAGTACTAATAGTAATATTAATAGTAGATTTAGATGTAGTTGTTTATTTTGAAACTGACGTAAAAATGAACATTTATAGCATTGATAAAAAAAGAGATCTATATGAATATGAAACTGCATGATGTCAATCAATGCATAGTTTTACAGATTTATTTGATTTTTTTTATTTTATTTTTGTTAAAATACAAATGAAATTAATGAAGAATGTTATTTTCAAATCCAATTTGATATAGTTCATATAAAAGAAACGTTCTAGAAAAAATAATATGCTTTATAACATTGAATACATTATATAGAAAAAACCTAATATATTTACATAGTATTACCAATTCAATAACGTGATCAAAAGTCTTCTAGGAAATCAACTTAAAGGCAATTTCAATACAATGATTGTATTGCCTAAGTCATGTTCAGTTTATGTTTTAAAACATATATATATTTATGTCCTTGTCACGGTCACACACTTCAGTAAGTTACGCGCAAGGCTATTGTAATTGGGTTAGATATTTTAGGTTGATTTTATGAAATTAAGTCTTTAATTGCCATTGAATGAAATGAAATTTCAAAGGAAAAGTTCTTCAAAGTTGAAATGATACTAATTAGATCAAAGCAAATACAGTATGCTAACATGATGTACCTTGCTGTACGAAATGGAATCAAAGATTTCATTGATTTCATCCGGAGAATTGACAGGAACTAGGACCGGATGAGACGTACCTAGGGCATCGAGGTCAAAAACTGGCTGCAGATCCACATTTACAAATTGTTCATTCTGTTGCAGAGAATCAAAGTAGAAGATAGTAATATTTCATGATATTTCAATTTAATTTTGACAAAAAAATAATTGTCAGGGTTGTGATGGTAATAGACGGAAAGAATAACTTATGAAGAATGCTATGACGTTCCATTCTTACATGGTTCGTGAAAGTGGTATAACTTTTCTGTTTCTCTATTTACTGAATATTAATAATGTTTCATAATGCGTACACCTCATGCACAAGCTCTGCCTTTTATTCAGACTCCTCAAACTTCACACTGCCTGTCGTACCTTCCTTGAAATTAGAAAAAAGTTAGGTAGAAGTTTATAAATCAGTTTACAAATACAAATAATCGCAATAATAAGAACCGCTGCTGGGGTGGTTTGACTAATTCATATGGACTTTGTGTATCCATGATAATAAGAAATTCCCTAGGATAGGGGGTAATAGGGGGACGTTCGTAAAATTGTGAAAAAAATGTAAGGAATCTGAGAGATGTAACAAATATGTGAATGCGTATGCACCCCTCATATTTCAATTTTTACCAAAAATATAGTACTTTTTGTAAATGTGTACTCAATAAGCCAAATTAGAATTATAAGCTTAATTAGTGCACACTTTAAATCTTTTTTACGCAAAAAGGGCCCATCCAATGTTGTGGAAAACAGTCACGGAGGTATGCAAGGCAGGGCGTTGTTTTCAACTCCGCTAACAGTCATTCCTTATACTCCTGTGATGAATATGAAGTGAGTCCACGGCGACCCAAATTTGGTCCTGAGAAAGATGCTCATGCCTCTGTTGTGTCGAAGGTATAGTGTTAGGCATATCGTTGCAATTCGTTTTAAGGTTAGGTTTATAGGGATGTGTGTGAGGGTTATATAATGCTGGGGGGTGTTTCATAAAGCTGTTCATAAAGTTAGGCATGACTTTACGAACGACTTGTATATAAAGTGCCAGATTGGATGCCCAAAAAATTTTCTGAAATTTTCAATAACCTCAATTAAATTATGGCAACAAATATACTTTGCATTAAAAATGTTTGTTATCATAAGAATGTTAATCTACATCTGCACATACAAGTCGTTCGTAAAGTCATTTGTAACTTTTCAGCCTTATGAAACACCCCCCTGGTTCCATAAAATTAAGACTTCCTTTAGTATAGGAAACTGGCACGTAGCAATTATTGTTGCAGGAGCCAGTGTACACATACTCACCATGCCCCAGTAAGGCTCTGCGTTTTCCACACCGAGGCCTTCAACGTAGCTGGCAAATCCTTCATTTAGCCACAGATCATCCCACCAAAGACACGTTACAAGATTGCCAAACCACTGGATGTAGAAAAAGAAATGTTAACATTAGAGACTACTAAAGGCTGCGACGGATACTCGGATACTCGAGTTCTCGCACTGTTGACAACTACTCCAGTACGATTTCTCGTACTCGTATACTCGGCCACCACTTCTTCTTTTCTTTGCCCGTTCATTTGGCACTGTGCAGGTCGACACTCACCTGTGCCCGGAAGAGGTATAAACCATGGGTAAAAAAAATTCCCAGCTTAATCATACACGGGGTGTCACTGTCAACTCACCACTCAGAAGCTGGGACCAAATATCCGGATTTCTGTTTGGACTCACAGGAACTTTGTCTATCATTTATATTTTTAAAAACAACATTTGTCAAAAGTTCAAAAGCACAAATCAGCGCCTTATTCAACTGCACCTCGAAGTAAAATCACGTGGGTTCTCGGAAACGGACCTGGGATACTTCCACCATAGTAGGGTGTCAGCAAAAGAAACAAAAAAACATGGCGGCCATCATTGAAGTACACAAGTATCCGCTGAGTATCTGCCTGTAGGCCTGGGTGTGTATTCAAGTACCTCATTACACGCTTATGCACAGCACTATTAGAGACCCTATCCAATGAATGAACGTACAACACTTTCCCGTTCAGTATCGCACAAAAGCACATTCAAACTCCATTTCCCGCACCCGTCCAAGATACAAATACGGTATATTAAACAAATTAAAGAAAAATCGATATTCTACCAACAGCAACTAAGATAAAGTTTTGAACTTTCACACATGAATGTGTACATTCATTTAATCTTTAGAGGGTCTGATAAACAATTTTTGCAAAAACAGAGCAAGTAGCTATTCAAATATTAATAAACATGTTTATCTGAAGACATTCTTGTTCAACAATGAAAACAATTAAAGAATGGGCAACAATGAGGATTGAGGTCTGGATGTCGATTCAAGACTGCATGGTTTTGACATGAACGGTCAAGATGCCTCTCCTTTCCACCCAAGATTGTGGAAGAGCCATAGAATACCTCCAATGCTCATCAACGCTTAAATGGCCATATACCCCAGTTTTGCAATTTTCTTTTACAGACTCATGCGTGAATGGTATTCCAATTGCATATCGTCTTAAAGAGGATTCATTTATGCTTATGAAAGATAAAGTTTATATTTAATATTTATTCAAAAATCTGAACTATAAATAGTGTCGAATTTCTTTTCTTTCATTTTTGTTGTTGCTTAGTGTATTTAATATATCATATCATCGGTGGGGTGACAAAACCTTGAATCTCAAAAATCATGAATTTTCAGGAGAGCAAAAAAACATTTCCTGTCTCAACGGATTTAGTGCTGTGACACCGTACTTTGTGTGGAATTGTGAAAAAACACAGGAGGCATTCCATGGATTTATCAGGTGGTGTCGTAGGCCATTGGGTACACAATTATGCAAAAAAATCAAAATCTCAAAAAATTGAGATACAAGGTTTTGTCACCCCACCGACGATATATTATATATCATATATCATATATTATAGATTATGTATCATTTATCATATATTATATAATATATATCATGTAGCATGTTATATTATATATGTCATGTATTAATTATACAGTTAACAGCTAAATTATTCATACTCGGACCAAGTTTTGTAATGTTTTGTAAGTATGTGAAAAATTGACTTGTCCCAATTTCCGTTTCTTGAGAATGTAATATATTAAAGCTGACATCTAAAAGTATTTAACAAAGGCTCTAATTCAACCAGTCCAGCTTTCATTCTTGAGTTACAAAAGAAACAAGGCATCAAATTGACAAGGGGTATGAATAATTTAGTAGTTATGTATTTCTTATTTGATTGTCTACCTGGTGGGTAAGTTCGTGAGAAAGCGATGAAGCAACATATTGTTTGTTGCTAGCTGAGTTGACCCTGCTATCGTAGAGTAGGGCAGTTTCTTGGAATGTTATGAGACCCCAATTCTCCATGGCCCAGAAAGAAAGGCCCGGTACGGCAATCATGTCTGTAAGAGAGGATGGGCAATTACATGAGATATACAAAACAAGTACAAATTGAAACCCATCTTCAAGCCTCGATGGCTCAGTGGTGGAATAGTGGACTCATAATTGGGAGGTCCCGGGTTCAAGTTTCAAGTTTATTTTTCCACATCTCATTTAAGAAACAGGAAGTATACATATTACAACATTGCAAATTATCAGTGGCCAATTCCCAATTATTTAGAATATTATATATATATATATATATATGTATATATATACATATGTTACAATTACATTAAAAATACATGCAAAAGTACAACATAAGGCAAGATTACTTATTTATATGTTTATCTTTCAGTTTCCAAAACATAATCTTTGAATTTGCGTTTAAATTGAAACCAAGTCGATGCGCTAGCGCCCTTTGACAAGGCAATAATCCGCATTACCAAGTCCCTCGTAGAGGACATAATGCTGTCAGTCCCCTGGTTGCATACTTACAAGCATTCACATGCTTTCTTACTAAAAAAAAGCCCCAGTGTCAACACAATTGCGAAGACTTTCAAGAAATCAACTCAAGGGACATTTCAATACCCTATTATATATCCGTTCAAATGTTGTTGCGTCATTTTAATCACCTTTGGTTTATCTAAAAAAAAGTCCATACAATCGTTTTAGTCTGAGTGAGAACAAAATTGAAATCCCGTTTTGAACCCTCATTTATCAAGTGATATTGTGAAATGTATGACTATTTAATAGTTTTAGGGTTATTTTAATTTAACAGATTTGCAACTGAAATCATGGAAGAATGAATATGAGTGAATGATGAAGATACAATCTATGCAATAAAAAGAGACCAATGATATGTGAATAATCATACCTTGTTTTTCAAGAGGGAAAGATATATTGAAATATTTTTCGTAGTATGTAGTGATATTAGATCCGATGTCACGAGCATATACTGTTGTATTCACCGCCTCCGGTCGTGACCAAACTCGGAACTAAAAGATATAAGTAAAATACAGATCTTGTATAAATTACATAGAGGAATGAGAGAAAAATGCGCTAACAGCTGGAAAGTAATGTTCTTTATCAAGATGACTTTACAAAAAAATCTAAATAGCGTTTTTTTCTTTCAGTAATCAAAACAACAGAAATATGAAAAATTTATTCTCCTCTTTGAGCACATGTTGATATAACTACGCCATTATGTCCTAACCTCTCTGTTTCTTTGGACACTCTTGTTTGCGAATAGATATCAGGACCCTTCGGAGCTGTTCTTTCAATGGGGATGCATGCCAAGAACAAAAAATTATATTCCACCGGTGGCGGATTCGAATTTCTGACGAGCAAGAAAGCACATAATAATAATTATGATGATAAAATTGATAATAATTATAATAATAATAATAATGATAAAAATAATGATGATAATAATGATAATAGAAATAAAAATTAAGATGAAAATGATTGTGATAATAATAATAATTATATTAAAGTAGGTATCACTTTTCAGGGTATCCATTCCATTGCGAAACTCTCTGACGTCGTTTTGTGATGTTATTCAATACTTTTCACTAAGAATGCTGAAACTTTTTTCCTGAGCCCCTTTCGAAACCACCAAGGGGTGCAGCAGCACCAATTTCTATGGGAGATGTGTAAGATGGGGGGGGGGCACAATTAACTTACCCGAATTCCACTGTCGGTGTATATTTCCGTATAGTTGAAGTAGCCGACAATAAAAGCTAAGAGGTAGGTCGACATGATGGGCGTGGCTTTGTACTCCGTAATCAGCCATCCGTCGGTCTCGCTCTTATTAACATTGGTTTCGATGCCATTGGATAGGGCGACCATGTCGTTGCGGTGCTCGATCTGGGTTTGGAAGACGGCCTTAAAGTCGGGTTCGTCGAAACAAGGGAGAGCGCGACGGGCACTTGTAGGCTGCATCTGAGAGGCGGCTAGCCATCTAGTGGAAGAAGAAAGAAATGGAGAGAGTGTGTGGGGTCGAATGATGTGTGAAGATGTGCATGCATGAGTGTGTGCGTGTGTGGTTTGTGGTGTGTGTGTGTGTGTGTACGGGAAAGAGAGAGAGAGGGGGTGAGTAGATAGACAGAGAGAGTGGAGATAGATAAAAAGAGATAGTGAGAGAGAAAACAAGGATGACACATAGAGTGGAAAGGAAGAAACAGAAGATGATGAAAAAGAAGAAGAAAAAGACGATGACGCCGACGACGACGAAAAAGAAAAAACATTTTTTTGATATTTTTCAAAAATTTGGCATTTAACATTAACCAAAAATTGGCTCTTTTTCTGTATTTACAAATTAAAACACTGACCTTATCTCATTTTTTAACTTTTTTAAAGAGGAAGATGGATGATGTTATGTCTGTAAAAAAACAAAAAGAGGGGTATACCGATACCTGAATCCAATAACTATCAAAATATTCAAAGTATAGGAATAAGCATGCCTAAAAGAATAGAAACTGACGTACGGCACATTTTCAAGTTTTGGGATCACCGATTGGATTACCTGGCAAATGAAATATCATAAACCCTTCTCGAGCAACCAAAAGGAGTTTTTAATTTGTTTCATTATTTTGTGCAAACTCCTACAAACATATCTGTAGTAGGCCTACCAATATTTCAGTGCAGTCTCAAATGCTTTTTTGGAAAAAATAATGAGACTTTATCGTGTACGGCCAAGCTGCTGAAAAAAAGCCCTGAAAGCAAGATGGTGTTCTTTACCCGTATTAAAATAAATAAAACAAAAACAAGCAAAACAAATATTGAATGATAATGAAAGAAGAGGTGTAGACTCACTTTGTTTCGCCATCTTCTTCGTAACTGCTACGATAGAACCCTGAGAGTCCGGCCCATAGCTCGCCGAGGTATTCGATTTCCAAGACGTAGTCTGTTCCCGTCACGAGCTCCTCAGCGACATGAAAATGGACGAAGTCATACTCGGGAGTAAACGAGTTGCTTTCGATATCAACTTCATTCCCGTCGCTATCACTTAGTGTGGATTCATGAATGGTGATATTCAGCATATGCAGTGTAACCATCGTGGTTGCCGTTTCACATCTAAAGTGTATTTTAACTCTGCCATCGAACGTGTATATACGATCACCTACACCAAGGTCCTGAAGAATAAGTTTTAGAAGAAAAAACTGATTAGTCTATAGCTTTCATACATCGGTCTATAAAATCGTGGTTTCGTGGTAGTGAACTCTAAATCCAGGCCAGCACGAACGTCCTGTGGCAAGACATAAATTCACAGTTGCCACTCTCCACCCAGGTGTACATGGGTAACTGGTAATTGCTGGGGTAATAATAATTGCAGGGCCCTCAGGAAGAAGCTTCCTGGGTAAACAACATTATTTTTGTTATGTTCATATTATTATTATCATATCATTTTATATCATATCATCATCATCATCATTATCATTATCATTAAGTATTTTTATCAAACTCACTATCGTTTGTTCGCAGTTTTTGCTTAATTGCGAAAAATAACACAAAACAACTGGAAAGCAAAAATGAGATTTTTTCTTTCTACTTCTTACTATATCATAGAGGTATGGTTTGAGGTAGAGCTCATAGCTTTCTGGGATGAGATCGTGCGTTAAACGTCCACTCCATAGCTCTTCAGTTGGAGTTGGGGATAATGTCGTAAGGCGCGGTTCTGTCACGGTTGGTTCTGGCTTGATACGTGGCTCACAAGAACGGTCGGGCAAGAGGGCGCACATGCACCCGACAGCGATTATCACGCAGGCTCCCACAATGCAGATAAGCACGATTTGGAACGTTGTGAAGAAATGTCCTCCACTCTCCTTGTCTTTATCCGACTCAAAACCAAACTGTTCTTTAGGCATCTTATGGTCTGCTCACGCTGCTGCTGTATCATATAAAAAGTAAAGCAAACAAAGAAACAGATGGGTAAAAGAGTAGTACTCCTTTTTTGACAGATTTAAGGCTCATTCAAATGATTATGACGCGGTAAAACGCCTCAGACAAAAATAATCTGCCACATTGTTTTTTGACATGTAAATGAATTTCAAACGCACGTCCTACACTATTCACTTAGCTCTGCTTTATGATAAAGTAGACTGGGGGCGTGTTCACACCGCAAGGGGGGACTGTGGGCGGTCCGCGGATCGCGCTATCGTAGCGCGACCCACGGTCCGCCCATTGGCATTCTCCGGATCCACAGCGCGGTCTATCGTAGCACCCCCTTTTTGAGAAGTCCTGTTGCCATGACGCGTGACGTCATGAGGTCAGAGCGGTCAAAGATTTTGCGCGCTATTACGAACTAGGAGTGTTGAGTTGAACCAATCCAGATTCAGATCGCACCAAAAATAGAATGAGTATAAAATTCCCCTCCGTGTAGAACAATGACTTCCGGCGTGCTATCGTAGCTAGGGTTCGCACCAGCAGAGATAGCGCGGTCTAGCACGCGCTATCTTGCGCTATCTCTCGTGGACCACCCCCAAGAGGTGCTCCAGTGACACGCCATTTTGGCTCGCTGTTTGGCGGACCGAAATGACGTTGTACCTTCCACACCGCAGAGATAGCGCAGTCTAGCACGCGCTAGACCGCGCTATCTCTGCCAGTGTGAACAGCCTCTAGGAGTGTTGAGTAATTGTACGGATTCAGATTCAGATCGCACCAAAATAGAATGAGTAAAATATTCCCCACGTGTAGAACGATGACTTCCGGCGTGCTATCGTAGCTCGGGTTCACACCGGCAGAGATAGCATAGAGATAGCAGAGATAGCATAGGGGTGGCCCACGAGAGATAGCCGGTCTAGCTGGGATGTCTACTTTGGACATATTACTTACCGGAGGTCTTTGAGTGTAATTCATCCTTTAGTGCCTTTCAGTGGGTTGTTCTACGTTTGATGTAATGCTTTAAAAAAGAGATCTGCCAGGCAGTTCATCCTTAGTTTGGCGTCTGCTACATCCGCCCCCCCCCCCCTGTTTAAAAAAATCAACCCCAGGGAGAGCCCAACCCAAATTAAACCCAAACGCCACAGCCCATGGCAATGGCCCAAAACCCTGCCCAAAAAATAAAAAACGAACATGGAACATCGTTAAATAGGTAAAAAAACTGACTTTCTTTTTATATATAACACCCAAAACACCGAACATACTTTGGCAGTCCCCTTCCCCATTGTTAATAAAAGAACGGATAAGGGTGACCAAACCGATATAAAAAATATTAAGAGCCAAGGTCCTGAACCAATACGGTTTAGACCCCATGGCTACGGTGGGACCTCACCCAAGGGATTACACCCAGGTGCCACTGACCGCGACATCCCAGACCAGACAGGGTTTAAATACCTTAACGCCCTGAGCGGGATAGAAAGGATCAGCCACATGACACCCCAGTCCAAAACGCAGGGGACACTTTCATCACCGGCCCCCCTGAACACCCCTCGGAGCAGGAAGTTACTTTTGCTGGTACAGGTGAAGACCATTACGGGCAGTGGCCTCAAGGACATCGTAGACCGGCTCTGGCTTCGCGTGTGCCACCATCTCTGCTACCTCGCCAAGGTACACAGGGGTGTTAAGGCAAACCCCTGCGGGATAAAAGTGTGGAGAATCTGTCTCCATGCACAACAGGAGCCTGTTCCGAGGGACAGCCCTAAAAGCGGCTCAAAACAAACCTAATGAAAATGCAGATAGTCTATCCGCCAGGCGGAACCTTCGCAGGTCCCCAATGTGCAACAGTGCAAATGAATGTGCTATTGCCTTGTGTGAAGGCCGGCGGACGATCCTGAGCCTGCCTGGTGCAAGACCAGAATGCGTCCCGCATTCCTCTGCAAGGGTGAGCATGCAGGAACGCAGGCTATCTACCGGAATTGACATTAACTCGCGCCTCTTAAGGCCCTTCTCCAGTCGGTCCAAATAGAAGTGGCTATCAAAGGCCCTGGGAATCGGGGCCGCTGGGCCATCCGAACATTGGACGGCTTAGGAGGAGCAGCCATCTGCACGGAGGTGCAGTGTCCATTTCATGTCGACCACCGGTTTCTCCTCCGCAGGATTACCCGTCTCTCCTGTGTACCTGCCTGGGAGCGGACCTTAGGAGCACTCGGGTCTGCCTCCTGCTGCGGAGCTTTCTCCACAGCCGTTCTTTGTGTTTCCGCAGTGAAACTCCACCCATTGGCCCTGGATGAATCTCTCTATGAAGAACCCTAACACCAGTCCTGCCACTGGATTAACAATGGGCGGCGTGTTTGGGGGGTACCCGGAAAGTACCTCAAGAAATTTCCAATTTATCGCAATGATGAGATGCGAAGCCTCACGCTCGGAAAGCCCCCCCCCCCCCCCTGAAACGGTAGGGATTTTCTCTCCCATCCCTATCTAATTAGCAGGCGCTACTACACGTCGGGTTGAAGATCAACTTCATTTTCCGACCCGCCGAAGTTGTCCTCGGGGTTCCAAGGAATACCCATGTGGTCCGCCTAGAGCTGCCATGAGTTTTCCTAGGCTCCTCTCTAAACCGGAGATCTAGCTCGAATATCGGAAGCTCTAGTCCGGATGGTGGACGGGTATCCGGGTTTTCCCGCGTGAGTTTAGTTATCAATGTTGGACTAGTCTTGGAGTTCCGTTCAGGGGTCTCTTAAGGTAGGCGCTTTCGGTAATTTTTATTTGTAGGCGATATGGGCGTAAGGCCAAATAACAACAATAATGTGTTTCTCTTCCCCGCCCGCTTCCTTTTTGGCCGCCGCACCTTTTTGTTAACTATTAGCTATTTTGAAGAAAAAAAGCCCCCCCCCCCCCCCACAAAAAAAAGAAAGAAAAAGGCCCCCCAAATGAAATAAAAAAGGGTGTGATATATGCGATATATACTTTGTTTTAATAGCTTCTAAAGTGATACAATCATTTGTTTTGTTGAAATTTGCATCAGTATACAATAGCACAAAATAGGCCTGGCCAGCTATCATTAGCAATGGCAGCCATCTTCAAAAAATAGCTATTAATTGGCACTATTGGAAGGATGAAACTCCATTAGCCACTTTCTTTCCCACTTCTGCAAGGCATCTAAGTCTTCCTGAAGTAGTGCAGCATCCTGAGGTGATATGTGATTTTCTCTAGACCGCACAGTCATCAGCAAATAGCCTTGCTGTGGAGCTCTTGTTTGCCTGTGTGCTGACTTGGCCATCTCCCAGAATTTGTTGAGTTTGTTTACTACGGAGTTGTTCCACATACACCATTGTGCTCCAGCTTGTGTAGGAGCAATCTGTGGGAGACCTTGTCAAAGGCTTTGCTGAAGTCCAGTAATATCTACAGTCTGCCCTTTCTCTTCGATTCTCCTTGGCCAGATCGTCGATCGTCAGCATAAGCTGAGGGTCACATGAAAGTCTCTTTCCCGTGTTGAGCATCAGATAGTATCTTGTGGTCATGCAGACAGGTGGTTGATGATGGCAGTATAAATCACATGTTCACACAGCTTGCACAGGAAGGCTGTAAGAGATATCGGCCTGGGGGGTGTTTCATAAAGCTGTTCGTAAAGTTACGCATGACTTTATGAACGACTTGTATATGAAATGCCAAATGGGATGCTCAATCTTTATTAAATACATCAACTAAAGTTGAACTGTGCAGATGTAGATTAACATTCTTATGATGACAAACTTTTTAATGCAAAGGTTATTTTTTGCCATAATTTAATTGAGGCACTTCATATACAAGTCATTCGTAAAGTCATGCGTAACTTTACGAACAGCTTTATGAAACACCCCCCAGTAGTTGGCAGGTGAAGATCGGCTCCCTTTCTTGAAGAGTGGAACCACCATGGCCCTCTTCCATGTAGCAGGGATGGTACCTTGATCAAGGGTGGCCTGGAACAGAATGCCGATGGCTGGTGCAATTTCCTTAGCAATTTCCTTCAACAACAATTTGGCAACCTCTCCCTTAGGGGAGAAATAGTCCTTTCACTAGAAGTAGAAGCTAACTCAAAAGATCAATTAAATAAATTAATTTAAGCTTCTTCTTCTTCTTCTTAATGGTTAATCTGCCTCCTTCAATACTGAAGATTCTTGCAGATGATACTGGGGTGCATGTGCAGCTGGACCACTACACCAGGGTTTCCCTCTACTCTTATACGGATAGTGCAGTGGGTTCTTAACCTGCAAAGGTGGCGACTCTTCTCGACACGGGGCCTCCATTTAACATCTTATCCAAGGGACGAGGTGTTTTCCACTTAATATAGCCTGCATCTATGAAACAAGTGGAGGGGCACGTTAACACACAACTCAGGCTTCAGTCATCCGCCTGGGTGGGATTCGACTGTGAAGGGAAGAACCTGAAACTAATCTAAGCATTCCCCTTAATTTGACAGTGAAGGGAAGAAATATCGGTCTATGAAGTACGAATTTTCGGTTTAGGATAATATGGGTTAGGACCAGGCACGCCGGAAGCAGTTTTGGATTGGGGGGGGGGAGGGGGCAAACACTTCAGGGGGCTCACCTTTCAGGGGCAGTGGTGTAATGAGCAAAGAGGTCAAGGGGTTGAGCCCCCAGAAGCTCATTGGTTTTAGGCATTAAATTACGGTCAGATACGCATATTTAGATACCTTATTTGTGACACTAACAGGTCACTAATTGGCGGGGGTCCAGGGAGCTGAGCTCCATGAAGCTCAGGGGTTATAGGCATTTTATTACGGTCAGATGAGCACCCAGGGGCTTGCCTTAGGGCCCTTGGTGGGGTCCAGGGAGCAGAGCCCCCAGAAGCTCAGGGGTTTTAGGAATTTAATTACGGTCAGATGAGCATCCAGGGGCCAGCATTAGGGCCCTTGGCGGTGTCCAGAGGGAGGAGCCCCATAAGCTCAGGGGTTTTAAGCATTTAATTACGGTCAGATGAGCATTTTTAGATACCTCCTTTGTGACACTGACAGGTCACTCATTCTTTCTTTTTCTCTTTAACATACTTTTTCAGAAAAGTGAGAGTGGCTCAAGCCCGGAGCCCCTGCCATTTTGCAGATCCTGACATAAAGGCTTTCAAATAAGCATATTTTTTTCCTAGCTGGCTGTAAATTTGTAATTTTCCAACAAACGCTTAAAAAAGTATAAGTATAAGAAAAAAATTAGAAAAATCCAGGAAAATCATATCATTTCAGCGACATTTGTAAATCACTGGTATTGAATAAGAAATAAACCATGTTTAAATTTTATTTAGGGGGGAACTCCCCCCCCCCCCAATCAGTACGCCAGTGTTCAGGGGTTCATGTCTTATCACCCCTATCATAGCGTGTATTGCTATTATAAAATCCTACATTATTAATTGATGAATATAGGGGATCGACGCGGAATGAAGGAAGTTTAAATCCTTGTCTTTGATCGGAGTAAAATTGTGATTGTGATCAATTCATTTTTTATTTTACTTTTGGTTAAAAAATACAATCCATTTTTACTCTTTTACAGCTGTTTTTTTTTTTTTTTTTTTTTTTTTTTGGGGGGGGGGGCTTTGAGGGCGAAAATGCGGCTCCCCCGCCCTCCCCCCCCCCCCCTTTTCCCTTCCCCACTTCCGGCGCCCCTGGTTAGGACGAGGAATCACCCCTTTTCCCATCGAAGGCTTGTAGATCTTCAAATTATCATTTTAAGTGGTTGTTCGGATGCCCAGAGGAGTCAAATAACATTGTAAGTTAAGATTGTAATCACTACTTCTTTACATTTCTAAAAAAATGAGCCCAACCCGCTGTTTAAATCGTTTTCGTATGCAGGCTCTGGAGTTCCGACGCCTTCGGGGGCGTAGCTCCCTGGAGCTATTTAAGCAGGTGAGCGATTCGCAAGGCCCAGCACAAAATAACATTCACAATCACACCTCACGGACTCTGAAAAAATACCCAAGTAAATAACGAATTTTAAACCAAATAAAAAAGAGGTTGCCGCAAATGACACCACCGAGTGACACTTACCCTTTCTCAGACGGAAAACTGGCACGATTCCACCCCTGTCAAACACTTTCCAGCACCAAAATCAGCGATTACAGCAATAAGGAAACTTTTCAGACTTGCAACGAAACGAGGCAATGCAGAAAAGAATTGTTCCATGACTGACCGTCATATAGTACAAGTTCACGGACATCCCATTGAAACGCGTGTTAAACTTAATACACGCATTTCAATGATGTCGATGGTTTCGCCCTCGACCGATATCCTTTCCTGATGCAAATCTAACCCTTAATGGCCCCTATATTGTCCACGGCCCCAAAGAACTCCGAACCACGACACAAGTGGAATAGAGTGGTGAAGTGTGACGTCATCAAAAACTATTTTTAGAATTTCTCAATTTGAACTTCATTTTCCGAAAGAGTATCAAAAGTAATGTCCAGTTTTTATTCAGATATGACCCGGAATATGACCTTCTGAATTTCCTATAGGAACTCGATGTTATTTTGCTCTGGTTCATAACCTTCTCAAACCTTTCGTTATGATATCATCCTCTGTTTCTCCCTTCTATAATAACCTTTCCTGACGGTATTCTCTGTTTCTTCCTTTTATAACCTTCTCTTATGTTATCCTTTTTTATTCCTTCTATAACTTTTCCCTATATATTATTCTGTGTTTCTTCTTTCTATAACCTTTTCTTATGGTATCCCTTTTGAAATCCTTCTATAACCTTTACCTATATGTCATTCTGTGTTTCTTCCTTCTATAGCCTTTTCTTATGTTATTCTTTTTTTCTTCCTTCTATAACCTTTTCTTATTTTATTCTTTTTTTTTCTTCCTTCTATAACCTTTTCTTATGGTATCCTTTTTTTCTTCCTTCTATAACCTTTCCCTATATGTTATTCTGTGTTTCTTCCTTCTCGATCATGCTCATGGAACCAATCACTTACGAAGAGTCTTTATAGGCTACTATTCAATGATGAATTTAATGTACAAACTATTGCAGTGAAATGTATGTTAAATGGTCAACTTTTGATGCTACGAGCCAAAGTTCATGATATGGAGTTATTGCTAATAAATATATGTATGCGCCTACTCAAAAGCAACATAGAGAAGGTTTCTTTCGAAAGTTAAATTCTGAAATGAATAAACATTATATCAGTGACCCTGAGTTAAGTCTATGGGGAGATTGGAACTGTGTGCTAGACGTACAGCACAAGGATTTACCAGGAGCGGTAAAATGAGATATTACCAGACACCCGTACATCTCACAAAGTTTATTACAAGATATGCTCTATGCGATGTCTGGAGACTAATGCATTTAGATATCAAGCAATACACATGGAGAAACATATCTCTCAAGAGAGCTTCGTGATTGGATTTTCGGCTTGTAACTAAACAAATTAAGATAAAAACATAAAGTACTGATATCCGACCTGCAATCAGAACTGATCACAGTGCTATATCAGTTAAGTTTTGTATCAAACAAAATGAGAGAGAACCAAGGTATTGGAAAATGAATACCGACATCCTAGATGATGTAAATTACAAAATGAAAGTTTCGGAAATTATCCATTCTCTCTTAGGTGGGAAATTTTCAAGATTAGAATTCGTGAATTTTCACAACAATTCTGCAGAACAAGCACTCGATAGGAAAAATGATAAGTTTTCATTAGACAAGAGATTGTGTGAACTTGAAAAACAAATTTATGTCAGTATACCTGATCAAGAAATAGAAAAAGATTACACCGATACAGAGGAGAGGTTAGAGAAGATCTACAGTATAGACATGCATCTAGAGGAGCTGGAATCAGAGCTCGTATTAGGTGGATGGAAGAAGGAGAGAGAAAAGTACCAAGGATTTTTAAGAGACGGAGTCCTATCTGGCTCATATACCGCCAGGAGAAAGTATGTCAGGCATGCGCTTAACTAACCTACCTCGCAGATACGTAGACAAAAGATTCCTGCCTACAATTATCTCGAAATGCATATGAATTTCAAAAAATCAAGATTAGATCTATCAAAATCTGTATGAAGTATTCCACAATCAAGAGATCTCATCGCAGCTAGATGTTGATGAAAAACGGTCTAAAAACTGTCAAAATGTCTCCTTGATTCCCGTTATTTTCATTGCTACATACATTTAAAGCGTCTTGCCACTTTAAAAAAAGCTCTTTACTCAGTAATATAACGTGATGTACTTAATAATTCACGAGTCGACGTATCATGTTACTCTTCAAATTCTGTATAACCCTACGGTGCTCTTTGTTTTCGGCGACTTTAGATACTCTACATACATTTAAAGCGTCTTGTCAATTTAAATAAGCTCTTTACTCAGTAATATAACGTGATGTAATTAATACTTCACGAGTCGACGTATCATGTTACTCTTCAAATTATGTATAACCCTACGATGCTCTTTGTTTTCGGCGACTTTAGATACTCTATAATAAATGTATTACCTATATTATTCAAATTTCATATTATTCACTCTTCTAATTAGTTTACACCACACGAATAATAAACCGCAATAACGTATATTAATCTGTCATGAAAGTTTGTTTTTATTCAATGTGAATAATACATTTTTCATCAAAAAACAAATTCACTTCATAATTTATAATCATATCACTCAATATACGTATTAGAATTTTGTTGATAAATGCAAAATTTTAAGGACAAAAAGTAAAGACTAATGATGGGCACTATACTGCTACCCATCTAATAAATTAGATTTAATTTTCAAATGCACAATGTCGTTTAATATGATTCATTGTAGATGAAATATATCAATATTTTGATTTTATTTCTACAACCTTACTTTATTCAAAGTAACCATAAGAAATATATTTCAGTTATCTAATATGATACAGCAAGAAGCGCTATCTTCCGTAGCCATCACAGTACAGTAAGTCTTTACGAAAACTAGTACGTTTCTGCATTCTGGCAGGACCTATTTCCCAAAGAACCGAATTACGAGTCGGCTCTATCTACAGCCGCCAATAATATTCCATTACACAAAAAGAAATGCGATAAAATGTTAATAATGAGAACTTTTTAATTCAACTCAAATAAAACAAACAGTTTTTTAATGATATGAAGCTATATTAACATTTATAAAGCCATTTTCTAGTAAGCGATGATTGATTCGTGAGCAACGACTTAATTAAGGAAATGTGAACAAACAGAATATAATATAAGCATGCTGGCCTAAACGAACTTAACTTCATGTAAACCCATATGACGATTTCACTGACTTCAATGTCTTTTCGCACAGTGTTTACAGACTAAGACGCTCTTTGTCATTCTTATTATTCGTTTTTGTTTCCTTTTGGGTTTTATTCCTTCCAAACCTTGTCAGCGAATGTTACCTGATGACCACCCCCCCCCCCCCCCATACATACACACACACACTCACTCACAACGTTTTCCCCTAAATTTAACATGCAGTAGGTAATTTGAAAATCTCAAGCGAAAAAGAATAACACTTCGGGACTGTTTGAGATGATAAAGCAGTAAAGTATTGTTTGTTTGTCTGTTTTTCCATAGCACCGATTGATATGGAGCTATTTCATGCATCTTTCTGTAATCAGAAAAGTATAATGGTAAAAATGTAATAATTCTTGAGAGCTGTATAAAAGACATTGTCGCAATTAAAATACATCACAGCTCAAATAAAAACGTTTCAAACAGATACAACAAATATAAAGTAAAATACTTCAACATTTCAAGCGATATATATTAGGCATACTTCCTTTCAACAGAATAAAACTATGTTATCCGATGGGTTACGACCATAATTGCACACAAAATCGCACGAACTATAATTTCAAGCATAATTTGAACACAAAGGCATATGTTAACATCAATAAGCCTAACAAAGGCCCTAGTTCTCCCCAAAAACAACCTTATATACACGCAACTTTCCTCATAACTAAATTTAAAGCAAAGTTACGAGACAACGGCATGGGTCCTGCATGGGTCACTATCCCTTGCAGTAGTAACAATTCCATGTTATAATCATGTTGCATCCATCACAGGGTTTAACTTTACTTGATAAATAGCAAGATACCCACATATCCCAACAGCTACAAGGGCACTTTTTCTTTCAAATCAAAGGATAACTTTGCCATCTGTTTTTAAAAGCCTATACCGTTTTCATTACCTGCCGCCAATTAAATACAAAAATCATGACCTAGCTTTTGCCACGTTGGGAGTTTGTACTTCTGCCAACTTATTTACAGGAAAATGCAATTTATTTTTTAGGCTTTTCATGATCAGAGGTACCATACTGCATTTTCTCAATCATTCCAACTCGTCATTACTCCAAATGTCAATTCTAAACATTACTCTGAAAACATCCACCACCTTCTTGCTCTTCTGGTAACGATGGTGATGGCTATAGAGACAAGCGAGGAGAAGGAGGAAGAGCAGGCGGAGGAGAAGAAGAAAGAGGAGGAGGAGGAGGGCGTTCATCCCGTTTACTCCCCTATAGCGGGGGCGGCATCTTCGAACCAATCTGCCACGGTATCTGCACTGGTACTCATCCACGCGATGTTAGTATTTGCTACCTCTATCGACTGCTCATATGCGCGCGTTGCAGACCCAAAGTTCTTGCCTTCCCCGAAAGCCATAAGCTATTTTTTTAAAAACAGAACAGAAAATGAGAAGAAAAATATGACTAAAAATGAAACGATTGAATAGAAGCAGCGACAATGTTAGGATTTGATAAGCGGGAGGAGCTCCCTGACCCAGGGGAAGGAAAACGTGTGCAACTTAAACAATGTCTTGTGCAGATGAGAAGAAAGTTTAACCAAGATCCAAAATGAGGGAACTTATTCAATTTTGTCCTTTTCATCAAAACTCATTGGGAAAGAGAAATGAATCACTTAAATGTTGTTTTTTTTGCTCTAAAAATATTTGCTACCTCTATCGACTGCTCATATGCGCGCGTTTCAGACCCAAAGTTCTTGCCTTCCCCGAAAGCCATAAGCTATTTTTTTTATAAAAAGAACAGAAAATGAGAAGAAAAATATGACTAAAAATGAAACGATTGAATAGAAGCAGCGACAATGTTAGGATTTGATAAGCGGGAGGAGCTCCCTGACCCAGGGGAAGGAAAACGTGTGCAACTTAAACAATGTTTTGTGCAGATGAGAAGAAAGTCTAACCAAGATCCAAAATCAGGGAACTTATTCAATTTTGTCCTTTTCATCAAAACCCATTGGGAAAGAAAAATGAATCACTTAAATGTTGATTTTTTTTGCTCTAAAAATAAATTCAAATAAAGGGGGAAATTGATATTTCAACCAAGAAAAGCACAGTCTTAACAGACTAGGTAAGCAGCTGTTTGGGTGAGCAAGTGGGTGATCCCTTTGCCCCCCCCCCCTCCCTCCCGGACTCAATTAAAAATCAAGACTTAAATTGGCCTTACTTCTAGCTTTTATAGGATATATGAAAAGGCTAGAATTTTAAATTCTGGAAATACTGATGCCGTGAATTTCAAACCAGCACCCATGTCATGCATAAAAAGACAATCACGTTTATACGTACCTCTTCTAGTTCAAGATCGGTATTAAAGTCTTCTGTTATTTCCGAAATGATATAACTGAACGCACTTAGACTTTCACCGTAACTGTAATAGGTAGGTTATAAAAAAAGATTAAAAATCACCGAGATAGGTGTTTATTTTTTAATCATCAAATTTTCATTTTGTTTTATTTCTCAAAACTCTTAAGTCTCGTTTGCATACACAATAGGGACTTTTCGATTTGCACGTCGACATAGTGAACTGCTTCGCATGAAAAGGACGTCACACGTAGCAGTCCACTATGTCGACGTGCAAATCGAAAAATCACTAATGATAGTATCAAAACGGTTTCCACATGTACATGTGCTTGACTTAATTATTAAACGTTCGAAATTTATATATTTTTTAAATAATCGTTTTGAGTAGCTAAAATAAATGTTATGATAGGCACAATTACATGTCGTGAATTACATTAGGGTCTATTCACAACGAATCACTTATTGCACTAATTGCACCTCAAAGTTGTATTTTTTTTCTTCTTCAAAACCACCTTGATGCCAAGGTGGGCATTCTCTTGAGAAGAAAAAAAAATCAAAAACGAAATTGAAATCAAGTATTTATTGTCCATTTGGAAATCTGTTTTTAATTGGTAAAAGTTTACAGAGATCAATTTACACAAAAGAAATAATTATAATCATAGACAGTTACAGTAATGGTAAACTGAATTCAAAACAGCTTAAGTTTGATAAGGTACTTGGAAATGGGCGAGATATTCTTGTTTTTTCGGAAAGGACAGTCTGTGCGGAATAGGCAGTTAAGTATAATCTTATGAGAATCAAAGAAAATGCATGTAGATTCTTACTATTGTTTGTAGGTTTCCCAATTAGATCGCAGATAATCCCAAGCAATGGAACGTCCAATGTAGTTCCGTGATACGTAGACGATGACGTAATATGAATCTTGGGAACGAACAAGATCTTCATCCAGGGAGTAGTCTAGATACCTACAGACACCACAGAAAACGAGCAAGGAAGAGAGAATGTGAAGTTCTGTAAATAAATGTCAATAACTCAAAGTACAATGTTGCCCATACAATTGGAAGAAACACTTCTTATATATTTCGATGAAATGGTCGTGACAATATGATTTATTCGTGATAGATAAAGATTAAATCTTCTCAGAACTTTACTGACCAATGGCTACCCGGGTATTCATAATCATTTTCATAATTACAACATCAATCCACAAGATTATATATCTTTCATTATTACAAAACCGGTGTTATTTGCTGCTGTTTTACCTGCTTAGTATCCACGGTGCTTGAGAGTAGGAAAGAGCAAACAGCCATGTTGATTTCTCGTTGGCATCCAGGGTTTCTATGTACTTCCTCCAGCCAAACTCCCACTCCTCCTGCCCGCCTTCCTGGATACCATAGCAATATACCGTCGTCTTCAAGTTAGGAGAGATGCTGTAGAAGTCCAGGAAATATTGGGATAAATGGCGGATTCAAGTGATATAAGGGCATGCCCCCCCCCCCCCGAACAAACTTTGTCAATATATTTCATACTATCTAGATCAGCGTTTTTTAACTGGGGTGCCGCAAGACATCTCTAGGGATGCCGTGATTTAAAAAAAATATATATATAATAAAATTTAAAAAATATTATGAAATGACGTCGATTTCGTACTAATCAAATATCAGAAACCGTTAAGGAAAATTTAAAGGTAATAAAGTGCATTTCTTTTTCGCTAGCTCTCAACCTTTTGCCTGAATATTTCCATTTTTGAGCCGAATAGCCTTCTATTTGAAACATTAAAAATCACTCTTCGAAATATGCAAAGTGCTCGGTGACATTTTGAATAATCCGAACATGATTTTATAAAGGTAATCGTAAAATGGAAAAGAAAATTGCTCTAAAGTTTGTTTCTCGAAAGTCTTTCCGATCTTGTTAAATCTACACGATCCGTGTATTAAAAAAGACTTCAACGACTATTACGAAAAGTTAATGAAAATCAATAAGCTTCGGACCATCATAAAAATTAAAGAAAGTCAATAAACTTTAGACCATCATTAAAAAAAGCTAATGAAAATTAACAAATTTCATAGACCCTCGTGAACAATAATTAGTAAAATGATTGATAAATGAATTTCAGCTTACGGGTTGATATCATAATCTGGTAAGTTGTCAGTGTTGTTCGCATCGTTCATCATGTACTCTTGGAAGAGAGCAGAAGCCTCGTCTAGACAATCTTGGTTGCGGTATTTACACGACGTGCCAATGGCGTTGACTCGGTTATATCTGTAGTGTGAGGTATTGAATATGTAAAAGGCAAATTGTGTTGAAAGAATAGGCGTGCGAGTATGTCAGGCAGAACAATTTAAACTAAGTTGGAATAGTCCCGATGCATCGGTGACTGCGAAGGTCTGTCAACTAAACTATCACATTAATAAAAGGTTCTTTCATCACAACCAGCAAAAAATATTTTGATAATCTTTCACTTGCGTGGTGCAAGCTTCGTCATGTTGTAATTTTTCTACTGATAATGAAGAAAGAACCAATTGGCAAGTTACATCATCAATCAGGTGAACCTCTTCAGTGATTCTAGAATGTATCATCAATATAGAATAATAATTAAGGCAATTTACACATGGTTTTGTATGAAAATTCGACATTGTTTCATGGTTTGAAACGACAAATCTCCAAGTTTTACAAGTAACGATTCGTTTTCATTTTGTTTGTCTTTGAACTGGAAGAGCGTTTTACGAAACTTGAGCGAAAATCATCTTTTGAAAAATGTATTACTATTTCAGAAGACGCCGAATGTTGTGCGCATCTCTCGACAACCCAATACACATGACCTTTATGATGAAAATGACAAATGATGGCCGGTAAGAGACAGAAGGGCGCTATATAACTCTGTGTCAAAGTGATATGAGTTAACGCTCTTTTTGCTCTCATGAGGCGCTTATTGGCTTACTGTGTAAGATGAGGGTCATTAACTTGGTCGTCGATCCATGTAAGATTGTCGTATAATGGCTGGATTTTCTCCCGCATGTATCTCTGATAAGAGAGAAGGAACACAAATGTTATAACTTAAATCGATATCATCAATTGTATATAATCATACTTCTTTCATAATACAGTCTATGCACTAGCGTATGTGAGGGGGCAAGGGGTAGTTTTCCCCTCCTGACTGATTTCCGACCGAGATAGATAAATTAAGCAACTTTGTATAACCCTATAATAGTTAGCAAGTTAGAAAATCATTGTAAGATGAAGAAAAAACATCTAGAATTAAAGAAAAATGGGGTGATGCTCCCCGTTCCCCCTCTCTCTCTCTCTCTCTCTCTCAATGTGTCTCTCTTCTCTCTCTCTCTCTCTCTCTCTCTCTCTCTCTTTATCTCCCTCTCTCTCTCTCTCTCTCTCACCTAAAATTCCAAGGGCCTCAAAAGGTGACTTCTTGACTAAAGGTATATGGATCACATTAAGCTGAGACGTTTGGCCCCTTCTGAGGCCAAGCTCTGAGTATGCCATGCACTTAGTCTATGGTTTTATCAATGCAGTCACATATTTCCATTATCTTATTACTATCGTTTCAGTCTATAAACGAGGGGGTAAACCCCGCATGACATGGGTAAAGAATCTCTTTAGTTAGTAATACATACAGGGTAAATATAATCAGAAAGGTAAATCAATCCAACATGGTTTAAAAAAAGAATAGGGAAAAATCATCTCAAAAAAATTAGTAGTAACATAAACATGACGGTGACAAAAGATTATTTGACGCCCCTCCCCTTTCAGTCAATCCTGCATCGGCCCCTGTATACCTCTAGCGAGCCGTAACCATAATGCCTGCTGAACATATCAGTGATGTACGAGATAACACTAAGGAGTGCCTCCCAAGGTACATAGTCATCCTCGTTCTCCATGTAGAGGGTCAGATCAAGAGCGATGGGGTAATCCACACGCCCCACCCGAGCCAAGTTGAAGGCATCATTGATGAGCTGGGCGCGGTTCTCGATTGGGATTACCTTGATAAAGAGAGAGAGAGAAGAAATGTTTAAGAGTATTTGACATAAAACTTACAACTAATTTAAGCTAAGGTAGATTTGGATTTCACTTTTAATCGAGTAATAATAATTATAATAATTTAATCAGTTAGTCTGCATGTACTATAATACGATCAAAACAATTTGGAGAGAGCCTGTCATCATCTGACCGAAGCTGCAAAATAAGTTTAACCAGCCCGATCTCAAATTAGCCAGCTAATTTGCGTTTTCATCAGCCCACAGTTGCAATTAGCGGGCTATTTGGTCGAGAAAATATCCCGCGAAATCTTCCAAAATAGCCCGCTATGTGGGAAATAGCGGGCTAATTTGCGCCCGTTTGAGATGAGCGTATCGAATCTCGTGAATACGCAATTTCGAGCTTCGGGAAATTATACCGAGTCTGAAAATAGCGGGTTATTTTGCAACTTCGGTCTGATGAAGACAGGCCTTATAGAGGCAGTTAATTTTCACCTTCAACCACCTTCAATTCCTAGCACTATACACATTTCTAACAGCATCTAATTTAAAAAAAAAAAATCCGATTTGACGTTTTGTTTTTTGTTTGGTTCATAATTCCAAGGAAAAAGTTCCGTAATTTTTGAAAATAAAAGAAGGTTCATAATTCCGAAAATGAAACAAACAAACTAAATGAAAACAACAACAAAAAGACCCATAAGACCAACCGGTTACATGTCTTTTTCCAAAAGGTTCATAATTTTAAGGGTTTCATTTTTTTCAAAGGTTCTTTACTACGAAGTTTCTTAATTCCGAAAATTCATAATTCCGGAAACCAAATAAAACCGTGTATCCTTTTCGGAATAGCGTCAGCTTACCACATGACTATCTACTAACTGTTGGCTGAGGCGAGCCCAGTTTTCATCGTCATAGTTCACTCGATAAAATCCGTACTGCTGAATGTTAGCGAGAAACCAATCGTTTTCCATGGGGGATGAGAGGTGTACGAGGGCTGCAAAAAAAAAGAAATTGGACGAGAATTGAATGATAAGATTTAAATCATACAGTTTCCCTCTCTTTCAATCATTATATCAGGTTACCATAGAAGAAAAAGGGAAGCTTTGTTTATTAATACGGACCGCCATTGAGATAACATTCTAGCTGCAACTATTATGTAATAATCAAAGCAACAATGGCCTTCATGGATTCACATGCGGATTCTGATTACCGATAGAGCCCCCCCCCCCCCGCCCCCGCCCCCACCGCCCCTCCTTTTCCCTCCATTAAAAAAAGGATCTTGCATCCTCCATTCCGAGACATTCCAGGGCCGAAATATGGGCTGCAGAAAATTAATTACAAAAATGAAAAACTTTCGGGAAATTTTCTTTGCACAAACCATCTTACCCTCCGACCCTCCTTCTCTCCCTTCCTACTGAAAAATATCTATTTTTGGTCCCGAAGCCATTTTCCTTGGAAACATGTCTGTCGGAAAAACTTTCAGTCCCAACTTTTAGATAGTGATCCTGAATGGATCTATCTTCTTGATAGCTTATTACAGATCTACAGATTACACATACCAAGTTACAACTGCCATTTATAATACTTATTGTTTGAAACAATAATCTTACTCCATGGTTCTTTTTCGATCCACGTAGCATTGGGATTTTCAAAATCTGCTCCTGTCATTCGTGTGTAGGTGAGGTAAACATACCACAGGTATCTAAGATAAAGCAGAAGAAACAGTTAAAATGAAATTGTGATTATTTCAAAACACGAAATGGTTATCAAAGTTCCTTTATCGGAAAGAACTCGCGGGGAATTTAAACCTGTCTTGTGATATATAGAATAGGTCATTTACAGAATCGGGCGAAAAATTCGACGGACTTTTTTCTGGAGTGTGCTTGTTTTTGTGTTACTTGGGGCTACTGTTGTTCTAAAACTTTAGTTTTAAAATAAAGATTGGGAAACAAATGAAGAAAAAATATAAAACATACTATAAGAAAAGGAAAACTATTCTAAGCAAAATTTCTCTCTCTCACTCTCTTCCTCCCTCCATCCCTACCTCCCCCTTCCTCCATTCATCTCTTCCTTTTTCTCTCTCTCTCTCTCTCTCTCTCTCATTTTCCCAATAGTGATCTTCGATTAAACAACATGATAGGAAACATAAGCAGGGGTGGACTGGTGATGGGGAGTTTGGAGAGTTTCCCCCACGGACCTAGCTTGAGGGACGATCGATTTATGGTATGAGGGCCGGTTGACAAATACTTTGGGGCTGAGTGGGCTGCCACATCAAAATTAATAGAATTTCATTCCCAGTCCACCCCTGAACATAAATGTTGCTTTTTTTAATTCACCCGACATCGCCGTATCTGTCATCGACTCCAGCATCAGGGTTAATGAGGAAATGTTCCTGTGAAGCATTGAAGTGAGTATCGTCAAAGCGACGGAAATCGACCACAGGAAAACCCATCTGTAGCGTCCACGTGTCCATAATCTGTTTGACATCGTTATTACCGATTCCTTCATCTGCCTGCATGGTGGAATAAGACAACAACCTTTGCGAATATGCGGTATAATATTTTAGAAGGGCATTATGCAATGGCATGCGACGGGATGATATGAAAGCACGTGCCCCCCCCCCCCCCAATCCCCACCCGACAAAAAATGGCGAAAGCGAAAATATTAAAAGAAATATTGATTTATTTTTGTTTAATGAGGAAGAAATGATGATAGGCAAATCATTAGATGAAGATACGCCCCTGCTCCCCTTTAATCGTTATCTTATCACTTCATTGATTGATTGATTGATAGATGATATATTCATGAATTGTTCATACATTCATAGTTATTGGGTTCTAGTTTTTGATCATTTGATTGATTAATTGATGATGAATCCACCATTTAAACAACCCATACCTCTGTAAGAGCCGCCCATAGATCATCAGTTTTGGCGTTATCCTCTCTGTACCTGAGTAGATAAGCGTTGAGTCCGCTCAAGAATACATCTTCTCCGAGAATGTCATTTAACATACGGAGGATCGAAGCTCCCTTGATAGATAAATCAAGATACAATGTAATTCAATTCAGTTTCACTTTATTAACTAAGAGAATGTTGCAGTAGTAGTAAGCAGCAGAAGTAGTAGCAGAAGTAGTAGTAGTAGTAGTAGAAGAAGTAGTAGTAGCTGTAGTAGTATTCGTAGTAGTAGTAGTAGTAGTAGTAGTAGAAGTAGTAGTAGTTTAGTAGAAGCCGTAGTAATGGTAGTGGTGGTGGTCGTCGTCATACTAATAGTAATAGTATATTTAGTTGTAGGTGTAAATTTTGAAACTGACGTAAACATTAATATTTCTAGCATTGATAATAAAAGATCTATATAGCTATAAAACTTCATGATGTCAATCAATGAATAGTTTTACAGATTTTATTATATATTTTTTGGCAGAATAAAAATGAAATTAATGAAGATTATTATTTTCAAATCCAATGTTATATAGTTCAAATAAAAGAAACATTTTAGAAACAATATTATGCACTACAACATCGCCTACATGTACAAAACAAGGAAAATGTTTACATAGTACTACCAATTTACTAACATGATCGTTAAGAATTTTAGGGAATCAACTTAGTGGCAATTTTAATTCCATAATTGTATTGCCTAAGTCGTGTTTAGATTATTATTTTGTCTAATGTCCTTGTAACAGTCGCACATTTCAATAAGTGACGCTCAAAGCTATTGAAATTGACCTAGGTAATTTAGGTTGATTTTCTGACAGTCTTTGTCATTGTGTGTCCTATATTATGAAAAGAAATGTCAAAGGAAATCTTAAATCATAATAATCAGATCATATCAAATACATTATGCTAACATGATGTACCTTGCTGTACGAAATGGAATCAAAGATTTCGTTGATTTCATCCGGAGAATTGACAGCAACTTGGACCGGATGTGACGTACCTAGGGCGTCAAGGTCAAAAACTGGCTGCAGATGCAAATCTACAAATTGTTCATTCTGTTGCAAAGAATCAAAGCAGAAGAAAGTGATATTTTCAATTAAATTTAGTTAACAAAAAACAAGTTTCAGGGTGGTAATGATTAGAGACGGTTAATATAAATTGTGAAGAGTGCTAATGCAGTTCCATTCTAGCACATATCCTTGTATGGTTCGTGAACGTGATACACCTTTTCCGTTTCTCTTGTTTACTGAATAGTATCAATCAGGTTTTCATGATGTTTAAACATCTTTGAGGGGGTCGAATCATGCAATAGCTCTGCCTTTTATTCAGACTCCTCACATTTCACATTGTATTGTTATTGCCTGTCGTATCTTCATTGAAATTAGAAATTATGCGTTTATTATCCATTTGGAAATTCGTTTTTCACTGGTAAAGGTTTACAGGTTAGTTTACAAATACAAATAATCGCAATTATGATAATAATTATAATTATAATCATATCCATTATGATCATAATATTAATAACAAATAATCATAACGACCATAATCATAATCATGTATGCTTCACTTGTACCACTTAATATACGCACAATATACTTATTACTTTGTACTTCTTCAGCTTGACTGTACTGTGGATCATTTTTTTTAAATGTAAATGTGGAACAATAAACTTCAAACATGACGTCATTATAATGACATATCTATGCATGATAACTTATCTCTAAAAGATTGCACCTACATTTATAAACAAATATGTTTCTACCAAATGTTGCTGTCAGCCGCCTTTTTTCTCACTAGCTGCGTTCATGATTGGTTTTTATTTTTCTTCCTTTGTAGTTCCATCGTGACATATTGGGTAGACCTTTTGACATAACTGTTCGATATTCGATAAAAATCTTTAGGATTTAAGCATGTAACACATCGCTCCAATTGCTATCCTCTAATATTATTTCTACTCTCTTACCCATTATCCATTGACCTTAGTTATACCCCAATCATTGATATCTGGTGTAATCTAGTAACAGCCTATTCATTTGTTAATAGATTAGCTATTCAATAACACTTGAAACCAACACTCGTAATTTTACTAGACGGAATTCAAGTCACCTTTGATATCATGTATTTCAATTACAACAGCAATATCCGAATGACTGCTAATACAAATTTGAATTCTTGTATAAATATGTCACTCGTACGAGGTTTTTTCTATCCAATTTGGATAATTTATATTCATATTTGATTCGATTTTTTGGGCAGTGAAATCTTTCAGGATTTCTGCGAGTTTTGTTTCCGTCATGTGTACTCAATTAGCCGATCTAGAACTGCAACGTAAGCCTAATTAGAGCACAATTTAAACCATTTTAACGCAAAAAATACCGAATTTTGTGAAAAAAGTTAATGGAGGTACATGTATGGAAGACAGAGTGTCATTTTCGACTCCGCCAACAATCATACTTCACGCCTGTACATATGAAGTGATACTACCGCGACCCGAGTAGGCTCCTGGGACAAATGCTCCGGCCTTCATTGTGTTAAAGGTATAGGGTTACTGTATTGGGGCCGGAAGTGGGGGGCAGGGGCGCTCGCTACACGCTACACTTAGCTACACTCTACCTGCTCGTTAATATTTCATTTTGAAAAACGTTTCGCGGGGCCTGTATGCAACATGTAAGAGTGGTGGTGATGCAGGTTTCTCTTCTCTCCCCCCCCCCCCCCCCCCCCATCCCAAACTGCTTCCGGCGCGCCTGAGGGTTAGGCTCATATTTTCAATTAGTTTTGATGTTAGCTTTAGGGTGAGGGTGAGTGTTATAATGCTGGGTCTAGGGGTGAAATTAAGAATTCGTCGAGTGTAGGAAACTGGCGCGTACCACTTGTCGCAGGAGCCAGTGTTTTATAACCGAAGTAGTCACACTACCATTAGGGACTTTTAGATTTGCACGTCGACATAGTGGACTGCTACGTGTGACGTCCTTTTAAGGCATTGTGACGTCCAATATGTCGACGTGCAAATATAAAAGTCCCTATTGTGGACTGGAACACGTACTCACCATGCCCCAGTAAGGCTCTGCGTATTCCACACCAAGACCTTCGACATAGCTGGCGAATCCCTCGTTCAGCCAAAGATCATCCCACCATAGACACGTTACAAGATTGCCAAACCACTGGATGTAGAGAGAAAGAGAGAGAGAGAGAGAGCTAATCAATCATTTTCTTTTAGAGGCGCGTTTATAATTGTTAAATGGCTATGCTAACGCATGCGTGAATGGTTTGATTCCAATTGCATATCATCTTAAAGAGGATTATTTTTTGTTTATGAAAGATAAAGTTTATATTGAATATTTATTCGAAAATCTGAACTATAAATAGTGTCGACTTTGTATCTTTCTTCGTTTGTGTTGCTTAATGTATTTTATATATCATATATTATTTATCATATAGCATTTACAGTATTATATATATATATATTTATATGTCATGTATTATACAGTAAACAACTTAATTATTCATATCCTTACCAAGCCTTGTAATGTTTTGAAAGTATGTGAAAAATTGACTTGTCCTGATTTAATTTTTTCTTGAGAATGTGACATATGAAAGCTAACATCTAAACAAAAATTCAACAAAGGCCTTGATTCAACCATTCCAGCTTTCATTCTTGAGTTACAGAAAAACATGAAATTGACAAGGGGTGTGAATAATTTAGTTGTTAACTGTATATTTTAGTTATTATTGTCTACCATGTGGGCAAGTTCGTGAGAGACGACTGTAGCAACACGTTGTTTGTTGCTAGCAGAGTTGACCCTGCTGTCGTAGAGTAGGGCAGTTTCACGGTATATGATGAGGCCCCAATTCTCCATGGCCCCAGCTGAAAAGTCCGGTACGGCAATCATGTCTGTAAGAGAGGATGGGCAATCACATATCAAAAGTGAGTACAAAATGAATCTCCATCTTCAAGCCTCGATGGCTCAGTGGTGGAATAGTGGTCTCGTAACCTGGAGGTCCCGTGTTCGAAACCAAGTCGATGCGCTAGTGCCCTTTGGAAAGGCATTAATCTTCATTACCAAGTCCCTCGTAGAGGATATAAAGCCGTCGGTCCCCTGGTTGCATACTGACAAGCATACACATGTTTTCTTACTCCAACAAGCCCCGGTGTTAACACGATCGCGAAGACTTTCAAGAACTCCACTCGAGGGACATTAAAATACCCTATTATAATATCCCTTTCAAATGTTGTTACGTCATTGTAATGTTCTTATTTTTATAATGTACTCGCCTGTGGGTTTTTTTTTATCATCGAAAGTCCATAAGATCGTTTAAGTCTGAGTGAGAACAAAAAATGAAATCCCATTTTCGACCCTCATTTATCAGGTAATATTTTGAAATGTATGATTATTCAATAGTTTTAGGGTTATTCAAATTTAACAGATTTGCAACTGTAATCATGGAAGGAGAATGTGAATGATGAAGATACAATCTACGCAATGAAAAGAGAACAATTATATGTCAATAACCATACCTTGTTTTTCAAGAGGGAAAGATATATTGAAATATTCTTCGAAGTAGGTGGTAATATTAGATCCGATGTCAAGAGCATATACTGTTGTATTCACCGCCTCCGGTCGTGACCAAACTCGGAACTAAAAGATTTAAGAAAAAATACAGATCTTGTATAAATGACAAACTCGAATCTGAAAGAAGAATGCACAAACACCTGGGAAGTGATGTACTTTATTAGGATAACTTATAATACAAACAAAAAAAAGCTCGATACAGGTTTTTATTTTAATAATCGAATCCACAGATATACGATATAGTTATTCTCCTCTTTGAGCACATGTTGATATGACTATGCCATTATGTCCTGGGGAGTGTTTCACAAAGATCCTAAGTAGAAATTAACCCTAAGTTGGACTTAAAAAGTATGGACAGCCATTGGAGCCTTAAAATGAAATATATTCAAAAGCAAAAATTGGAGTATTTTAGACTTTTCATCAATTCCACATCAAGAACATGAAATCTCCCATGATAATAGAAAATATGAATGATTTGAATCAACATTTTATGCCTTCTAAACAAAAATTACAAAATATTTTCAAGGATGCTAATGGCTTCCCATAAATTTTAAGTCCAACTTAGAGATAAGTTCAACTTAGGATCTTTGTGAAACACCCCCCTGACGCTCTACTTCTTTGGACACTCTTGTCTTGGGAATAGGTGTCGGCTACCCTTCGGATCTATTTTTTCAATAGGGATGCGGAGGACGAAAAGTTATATTCCACCAGTGGCGGATTCGAAAATTCCAAACATCTCTGGCAAACAAGAAGCTAAATAATAATAATTATTATGATAACCATGAGATGGTTAATGAATAATAATAATATTAATAATAATAATAATAATAATGATAATAATAATAACAACAACAATAATAATGATAATGAAAATGATAATAATAACAATAATAATAATAAAAAGAATGATAAAAATGATAAAAATTATGATAATCATAATAAAGAGGGGTATCACTCTTCGGGGTTTCTATTCCATTGCTAAACTCTCTGACTAGCAACTTATCACGTTATTCAATCCCGTATCCAATACTTTTCACTGTGAATGCTGAAACTTTTTTCCTGAGCCCCCCCCCCCTCCTAACCACCAGGGGGTGCTGCAACGGCAGCGGCTTCCCGACCCCTAGTTTCTATTGGAGATGTGTAATATGGGGGGGGGGCACAACTTACCCGAATTCCACCGTCGGTGTATGTTTCCGTATAGTTGAAGTAGCCGACAACAAAAGCTAAGAGGTAGGTCGACATCATGGGCGTGGCTTCGTACTCCGTAATCAGCCATCCTTCGGTCTCACTCTCATTTACGCTGATTTCGATGCCGTTGGATAGGGCGACCATGTCGTCGCGGTGCTCGATCTGGGTTTGGAAGACGGCCTTAAAGTCGGGTTCGTCGAAACAAGGAAGAGCGCGACGGGCGCTAGTGGGCTGCATCTGAGTGGTGGCTAGCCATCTAATGGGAGGAGAAAGAAATGGAGTGTGTGTGTGTGTGTGTGTGTGGCGAATGTCGTGCGAAGATGTGCGTGTGCGTGTGTGTATACGTGTGTGTAAGAGAGAGAGAGAGAAAGGGGGGTAGATATACAAAGAGATTGGAGAAAGATACAAAGACAGACAGGGGGAGGTTGACAGAGTGAGAGACGAGATAGATAGGCAGACAGAGGAAGAAAGAGAAGAAAGGTCACATGTAGAGTGGAAGGAGAGAAACAAAAGCAAGAAAACCATGTTAGCAATAAGAAAGAAAGATAAGAGAGAAAGACAAGAGAGAGTCAAAGAGAGAGAGAGAGAGTCAATGAGAGAGGGAGAGAGAGAGCAGGAAGAAAAAAAGGAAGAAGAAGATGATAATGAAGAAGAAGGGGGAGAAGAAGAAGATGATGAAAAAGAATAAGAAGACGATGATGACGAAAACGAAGAAGAAGAAGAAGAACATAACAACAGCAACAAAAAACGATTTAGAAAAGGAAGCAAAAGTGAGCTTATTCAGTTTTTTATGAAGAAACTATTTTGAGGGTGATTTTTTCGAAAATTCGGCACTATTTTCATTGCATTTAAAGGTTTTGGGATCGCATATTCCTACTTGAGCAACCCAAAGGAGTTTTTAGGTTGTTTTTTTTTCCATTACTTTGTGCAAACTCCTACAAACATGTCAATCTTACTTTGTAACAGCTACATGTATATACTTTAGTCTCAAATGCTTTTTGGGAAAAAATAACGAGACTTTATCGTGAGTCTCTTTCGTAAATCCGTTTTTCTTCATCTTCATGAGCTTTCCTCTAATATCCTTCTGTTTCTTTTTTGTAAACGTTTATAGCTTTTTCTTTGTAATTTTGTTTCTTTTGTGGACATAGGCCCTATTTTTTAATGTAATTGTAATTGATATTGATATTGTTTTGTTTTTTTCGTGTTTTTGTTACCTCTTGTAATCGACCGAGTTGCTGAAGAACAGACGTAAAAGCCGAATAGTGTTCTTTACCCGTATTCAAATAAACAAAACAAACAAGCAAAAATATATTGAATGATAATGAAAGAATAGGTGGACTCACTTTATTTCGCCATCTTCTTCGTAACTGCTACGATAGAACCCCGAGAGTCCGGTCCATAGCTCGCCAAGGTATTCGATTTCCAAGATGTAGTCTTTACCCTCCTCGAGCTCAGCAGCAACATGAAAATGGACGAACTCGTAAATGGGAGTAAACGAGTTGCTTTCGATACCAACTTCATTCCCGTCGCTATCAGTTAGTGTGGAGCTGCTAATGGTGATATTCAGCATATGCAGTGTCACCATCTGGGTTGTCGTATTACATCTAAAGTGTATTTTAACTCTTCCATCAAACGTGAATATACGATCACCTTCACCGAGGTCCTGAGGCATAAATTTTAGAAAGAAAAAAACTGATTAGTCTATTTAGCTTTCATACATCGGTCTATAAAATCGAGGTGTCGCGGTATTGGACTCTAAACCCAGGCCCGACACTAACGTCCCTTGGCAAGACATCATTCCACAGTTGCCGCTCTCCACACAGGTGTAAATGGGTCCCTGGTAATTGCTGGGGTAATAATAATTTCAGGGTTCTCAGGAAAAAGCTTCGTGGGTCAACAAAATTATCATTATTCTTATTTTCATATTAATAGTAGTAGTATTATCATTATCATATCATTTCCATCATCGGTGTTATAATATATTCATTTATGTATTAAGTTTTATTTCAGTAGAGTAGTTCCACTCAAGCCAAAAATAAATTTAATGACCTGCTTTCCGAGGAAGCCCTACATTATACAGGTACATAAAATAACATCACATTTAATACAAAACAACACAAATTCAACACAGAACCACGTAGTATAATAATTTTTAAAAAAATAAAAGGATGCTCTAAACGAGTACATTACAAAATTATTTTAAATAACAACAACAATAACCAGGGCCTACAGCCCATTTATTCATTATCTTTATTATTATTAAATTACAAACTATGGTTTTTAAATGAATTCATCCCCTTTGTTTAACGATGTCTAGATAGCTAACATAACCGTTATAATTATTGTCACTTCCAACCAAGTCTATCGAATATTCTTGGTTAATCTTATTACTTGTCAGTAAACGAATTGGTATTTGGAGAAAATGATAATTAGACAAAATTAGGAGGGATTAGACATCCCTGCATGGTCACTGACAGGTAATTATCTCATCAAATCAAGCTCTCAATTAACATAAGAAAAAGGGGACCATGGGGGAATCAACGGGTACCGCTTAGGAATTGTTAGCTGTATAGAGGGCTCAAGTAGCTACAAGTAGTGCAGTCCAGATTTAATTCTATTTTAAAGATATTAACCCATTGCTTACTGGAACCGGATTGTTCCTGTATTAACCCGATGGGAAAGATAACAATTCAGTGGTCAATGGGTTCAGACAAATGTATGGGGAAAGCACAAAATGTGATTTTTGTTTTCTTCTTCTTTCTTACGTCATCATAGAGGTATGGTTTGAGATAGAGCTCGTAGCTTTCTGGGATAAGATCGTATGTTAAACGTCCACTCCATGGCTCTGTAGTTGCATTTGGGGCTAATGTCGTAACGCGCGGTTCTGTCACAGGTGGTTCTGTCACAGGTGGTTCTGTCACGTGTGGTTCCGTAAGGGGCGCCTCGGTGGGTTCGGCGGTGACCGTCGTCGGGAGTTCTGGCCCGATAGGTTGCTCGCAAGAACGGTCGGGCAAGAAGGCGCACATACACCCGACGGCGATTATCACGGCGGCTCCCGCAATGCAGATAAAGACGATTTGGAACGTTGTGAAGAAACGTCCTCCGCCGCTCTCCTTGTCTTCACCCTCCTCGAAATTAAACTCTTCTTTAGTCATCTTATGGTCTGCTCACGTCGCTGCTGTATCATATGAAATGTAAAGGAATCAATGAAACAAATGGGTAACAAAATTGTACCAGTTTTATCTCCCTTTTCGACGGATTTAAGGCTCATTCAGATAATTTTGACGCGGTAGGAACAACAAATCCGCCGCGGTTTGATTTTTTAAATATTTTTTTTAAAACGTGTAAAATGAATGTCAACTGAGCGTAACACAGGTCCTACGCTATTCACTTATCTCTGCTTTATTAGATAGGAAATGTGAAGCGTATTACACTTTACGTCTTCATAAAAAACAATATTACAATAATTAAACGCCGCGGTTTACCGCTGCATATCTGGACAACTTCTGTTATGTATGACGTCTAGAATTAAGACTATGCATGTCTTGACTTGTCATTTTATGTATATGCATTGCCCAATGTATACCGCGCGCAGTTTCCATCGATGCCTTCATTGAATGTCCATGCTACAACCATGTAGTTTTAAAGTTACGAATAAGTCTTTATTTGTCATCTTTATTTGGTTGAACATCAACCTTGAACATTGACGGAACATAATAACATCATTTTGTGATGTTCAAGTACAATCGCTCGTTTTGTTAGTAGGCCTATACAGTCCACAGTCGTGAGACGATTGCTCGTGATACCTTGCACAGGGAGGTACGAATTCTGAGATAATTAAGTTGAGGATAACCGTAGTAGAAGTTACCGTCAAAATTCACATTTCGGAAGAGCATGTTCGGCACGTCATCACCGTCCCCCGAAAAGTGGGGTGACGGGATTACCCCCCACCCGAAACGCACCCTACGCTTAACTAACAAATCTCAATGCTTGTGCGAAATGTTTGTAATGAGGATTTAGTTAGATTTGACAATGTAACGCATATTCTGATGCAGGCTTGTTTATCAGGATTAGACACATCATACCCCATGATACCCCAATATGCCCCTAACCAGGTATCTGCAAACTAACCGAGGAAACAGAACGTTTAGAGTGATTTTATTTCTTCTTCTTCTTCTGTTAAATTCTCATTCTGCAACGCGTATTTTTATAGGAACATGACTGCATAAAATATGTTGCCCATATTTTCACACATCGTTTGCAAAAAAGCAATTTAGGATTACACGGTAACCTATAGACGACGAAGATACGTCTTCATCTACTTTTTGACGACTATCAGAACACCCCCCCCCCCCCCCTCAAAGAATACCCTCCTTATCTGCTTCTGTTTCTACACATCTCGTGAAACCACTTACATCTATATCTGCTTGGAGAACAAAGTCCGAAAATGCGACGATTGCTTGCGTGCGAGATTAAATTAACTAAAGTTCATTACCATGGTATCTACAATTGTACGTACAGTGAATATAAAATATGATAATGAATGAATTACATTACGTGTAAGTGTATCGATAGCGAAGGAGGTCTCGACAATACTTAACAAGTATGGTTATCAAAAATTCGAATTTGAATATTAGGTTTTCCGAACTCAACATGACATTGCCGATTCCAGCTTTGTAGATGTTTATGTGTTGGTCTTTTGATCCCAATTTCTATTTCTATCCCATTAAATAAAAAGATTCATATTTATTTAGAAGGTTGTACTATTACAACAAGCAAATAATGATCTGTCAATCGCAGTAGCTGATTCCACTTCGAAACAGAATTTAATAATGATAGGCCTACCCCTTTGTTGTATAAATAGCTTACTTCAGAGGTCAGATTCAGAGTCATGCGATATTTCATTTCTTTCTGATAATCAAAGGAATACATGAAATCAAATTTACGTCTCCATCCAAAATAATAGGATCCTATGAAACCTTTATCAATTCTCTGAAGACATATCTCTTCACCACTTCATAAATAATCAGAATCATGAACCCAATGTATTGTTTTATCTGTCATAGAGACATGCAATTTGCCTATGTGTTATGCGCTATATAAAAATTGTTTACATTATTGTTATTATTATCCATGATCCATGGAGGCAGGAAGTGAAACCCCCTGAAAGGCATGGGATCTCTGATTGGGTCGCCGGAGCTGCTAGCCTAAATAAGCATGACGCCATAATGTTTGTTATCAATGTTTACTATCTTTTGAATCATCGCGCAAACATCTCACATGTATATGCATGTAACATCAAAATGTATATCATCGGTACGAAATTATATTAACCGCTTGGCATTCATACCACCGTGGAGAATATGATTTCGATGGCCCTTAAATATTATAGATTAATAAAGTTAATGATTGTAAGCAAGAACAATGATAGTACATTGATATCAAGAGTAAAGGTCAAATGTACCATTGCTAAGCAGAATGTAATATCTTTCATGTTGGACTATGAGAGGGCCAGTCGGGTTAATTCCATATGTATTATAAATATGATTTTCTATACCTCCACGCTGCATCTTTGAAGGGAAAAAATGAGACCAGGAAAAACATTTCCTGGGAGAGTAGCAGATAACATCTTACAAATAGAATCAAGCCGACTCGCCCTCTCATAGTCTAACATGATAAAAAACATGATAACTAACAAAAAATACATTATCAGATGATGTTAGTTTCGTGGTAAATTGGAATGAAATATGATAATAACAAGGAACAATTGCTGTGATATGTTATTCATTCAAAGGAAGTATAAAGAGCACAAAATTAAATTGGGTATCAGAAGGTTATTCGAGATACTTAGGAATAGATTTTTCGGTTAACTTAGTAGAGATGGTAAATCATAATTATACTGAAAAAAAATTAAAGATATAAAACGCCAAATTATTGCATGGTCTAAACGAACCTTAACTGTCCTCGGAAGAATAACTGTAGTCAAATCTTTGTTGGTTCCAAAATTGAACTATTTATTTCTTTCACTTCCAGAACCGAATTCGCAAATTATGAAAGATATAAATCGTTCTTTTTATGCATTTATATGGAGTAACAAACCTGATAAAATCAATAGAGAACAAATGTGTCAAATGTATAATAAAGGTGGGGTTAAGATGATTGATATCTACATTCATGCTAAATCCCTGAAAATATCATGGATTAGAAGATTTGTAACTGATTCTCAGATAGAAAGTTTCACTTTTCACATGTTCAGTTCATTCTTGCCCAAAACCTATTTTTTTTCACCTGTATATGGGCTCACATTATTTTAGAAAATTAGCAGACTTGACTCCAAATCCATTTTGGAAAGAGGTATTTTTCGCTTGGTCAGACTTGGTCGAACTTCTTATTGACGACATTGCAAGTCAACCTCTCTGGAATAACCCCCACATTAAAATGAATGACAAAGTGGTATGTTTTGAGGCTTGGAATTTACGAGGAATACGTTTTGTGAACGACATCCTAAAAATAGATGGTTCTTTTTTTTTCATTTTGAGTTTCAGCGGACATTTGACATACAAACAAATTTCCTCCAGTACTATGGTCTTTGTAATGCAATTCGGTCAGTTTTTAAAATGACTACACATGTAGCTCTTAGTAAGGCCTTAGAACCTATCATTCCCGAAGCCGTGCACCTTGTGGTGAAAACAAATGTTGGTTGTTCACATATTTATCAGTCTTTGCTAAAAAAAAAAAAAAAGTAAAAGAATGTAAAGCCCTTACAAAGTGGAAAAGTTTTTTAGATTTTCAAGATGTACTTTGGGGTTCGTACTGTCAAATTCCATTTCAGTCAACAATAGATATCAACATGAGGTGGTTTCAAATCAAGATTTTAAATAGAATATTATACATGAAGGACAGTTTGTTAAGATTTGGTGTAGTGGCTGACAAGAAGTGTACTTTTTGTAGTAACAGTGATGAAACTATCATACATGTTTTTTTGCTTTTGTAACTGTTCTAATGAAGTATGGTCGAAGTTAGAGTTCTGGATATTTCGTAATACGGGGGAAAGGATCAAACTTACAAATCAAAATAAATTGTTTGGATCTTGCGGTAGCAATAATAATGCACTCAACTGTGTTCTGATGGTTGTAAGACAAGAAATATTTTCAGCTAAATTACGAAATCAACTACCATCATTTGATATAATTTTATCAGCTGTAAACCGTTATTATGAAATGGAAATATATATATACCAAACAAATCTCAGAGAGAATAAATTGAAAAAGAAATGGTTTCACTTTAGAAAATGTTTTGATCATGTACATGATCATGTATTTTATGTTTTTTTTTTTTATTTTTTTAATTTTATATTTAAAGTAATAATTTTGTCATAAATGTTTGTTTTTATCTGCCACAAAAGTTTTCGGCCGTGATGATTATTATCTGTGTTAAGCCATTATGTATGGAAATTATTTATTTAATTATTTTTATATGATATATGGCTATTTACTGTATATGATGAAACTTGTTTTGAAAATAAAGAACCTTGTGGAAGGGGGGGGAAATTCTTTTTTTTTAAAGAAAGAAAAATGGATTTTCACAGAGTCGTCGAAAAGAACTTTGCCGACCGAAATGACATTTATATAAGATTTTCACATTTTACAGAAATTTGGAACGCCCGGACCGAAGTGCCTCTCCATACCCTTCCTCTCTATATGTCTATATCAGTTTCTCTGACTCAATCTTCACAATCGGTAACATTCGACAACAGAGGCAGTGGTATACATTTATTACATTTTTATATCTTTTCTCAATAGTTTCCTGTCTGTCTACGATATATATTTTGCATTTCTCTCTGAAAAGTCAATCATACCAAATATTTGTATCTTTAAGCATGTTTTTTAAATATAAATGTATAGTTTCGGGAAATTTGGTTGAATATTCCGACACAATGCATGCTATGACAATATTCCATTAGGTCGGTTAGTAGACTTACTCTCTCTCTCTCTCTCTCTCTGAAGGCGGTGGCTCGATTTTTCATAAATGCCTCCCATATAAAGCTACTATGAGCTGCTCCAGAGATGACGATCGACAATAAAAAGTTAAGAGACGCACACAAAAAACATATTATTTAGGGTTGGCATTAAAAATTGAGGTTTGTCAAACGTTCCGTAACAATTTTCTCAATCTATTTGCTCGCTCGTAATCCTGTCAAAGGCTCGATCGTTATAACATTACATTCACGGTGCAATGTTCAGATCATAAAATGCTGCTAGTATTTAATGAAGAAAGTAATAATCAAAACGCATCTACACCACAATAATTTATTCATTAGAATGACAGTTCTTTCTCCTGATCGTCCATTACAGTATATTATTGAACTGACTCTGCGACACTAAACACATAATTTGTTATCCTCCATATCTTTGCCCCGATGGGCAATTTTTATTCTTATGACAAACACACACAAAATCGCATTTACATTTTATACAAACAATATCAAAACAATATTGTTATACATCATTCGAATACATACTTCAACATAAGCCATCCTAAAGGGAACTCATTTCTGTTTCCATTTTCCCCATTCTTGTTCCATATTTATCATAGAATACATACAGATCATGGTAGTGTTGTCTTTATGATCATAGGATGATCATGGTAATCATTATCGTATCAATTAGCACAAAACAAAATGATTGATGAAATTATGGGAAGATTAAGAAACAGAAAGTCAGAGAATCATTCACCAACAACCCATCTTCATCTTCCACCCTGTACAGGTAATAGATGGGTAATAAAATGGTATAATCATACACCTGCATTCTCGCATACAAACATCACAAGCATATATCGTCTGTTCAGAGCCAGAAGGGCATTAATTAACTCCATATTCAATTAAATGAGTTAACACCCTCCTGGCTCCAAACAGACGGCATTAACGCAAACGCCCACATTCTACTCAAGATCTCTCCATATGCCGCCAAAATTCACTCCATCTTGATTTCAAGCGCTAAATCATTTTTATTAAGAGGCTAAAGCTATGCATCATACCATCACTTAATTTAACGAAGGACTGAAATGATGTAAAAAAACGTATACAAAACAACTTACAATCGAAAATATGAAGCTGCAGATCCAGTTCCTTAATTGTTTATAATATACACCACTCTGAAGCAGGTGCCCGACTGTTTTTGGTTTATATAAGGTTGATATTCCTGCTTCTATAAATATCCATTAGTGCATGCACAGTCTGTTTCGTTCTCGAGTTTACCTAGGGCCTGTTCACATAAGGGTATTCATTTTTTTTCCGAAGGTTCAACATTTCGAAAGGTGCAGTTCCGAAACGCAAATTTCCCATATGTGGAGATTCATATAGGGGTCTTTTTCATTTACGAAACCTTCGGAAGTACGAACCTTCGGAGTAACGAACTTTCCGAAAAACGACATGTAACTGTTCACATTCTCATTAGTTAATGATCTACTAGGAGCTACATCGAATAGTCCAATCGTTTAGAGTCATAGATGTCTGGCTCGAGTGTCGCAAATCATCATGTGCTCCTAAGTAGATCAGTTGCTGAAAAATTAAAGTAAACACAGTCGTCAATATTTGATGGACAATTTTTTGCTCCAAACCCTATTCAAAATGGTCTACCAATTTGGCCTACTACCCCTATGTATGTATGTATGTACCCCTTGCCCTTATGGTAGAAAGATTTTTTTTAAAGAGGGCCCAAGAGGCAATCGCCGGACTATCTGTGGAGGTATAGGAAAAAGTTCTAAATGGATGGGTGATATAAAAACAAATATTGATTATGGGTTAGCCAAAGTGAAAGAAATTATATAAAACAATAATAGACGAATTAGTGAGTGATGGAACAGCAACATCCCCACTTACCCTTCCCCTTTATTCAAACGACGCACCAGGCCCCGGCATCCACTTCGAGGAGCTGAAGTATGCACCGCGTTTTTAACATTCATATACTTTAAAAGTAACAAGCCGAGTTGGTTGAGAAAATCAACATTGAAAAATGTTAAGAATTCGAATTAATTTACATGATTTTAAAAGGTGGATAACCATATATATACCATATTTGATTTTTCTTTACATTATTTAGTACAGATGTATTTTTAAGCTTAGATTTATTTATTTTGCGATTGATAATTCAACAGCATCATTATCGTCATAAATCGCTAGACGATTTGAATGAGGGTTTTCGTACCAAATTCGCCAACAAGATAGCCGAAAGTTTGTTAACTTGCAAAAGGGTGGATTTCATCAACGCCCATTTTTATAAATGTTATGACTATGATGAATACTAATATTTTAATGTATGAATAAGTTGTAGCTGTTTGCAAAAAGAACAGCGCTGGAACTGGCAAAATGAGATAAGATACATTGTGATTGGGTGGGGTTTCGTGACCCCTCCAATGGAAAAACCAGGTACATAGTACACATAGGTCACTTAATATGTGTGCAATGTACCGTTTTTTCCGTTAGAGGGTCATTACTGCACTAATGTATTTTGGGGAGGTAAGGGAAAGGTGATGTCATTTTAATTGATTACGATATGTTATATAAAACTCAGTAAGCCGAAATGTTTTCTGTAATTTTATTGAAAAGGGTGTTTTATAATCATACTTTTTCATAATTACCTTGCCCAAGGCATGAAGCTTAAAATTGAATATGCTTTTTAATGCATTTTCCCTGTTGTTATTGCTCTTGTTTTTATTGTTACTTATGTTTCTGTCGAAACCACTGAAAGGTTAGTATTTGGGCACAATTTTCATTTAGGGTTGATAGTGCTATTTCACCAATTTTTTTTCTTCTATCCCCCAACTGAAAAGTACCACGCGTTTATAATGAGCCTTGTTTTAATCTTGTACATTTTTAAAGCTAATTTGAGCCGAGAAAGTGCTCAAATAATATATTACATTTAAATGTTCTTGCCATAGTTTGTAGTGTGGGAATGAAAACTACTTTCACTGAGAGGTTCTCAATATTTGACTTTTTTCCACAAGCTTTGGCTTATACATTACTTCTGTGAACCTATAATCATAGTCTATCTCGGCCTGAATTTATTTTTTCATCTTTGATAGATCTGTTGCTATCAAAATGTTTCATTACGATACAACCAGAGACGTAAATCATGAGACATTATATGTACTTGATATACAACGGGATATTATATAAAGACATTATAGAATATAATAAACGTCTTGAATATTGGGTTTCCAGAAAAACAGGATACTAAACAGTGAAGGAGGGATAACATGGTACATTTCCGACAAATTGTGTAACGGCTATAATGATATATTGCATCAGTTTGTCATGCTGAAAATAAAGATAAATTACGAATTTGCTTTCTAGAATAAGATGAATGTAAGTTTCCATTCCCCAAATTGTTCGCCACTTAAATTTTCCATAATCTCTGAGTCACTAGGGATAATAATCTTGTTTGACTTACGTTAGTTGATAAAATGCATTTCATATCGCTGTTCATAGTCCAAATGTATAAACAAGTAGCGAGATAAAGGCCCGTCTCAAAGATTATTACTATTTCGTTTACATAGACAATGATGTACGTCTATATGTACTGGGTCAATAAGTTGATAACTCAATAATTATACCACCTTTATTTGCCTATGGCCTAATATCTATATAATTTCTTCTTTTAATTTGAATGCGATTGAGTATAATTGTCTTCATTTATTAAAGGTAAAGACCAGTATTGGAAACGCCCCAATTTCAAAAAATGAAATGGAAGCTCTCATTACCAATCATGTGAAAGAATATGTTTTGACTAATACATGATGATAAAAAATTTGCCGGGAAACCGCCTACTAATTCATATATTTGGTAAATTTGTTTCTCTCATGGTCTGTGAGAGATATAGGGTAGTCCCATATACATCTTTCTGTGTATAGTGCTTGTAACTTTACGAAGAATGGGCCAAATTTCTTATCATTTTGATGATTCCAGAACCTTGCAGATGCTAGATGCTAGATGATCAACCTTTTCTGATCGATTCCACAACGTTTCTTTCACAATGCAATCGCATGACCATAACTGGTCTTTACCTTTAACAAAGGAAAGATGCCATGCTTTGGGCTTGTGGAATGATGGCAATACACAAGAAACGTACATCAGCTTTGATGCTACATTAGGAGCTTAATTTATTTAATTATTTTTTAATTCTGACATTGATTATTGTACTTTTTTAGATTGATAAGAATCGCTTCACTGTGTCGAAGGGCAACTCGATAAAAATCTAGGTACGAGTATTGACATTACCTAAACATAATTTATATGTCGATTGTAAATGTTATTCACTTATAAAAAAAAAACCAACCAAATCTGGAGGTTATTTTACTGGTACACAACACACACACACATACCCTATAGTTCCCTCTCTATCCATTCCAACCCTATCTCTGAATATATCCATCTATTTCATCCCCCATCCTATCTCCGCCACCCCTCCCCCTTTTCCCCACTCTCTCTCTCTCTCTCTCTCACCGCACACAAATACACGCAGACACCCTTGTTTCTTTCTCTCTCCCTCCCTACCCATTCCAACCCTATCTCTCAATATCTCCATCTCTTTTCCTCTCCCATCCTGTCTCCCCCCCCCCCCCCCCCCCCTCTCTCTCTCTCTCTGCAAAAAGGTTGAAATCTACAGGAAAGCAAGAAGAATCTTTGGAAAAGTAGCGTAATATTTAGATGAGACCTGATATAAATCTCTAATCCACAATATTTAATCTCACATGTACAATCGGTAAATTATTGAAGAGGACTACACTGCACTCTATTTAACAGATCATAAAAATTTCAGAGAATTTCTATAAAAATAGCTTTACATGTACCACATGTTTATAGACTATTTTTGTAATGATATTATATTTAATGCATACCTGACTAAACTTGAATACACTTTGAAAATGGTCTATTGAAGTCATAGTATGCGATTTCGTTGACTTTGCAACAGCATTGTACCACACTATTAGAATAACAACTTTTCAAAAGATATTAGCCTTTTGGGTCATGTAGGCCAGACATATTCCAGCATTACTTAAATAAAAAGAATGTGGGCTGGATGGTGTATAAACCTCTGTTTCTATTATTGGCAAATGCTCCAAGCCCTAGTCATGGTATAATACATGATCGTGTGCATTGTTATTACAATTTTAGCTGGCTGTGATTTCAAAATAGGCACAACATAATTAAGGAGGAATTTTAGGGGGGTGCTTAGCAGGTGACAGAAAAAATGAATGAAAATGTTCAAAAATAAATTGTGATACATTTCTAAATCAATAATTATATTACACAATAATAACAACAATAGTCCCAGTTGTATAGCATTTAATACAATGTCTCTACATGCTGCTTGTAAGTGTCGGCTTGCATGGTGATGTAGATATACAGTAGGTTTGCGGGTGCACCATGTGAGAGAGAGAGAGGGTTGAGGAGTCCTGAAAAGGACTCTGACTCGGTAATCTTTCTTGGGGGGTGTATAGTCCTGAAAAGGACTGTTGTTATCTTTCTTAGCATATCTTTCTTAGCATATAGTTCTAGAACTATATGCTAAGACAGATAACAGTCCTTTTCAGGACTACACACCCCCAAGAAAGATTATCGAGTCAGTCCTTTTCAGGACTCCTCAAACCTCTCTCTCTCACATGGTGTACCCGCAAACCTACTGTATGTCTCTACATGTTTTACATTGCAATCATTATTACCCGGGCATTGGATTTAATCGCTAATCCGCACATGATAGTGCAATTGCTCCGCTCCCTAGGAAGTATTCCACCTAGGTGCCATTTTACAAGCACACACATGCCAATCCAACCACATTAATGCTTGCATCCAGTGACAAATGAAGATTAATGTCTTGCCAAAGGACATTAATAGTGTATCGGGACTCGAACCATGAACCATGTGATCACAGTCCGGTGATGTATTCACTAGACCACGACATCTTTAAAAACAGATTAAATAGATGATAGTTAGTAAAGACCCATACTCCTGTACAGAAGTTAATATGCATTTGTATGTCATGGATTGAATTATAAAAAAACATTCATGTAGTTAAATATCAATTTGGAGAACTGTCGCATGTTGCATTTCATTGTCGCCCCTACGGCTTCCAAGCTATGTGACATAGATAATATCTAACATATACAGACGAGTAAAATATAGAACAGAGGATCATCACAAGATGCTGCATGCAAATAGCTACACACATATTAAACATTTGAAAAGACTTGTACAGACTCAGTCTACTTAACTGCATAGCATATGGTTGTTTCGACATTCATTACATTTGATCTGTTGTTGTTCTTGGTTAGAGTGTAAAATTGAAAAAAGATTTTATGGCCTCATATTTGAAATAATTCACATATTTGTTCCCTTACAATGGGTTTTTACTTTACTTGCGAGTTCCATTGGTGCATGTACCTGTACACACGGGCGTACGCAGGATTTTTTCAAGGGGGGGGGGGGGGGGGGGGGGTTCAAAATCTGGCCCAAAATATTTTGCTCCCGAAAATTTGAAAATCGCGCCGGCCGAAAAGTCGCTCAGTGGGGGGGGGGGGGGGGGGGTCGTAAGCGGACACCTTTTTTTTTTTTTTGGTAGTCCAAAAAAAATCGCAACGACTCAGCCAGCCGAAAAGTCGCTCAGTCAGGGGGGGTCGTAAGCGGACACTTTTTTTTTTTTTTTTTGGCATTGAAATTTGAATATTTGACATTTTGCTCCGTTGGGGGGGGGGGGGGGTAAGGTCATCTTTTTGAGGTCGGCCATGGGAATTTTTTTTTTTTTTTTAATTTAAAAAAAAAAAAAAAAATCCAAAAGGTTTAGGGAAATTTAGGGGGGGTTTACAGACAAAAATTTACCAAAGGGGGGGGGGGGGGTTTAACCACCCAAACCCCCCCCCCCCCCCCCCCCCCCCTGTGTACGCGCCTGCCTGTACATAAATGCACTATTTCTTTTAGTGCATGTTATTTTCAACAAAGGTTCAGGTTTTGCATAATTTGATTCATCCTGAACAAACTACAAATTCATGGTGATATTCCATAATCGGTTATCGCCTCCTAGTTTCTCTCAAAATAAAATTAGATGTGAAAGTCATTCATAAAAGTTATTGTTAAAAAACAGTACAATCCTATTTTAGCTGCATACTTAAAATCAATGAAAATTAAAAGTTCAATGCAAACCCTAATCTATACTAATGATGTTTAAAACCCTTAATATGTTGGCGGTACATGCAAATGTGTGTTGATAACCATTTAAAAAATGTAAACACCATAACTTTGTGCACTCATGACAAACCTATAAATACCCAGATTAAAAGTGCTTACAATTATTGCTTTTGATGATTAAGGTAAAAACAAAGAAAATTAATTGTTGATACTGCAAGTATTACTTTCTGAAAATATTTAAAAGGTTAAAAGATTGAAACATAAAATGTCATGATAAAGTAAGAGCACGCAAAAGAGCACAGGGGAGACAGAATGGATTAGTAGTAGTAGTATCCATTCTGAATTCATCTTACTTACAAACTACTTTTGAAAGAAAGACTCCAAATTAAAACTAAAGGGTCCCATCTTTCGGATGCCAATGTTAAAGATCAGTCCCTAGAACTACATCATCATATTTGATTGGGACACATCTCTGTAAAACTTAAATACTCGCACACATAATAACACACAACGAGACAGAAAGAGAGAGAGAGAGGGAAGGGATAAAAGCTAGGAGAGCAACAATACATATAACATTCATACTGTAAAAATTCCCTAGTCAATGTTAAAAAAATGCCCTCAAGTGGTCCAGACATATCAATTTTCATATTCAAGTTCCTCTAGAATGTATTGCACAATGAAAACAAAAATATTGACTCATGATATGTTTTACTTCCATTTATACAAACCTGAATAATACAGAATGCTGTTACAGTTAAATCATGTTTGCCCGAGGTAATGTTCGAAATGTTAAGTAGCAACACGGGAGTACATTTGCAGCACACCAATTGCTGAGAGCTGAAAGGGCATTTACTTGTCTCCCCTCTACATAAAAAGTAAATTGTCGCCTGGCTGGCAGAAGGGCGTAAGCTCGAATTTCAGGTCAAAATGAAGTGTTAAGCAGAAGGGCGTTAGCACTAAATCGCCTCAAACTTTTATAAAACTGAATTATTTCCAACAAAAATTGTGGCCGTGTTCTACTATAATTTTTATATTAATATTTTAAGTTTTAAACCAATTTTTGAGACGCAGTTTAAATATAAAACAAATCTTTAAATGTGAATAATTCGAAAAGTAGTTTTCGAGTCGCTAACGCCCTTCTGCCAGCCGGCCGACGAAATGTCCCTTTTGCTCTAGGCAGACAGTACCATCCACTGGGAACCCGTAGAGAATTGCCTGAACCTGGCAACTCAAATAAAAACATATTCATCTAGAACAAGAATGACGTACAATCCAATCATGGCCACGAGCAACCTTCAAGATCAGCTTTACCGATCCTCAAAGCTTGGACTTGGTATCATTGGTGTCATGTGGTGGAGGTCTGAAGAGCACTTATCGCCACCCTGGTACAGGAGAATACGCTCTGAGCCTGTTTAAGATTCTGTCTATGTTAGACGATCCTCAAAGCTTGGGCTTGGCATTGTTGGTGTCATGTGGTGGAGTACTTGTGGCCACACCGGTACAGGGGAATACGCTCTGAGCCTGTTTAAGATTCTGTCTATGTTGGATGATCCTCAAAGCTTGGACTTGGTATCATTGGTGTCATGTGGTGGAGTACTTGTGGCCACACTGGTACAGGAGAATACGCTTCAAGCCTGTTTAAGATTCTGTCTATGTTAGACGATCCTCAAAGCTTGGACTTGGCATTGTTGGTGTCATGTGGTGGAGTACTTGTGGCCACACCGGTACAGGGGAATATGCTCTGAGCCTGTTTAAGATTCTGTCTATGTTGGACGATCCTCAAAGCTTGGACTTGGTATCATTGGTGTCATGTGGTGGAGTACTTGTGGCCACACTGGTACAGGGGAATACGCTCTGAGCCTGTTTAAGATCTATGTTGGACGATCCTCAAAGCTTGGACTTGGCATTGTTGGTGTCGTGTGGTGGAGTACTTGTGGACACACTGATACAGGAGAATACGCTCTGAGCCTGTTTAAGATCTATGTTGGACGATCCTCAAAGCTTGGACTTGGCATTGTTGGTGTTGTGTGGTGGAGGCCTAGGGAAGAGTGGAAGGCCACTCTTGAACAGGGCTATATCCATGATGCCTTGAGGCTGTGGATAAAGCAATCACCAGAAAATTGTGTCAGTACTTTTATTTTTGGAACTTTCATCATTCCCTCATTATCTTACATTTACTTTTCATACTCATCATACTCTTTCTAAAGGAAACAACCAGAAAAGATTTATAGTACAATAGATCATGGCAATGTGTGCAGGCTGTTTCCGTCAATATTAATATTGTTATATAACTTTGGGATTAGCTGCGACAGCGGTTGGTGATGCAGACACCAACAAAACATTGTAAATTTTTTATTTACAATTCATAAGGATGCATCAAACAATGCTAGTTCATACCTCAGGAAGGACTGGAGCCTCACACAGGTCCAGCTTGTCTTTAGTAGCAGCATCAGGTTGGTCCTGACCCACAGCTGGGATCTGATCTACCACCCCCTCGGGAGCCGGGGGATAGACGTAGACGGCCAGCTTGTGCCTCCTGGGGGCGGCAACCATCAGGAGGGTACGGTAGAAGGTCAAGAGGTCATTTTTGGTGATGGTCTTCAAGAAGGACACCTCAAGGTCAACTGGTATTTGAAGAAAGCAAAACAAGCAAAGAAATCAATGAGGATGCTTTATCAGGAAAGACATCAATAAGAAACTGCAGTTTCACACTGGTCTCTAGAAGCTTCAATAATCCATAAATTTGAAGGCAATATTAACTCTTAAGGATTTTTTTTCTTTTTTTCAAGGGTACTGCATAAAGTACAGATGTTTAAATATCAAAAATAATTATTGTTTTTGTTCCTTAAAAGGAAAATTATCTCAAATATATTCATACATGTTTTAATATTTGCATTAAACATATCCTAAAAGATTTAATAAAGTCTAATGTTTATAATCACAGGACGAACACATAAAGGAAATTTTTAGAAATGATCAATGGTCACTTTTGAACATTTTCAACTGCTCATGACAGTGCTGTATGACCTAATGGCACATTCTTTTCATGTAGACAGGGGAACATTTGTTCAATGGGGAAGCACTATATAAAGTCCACCTACATTACTTTGAGAATAATTATTCTAAGATGTAGAATTTCATTGAGCTTTTAATTTGGGGAGTTAGTATTAAATAACATAGCATGAATTTTGTTTAAAGTCTTTAATCTAACTAACCTCTATCAAAGTTGTATTGCTTGCTGGTGATTTCTGTCCAGTATCTGGCTGCTTCTTCTCTCAGCTGTTTGGGTTTCTCAGATCTCTTCATTGCTAATGCTGTCACATGCTTCTGATAATCTTCCTCTGTCATCTCGTCTAAATATGACTGGAAAAGAAAAATCAGAGAAAACTTTGAGAAATCATGTCTTTTTGAAGTATTCATTTGAAAAAGAAAGGAAAAATATTATATAAGTCAAGTCCAAGGTATTTTATTAATTTGTTTCCATTTAAGTTGTACAGTCACAACTTGTCTATAGTGACCTACCCAAGGGAAACACAAAATGCGGTTTTTGTAGACAGGTGGTCACTAAAGCAGGTTTTGACTTTATTAACATAATACAGCTGTTCTTCCATGGGTTCTAAACGAAGCCAGCGCTCCTCACAATATATTAGTTTAGCACTGGCATAAGGAAAACTGAGGTGATCGAAGAATGGCATTTCATTGACAAGCTGTACTGTAACATGCAATTAGTCGACTGTAAGAAAACTAAAACATCCATTTTGAGCGATCAAAAAGTAGGGCCCACTCAAAGAGCAGTATCTAAAGGGACTTGGTAGCATTGTTCAGATGAGAAAGTGGTGCTAAGGTAGTGACTTCATTTCTAGATGTACAACTAGAGATAATCTGGAATTTTGATTGTAAGCAGACCATTATAATGAAACAAAATTGGGAAAAACTGATCTGACAGATTTCTAAATTCTCCCTTCTTTATATTCTTATTAAACTAAATTTTAAGTGAATGTAAAACGTCACAAAGCAATGAATTGGCTCCATGTACCATTCCAAACATTTAGGTGTTTTAAGATTTAAAAAAGCCTGTTTTATGTCCTATTTTCATGGAAAAAAAATGGTTGGGAGAATTTACTGTTAGAGGGAGTTACACATTGATGCCTTCAAAGAAAACCATAAATATCTTTGTGGTTTGAGAATTTTGTCAGGAGTTTTTGCATGTTAGAGGGTAAGTACAGTAGAAGGAGCATAATAAGTAACATTTTATTTAAAAATTAGGCATTTTTTTTTCCATCCACCTTCATCAATGTTACCGGATCACTTTAATACTGATGTGGGTACCCTTGGTACATATCTTGATACATTATTATTAAAATTTGACAAACTCACCTCCATGCTAGCGAGGAACGCTTCTATTCTCTGGTCTAAATAGGATGGCGCCCTCTCTGACTGAATGATGAATCTAAGACCCTGCACGCCGTTAGAACGCCTCACACCACTGAATACTAGGTAACCTGGTGAAGGTAAATAGTAAATAACTCATGTAAGATAACATCTCTGACTGAATGATGAATCTAAGACCCTGCATGCCATTAGAACGCCTGACACCACTGAATACGAGATAACCTGTGGAAGGTTAATAGTAAATATCTTGTGTAAGATAACATCTCTGACTAAATGATGAATCTAAAACCCTGCACGCCGTTAGAACACCTCACACCACTGAATACTAGGTAACCTGTGGGAGGTAAATAGTAAATAACTCATGTAAAATAATATAAATAGGATGGTGCCCTCTCTGACTGAATGATGAATCTAAGACCCTGCACGCCGTTAGAACGCCTCACACCACTGAATACGTGATAACCTGGTGAAGGTAAAAAGTAATTAACTCATATAAGAAAAGATTTCTGATTGCCATGAATTCTGATACATGTAGAGAAATTACTTCCATTAATACTAATAACAATAGAGGGTTCTTGTATAGTGCTCATGTCCACAGTCTGTCTAATTTGACACTCCTGGGGCTCCACAATTACTGTTAGATGTATTAAAAGAGACAAATTGTCTCCATCTTTTTCATTGTTCTTATTCCTATCTTGACATGCTGAAGTATGTCCCTAATCATTTTAAAATTATTTAATCTGAGTTTTGTTACAAATCTCGTGTAAAAGAGGAATGCATAAAAACTGAAAACGTTGGTAAAACGGGGTTATCACATTGAAATTCTTAATTCTACCATACCTAATTGCTCTTTTGTTCTAAGCATGTTGAAGCATGGCTCGCTGACAATTTGACAGAAGAGTTCCAGCATCATGTTACTCTTTGTCTCCTGGACGGCTGTCTGATAGTAGATCTCAATCCCTGAGTTAGTGTGTACCTCGTTGTTACGATGGTATGTGTAGTAGCAACCTGGATACAAGGAATCAAGAAAGTACATTTGTGGTCATTCCCTAAAAAGCTGTTTTATCTATTTACAAGTTTTACAAGTTGATAGAAAACATTGAGTATGAATGCTAGCAAGCCCTCTTTTTTTAAGGGCATGAGTTCCGATTTAAAATTTAGGGGGAGGACTTGCAAGATCATGGACAGAGAATTTGATTGTATTTTGTATCATCAAGATCATCATCTTTATCATCCAACTGTAATCACTATAATCATCATCATCATCACCACAGACATCATCATGACCGTCACGATCATCACCACCATCATCATCATCACCACCACAACCATCATCATCATCATCATCACCACTACCACCCAAGTATTATCATCATCACTATCATCCCGATCCTGTTCATCATGATTACCTTCATCATCTTCATTATCAACATCATCATAACCATTATTATTATCACCCTCATCATCATCATCTCAATTATCATCATGATGATCATCATCATCATCCCTCCCCCAATCGTATAAAGCCTCGGTCATAATTGCCATTACGAACTGCTACGAACGCCGAACGAACGATTTTCAGACAATGGAAATTCAGGAAGACAATGGAAAAACGGAGATTCGTACGAAAAATATCGTTCGTATGAACCTTTGTGACTGTAGCATAACATGTACGAGTAGAAAGTCTAAAACGCATAGACTATCCATGACGGAACTATAACACAAACTTAATGAGAGATAACACGTACAAGTAGAAACCATAATGGCAGATTTTGCAGTCTTCATCATAAACCAGAATTTTGATCAATCATCATCACCATCATCATCGTCTCACTAAATGAACAATGTATCAATGGGGACTTTCCCCATTTTCTCACCATCTGGTAGCTGAATCTCTCTCTGTCTCTTGAGCTGACTGGGAAGGAGTGGTTTACTCCTGGAGTTGGTCTTTAGGATGTTCTCCAGGGTCTCCATGGTGGAGGAAGCCCGCTCCTGCGCTAGGTTACCATGGAAGAGACCCTCCATGTGCAGATTGGACAGGAGCAGAGGGATGAAGCTTTGCAACCTCTCTAACGTTACCTCTGCAGACAGAAAAGAAACAAATTACAGAGATGTCAACCTTCGTCAACAAATAATACACTTGGAACGATAAAAAGAATTGAAAAAAAGGGATTTCCAGGAAATATCTCACATCTAAAAATATTCTTCCTATCCCCTCTCTCGTTTCTGTTCTAAACTTAGTGCATTTACTTATATGAAAGAATTATACCGGTAGCTATTACCCAATACTTATTTAAAGTGTTTTAGATACTGTGATAAAACTTCAAGCCGTGTTGTACAGATTTATGCAAACTTCTATCACACTTACTTTTAGAAAAAGAAGCTTATATTGAGTTAAAAGTAAAAAGTTGTATTTCCAGAATTTTTTGAGGATGGCTGGTCCATGTACCCAGGTTATAAAGCTAGCTTACCATCCGAACACTGGGCCAGGTGAAGTTTATTCCAGGCGTGTTCAGCTACTAGCACTGAAGTATAGTAGACTGCATGTCTGTCATGTTGCTCTGCATTTTGTTTTCCTCATAATGTAGTTTTACTACCAGAACTCAATATTATGAAAGTCTACTTGTTTTTTAAGCTAGCTTACCATCCATACACTGGGCCAAGTCTAGTTTGGTCCAGGCCTGTTCAGCTACTAGCACTGAAGTGTAGTAGACTGCATGTCTGTGAGGCTGCTCGGCGTGAAAGTTGGACAACATTCTTGAATACTGTAAAAGAAATCAAAACATAGCATTAATTTTATGCTGCTTTCATGAAATGATACAATGCAACACATAGGCCTACACATGCATGCTACTTGTTGGAGCTACCAATGAATGTTCCTAATTATCCTTTATGTAAATACGACTTCTACAAAGCATACTATTTTTTCTTTCATCAATTAGTTGGTTCTGATTACTGCATAATGAAATTCAGCAAGTTGGATACACATTTATCTAGAGAGACACCCTTCTATATTCTAAGGTATCGAAGATTGTAAGAAGAAGAAGTATACACAAAAACATATGTAACAACTAAAAATAAAGAATATTAATAGATGTATTTAATATCGGGTTTTGAATGTAAAAAAAAAAGATTTTCTGAATTTACAATCACCTAAACAGCATTGTAATCATATACGCAAAGTACTGGAAATTTCTTAGTTCTTTAATATCTTGAATGTGATGAACTTAAATGCATATTCTTGCAGTTGATTGTATCATTAATTTATTTCCCTTTGTATGTGTGAAGACCTGCAAAAGGAGAATACCTCTTACGATTTCAAACTAGATGAATACTCACCGTTTCTTTGATGACGTCAAACCTGTTTTCATCAATTACGAAGTTGGTCATCTTCTCAAAGATTCTCTGTAGTAGGAGAGCCATCTTGTCACTGTAGCCTCCTACACCAACCTAATAAAATCATAGAGAGTCAAGTTAAAAGATAATAATATGATTTATGGCTTCTGCCTCCACAATACTCATACTCAAGATGTTATTCTGTTGTTTTTTTCTTCACTAATCACCTTGAAACTGTATCTTAACATGAAATGCAATGATATGCTGTCAAGATGCATACAAAAATGATGGACTCTGTTGTGTTAAAGTAAACACAATAATAAAACACATATGCAATATTCGATTTCACTTATGTACAAAAGTGGCCCTGTAGACATTACGGCCAAACTTTTACAAGCAAACCAAACGTTCAAGAACTACTCATCATCCTGACATTTATATTCGCTGATGGCCTTTCCATGATAGAAAAGCAGTCGCTGTGGGACATCTGGCATTGATAAGTATCCTTAAAGAGTGCCTGAAGATGTAGATGCTCTTGGCTCTCAATAACTTTACATGTTGTGATTCAACATTTCGTAAATAGTGCAGGATGCCCAACAAAATAACATCCATCAAATGTTAATGTGCTGTATAACGGAAAATGTATTTAAAACATGAGATGCTATTGCGAGCAAGTACATCTAATTATTTTATGTACACACACAAACAGAGACATACATTGATTTATTATTACTGAAACTCTAGTGAAGAGGTAATGTGGTTCAAATTCCTGCCCCAGCACTAAGTTCCTTTGGCAAAATATTTAATCTGCATTTTCCACGCTCCACCGAGATGTAGTAAGTGGGTACCTGGTAAGATCAATTCCTTGAATTCACTGAGCGTAATATTGAGTATTAGTATCCAAAGTCCTTTTGTAAGCGTATAGAGATGTATAATGATGAGATATGCGACATACAAGAACAGCATATCATTATATTTATTAAAGTGCCATGAAATGTTTCAACTCACCTCCAGGCCATAGATGGTGCTGTCTATGGAGTAACTGACACCAGCAATCTCTGCTGCGTATGCATACTCGTTGAGGGCATCCCGTAACAAGGTGCAGAAGATAGAGGTCAGATTACAGTGTAGGGGGTCGATGTAAGCCAGAGGGCTGTAAGGAAAAATGGACAAGTGAAGCAATATCTTTTACAACCAATATCTTTTACAAGCAATCTCTTTTCAACTGAACTTCATCGTCCGGTTGGCAGAAGGGCGTTAGCGCGCGAGTGACTTGAAAAGTACTTTTTGAATCATTCGCATTTAAAGATTTGTTTATATTTAAACTGCTTTCCATCCCGAAAATTGGTTTAAAACTTAAAAGATTAATATAAATGTTATAGTAGAACACGGCCGCAATTTTTTGAGGCAATTTAGTGCTAACGCCCTTTTGCTTAGCGCTTCATTTTATACCTAAAATTTGAGCTAACGCCCTTCTGCCAGCCAGGCGACGAATTTATTCTCCAACAATTGTGGGGTTTTTTTTACATCAAGAAATCTGAAATCTTCCACTCTCACAAATTTAAAAAGGGAGATATTTATATATATATATATATATATATATATATATATATATGTATTTTGTTTTAATTATTATTATTTTTTTATTTTTTTTAATATTTTTTTTTTTGGGGGGGTTGTTTGTTTGTTTGTTTTAGTGTGAAATACATCTATAGTAAAACATTATAATACTTTGGTGTACTTAGCTGCATGTAATGATAAAAGGGTGAAAGAGTAGCAAAATTCAAAATTTAGTAACATTTTATTTCACATACATGCAAACTTCTTGACTGGACGTTGTTCTTAAGGTATCCCAACATAGGATTGTAAAAAAAAATCTTCATAAACGCCAACACACTATTAAAGACATATTCTTACCTTGATATCTCCAGCAGCATGCAGGCCTTGGGTAGGAGGAAAGTGTCGTCTTGTTTGAACCAGAGCTTACTAACAGGTGTTTCTCTGACCATGGTGGGGGTGGCAGCACCCTCCTTCTCCCTGGGGGCCACCTCAAAGTTTGTAGGGATAAACTCATTCCTGAGAGGGAGGCTGAATTTCTCGTTCAGGCCTGCTTCACTCCATGTCTGAAGTTTGAAAAATATTTAAAAGCAGATAACATGGAGAAGAATGTAAGAATGAATAACTTGCAAAAAAAAAAAAATCTTCATTATTTACTGCATGTAATAAAGCACAGTAGCTTTCTTGTGAGCTGAAAGGTATCAATCAATAGTTTCTAACTAAAAATGAAAAGGTGAACTTCAAATAAATGTACCTTAAACTGCTTGAAAAAGCATGTTGAAAAGTTTGATTGAAATTGATTAATGTTTAGCAAAATGATTAATGTTTAGCAAACTTATTAATTTTTTAGCAAAATGATATATATCCCTTAGCAAAAGAGAACATTTGCTTCCTATTTATCTAACCAGATGACAGACCATTTCTCACATTTTATAAAAGAATATTTTATAAGTTTAATTCTATTGGTCATCTTCATAGTTTTTTATATTTGTTCCAAAGGTCATAGGTAGTTTATCTCAGCTGATCTACCATTCTATCTGTTCCACGAGGCTAAGATTAAACTGAATTTGTAATATATGCATGATTTCATATTCTGCTGTGCAATTTGGAAAATTGTAAGAAAAAAACCCACTGTGAATTGAATAATCATATTACTAATTGCATTGCCTGATTCTATTAAATTGACAATAATTAATTAATATGAATAAATGAGTAATATTCACCTTGATCATGCTTGGTTCTATATTCCTGATGCTGTACTCGGTGCCATACCATTTCTCTACCTGCTCTGTCTTACCCTCAAAGGATTTGGAGACTACCGCTACTCTGGAATACCAAGATGGAAAATAAATAATAAATCATTATTCTACACCATTAACATGGTAAAAAAAAATCAGTGTATTCAATATCTTTAGCGCAGTACCCAGATGACTGACCAATATTGTTTTTGTATTGCTCAGTCATCCGGGAACAATATCGATAACACCCACAAAAAAGCCATATTTACTGAGGTAAGTCAAATTGTGTTATTTCGCTAGTTAGCTTGATATAGATAATAATAATAATATTATATGGCTTTGTTTTCATGTGATACAAGAATATATTGCTCTCGCTATGACAATATTGGACTCGTCTCCAACTCGTTCAATATTGTCATAGCGAGAGCAATATATTCTTGTATCACACTCAAAGCCATCCGATATTATATAAAAATCTACAAGCGGCCTGTGAGGGGTGCTTGATTTCATTCCCAACTTGTATCACTCAGATCTTACCTGACATTTTCCGGAGTGAGTCTTTCTAGGATCTGAGTAATCACATCTGGTTTGAACTCTGGCATCAGATAAGGAGCACTCAACACCTCATCCATAGGGTAGTCCTGCAACATTTAAACATACATTCTATATCATTAGAAGACTGTAAGCTCTGTAAAGGCAGAAAGGGATAAGTAGAGGTGGAGTTGGCACCATACATCTATTCATGTGACATATTTAAGCTTTGATCGGTAAAAGATTAAAAGAATTTGACGCAATTAAACAGGTCAACTATATTATCATCATTTTTGTAATGATCCTTATTGGATTCATGGCACTGAAAATATCAAAATAGAGACTGAAGTCTTTAGCTCACCTACATCTTTAATTTTAATGATGCTCCTCAAATAACAATTACTACATGTATATACTCCAATCTAAGCTTAATGATTTAAGAGGTTCTTACATGCAACAGATGTACCAGTTTGGTAAAAGGGCCTCTCTTCATCCCTATATCTAAACCTCATAGCATCAGGGTCACAACATTCATCATGAAAATCAAAGATATCTTCACCAATCACACAAGAAATAATCATATAAGGCATAATCACATATGATATCTCTGTATCTTTTAAAGTTAAAATTAACAGATATTCTTACATGCAACAGATGAGCCATTTTGGTGACATATCCTGATGGCCTCTCTTTATCCTTGAATCTAAACCTCATGGTGTCCAAGTCACGACATTCGTCATGAACCCAACTCTGTGGACCTTCTTTCCTCAGCATGTTCAGATACTGGAACATGTGCATGATGATATCATCTACGTGATCTGTTGGAAAAAGAAACAATACATAGCTTACATTGTGTAAATAAAAAAAATATATTCTAGGAATGTAATAACATCATTCAAGGTTGGCTCAGTTGGTAAAGCGTCTTTCTGTTGAATCAAAGCTTGTGAGTTCGAATCCAACCCAGGTGGATGACTGTAGCCTGCGTCATGTGTTAACGTGCCCCTCCCATTCAATAGACGTAGGCTATATTAGAGTGAAAAACACTTTGTCCCTCGGATAGGACAATAAATGGAGGTCCTGTGTAGAGGAGAATAACCACCTTTGCACGTTCTGAACCCACTGCACTATTTGTATATGAGTAGGGGGAAACCCCGGTGTAATGGTCTACCTGCACACCCCCAATCGGTTATACTGGGAGGAGAGACCCGAAGGTTACAGTGATTCAGTTTGCTTTTCCTCTCCCAGGCACAGGTGACGCCATATACTCCGGTTTTTGGAATACATTGACAGTGATGGGTCCAGAAGTGTATCATTTGTATGCATTAAATGTTTAAACCATAAAAAATATAGTATCAAAATGGGAAAAAAATCAAAACATACCAGTGTTTAATGACATCTCTTTCATGCAAATGTGCTATTTTCTTTTCCTACCCAAGATCACATCAAAAACGCAAGAATCGTACATACATGCAACCAGCATCTGTTATGTAATATATATAACATATGTATGTACAACTTTGTACGTTACATTTCTTACATCAAAAAAATTAACGGTTATGCTGAAACTTACCTAATCCTTCCTCACTCAGATCCACATTGATGATAAAGAATGCGAATCCTTTAGCTCCATCCTTCTCTCCTCCACAGAGTGTGTTGACCCATCCTCTAGCCTTGAGCTCTGAGAGTAGACTTCCTGGTCCTTCATGGCCCACCAGGTGGCCTAGATAGTGTGCAGGCTGGGATGAGGATAGACAGTCATTTATTAGGACTTCTTTTGAAAGCTTCTCTATCATCATTAATTTTTTTTTTTATAGATAGGTCATTTGGGTTATATGTTTCGAAGTATTCTCTTATAGTAATTATAATAATATTGGATACTTTTATAGCACACTTAACCACCACACAAGGTGCTAAAGGTGCTCAAATGTTACCCAGACTCTGCTAAGCTACCGTTTTCGGTGCTTACAACATTCAAGGAAATCTGTTTTGTCGGAGCCCATTTAACGCCTAGATGGAGAGTGGCAAATGTAGATTAAAGTCTCGCCAATGGACATAAGTGCCACATGGGACACAAACCGTGAACCATGACATCCAGAGTCCGAAGACTTTACACTGGACCATGACACATCTACACCTCCACAAGTGCAATATGTACATAAATGTATGAATTAAATTTCAAAAATTAAATTGTCACTAGGACTACATGTATAATGACCATGCATTTGCCCAGCTTTGACCAGCAAAAAATAATATTACATAACAATCAAGAAGAAGAAAAATAAGCTAAGAAAGATATAGATGCATTTTACATTTTTAGCTTCATAAGAAATGCAACATTTTCATAACCATTGATGTAGCTAGTGCACAGATACTCTGTATATGTACATGAATATTACACATTGAATCAAACTAGTTACCTTTGACTTGTAATGCTCTTGTAGATCAGGAATAGGGAAGCTGACATTCAGCTGTCTCAGATCTTTGACTGGCACTACTTCAAACTTCACCTAGCCATAGAAAATCAGACAAAAGAGTATGCATTCATTAGACCTGGAATTTCCTGGAGAACCCATTAGATTAATTTGTTCAGAAATTTTGGCTAGAACCCAGCGAATAAAGATTGCATGCTTGATCTTGTAGTTACAAAATAAAAGTCAGAAAAAGTCTGTGAATTTCATGATAAAAACGTGAACTTTACTTACTGGGTGCAAGCCAATATTTCCAGGAAGCCTAACATTCAAAGCTAATTAGATTGATTAACATAATTAGATATCACATAATCGTTTATAACAAGTAAAACATTTATTTTAATGGAATTTACTAATAGCTTAAACCTTACCTTGAGTTGGTCTGTTCCATAGGGATGTTCCAACCACTCAGGTATCATCACATTCTTGTTCTCCACATTAGCAAACAGCTGTAGGACTATCTCTGATAACTGATCCAAGCTCTCTATTTAAACAAAAGTCATCAATATTAAATATTCATGGTTACAAGAGTTTTGTGAGAATAATAACAATGATTTTGTTGTAAATAATTCTCTTTTGTTTCAACTATTGATACGGATCTGAAGATCATCGACTGTAAAGCAACGACTGACAGAAGATAGAATATGCTCTCTTTGATTACTGGAAGATTATACATGTACAATGCATGTCATTCATGGATGTTATGATTGCAATATATCTTCTAAATTCATAATCGTACTAATAATTTTCAATTCTTGTATAGCGCATATTACATAATTGTCTTAGTCACGAGAGCCTTACTAATATAGATACTGGAATGACTGAAACACACAAGAGCAGAAAATTGGAGCAACCTTTAAACAAAGAGACAATCTAATTTTTGCCATACATCCATTAATACTCAATAGCTTACAGCATATCGCTATTTTCAGCATCTCAAAACAGATAACCAAAGAGGAATATAAACACAACACATAAATGTAGACGCTGCAAGAATAAATCACATGAATATTTATGCATGGGTACATGTAACAAAGTCAACTATCGACATGGGCATGGACTTGATCAAACAAGACTCACCTCTACCCAGTACAGCTAAGCCCATGATGTTGGAAGAATAGAAATCAGAATGGAATTTGAGAAGCTCCTTACGGACATCGATGCCTTTATCCAGCGGTATCGTTGCTAATGTCTCCTTGTTTCCTATCATGAACAGAGACAATTCCATTATCAATCAATGAAAGGATTCATTTGAAATACTTCAACAAAATTTAGAAATTTACGCACCTGTATTAGCAATTTTTACTAAAATAAAAACTAAATTCCTACTGAAACAGGGTTAGGAGAAGATGACTTGAGCACACCCCACACACACACACTATCCTTGTCTGCCCCACCCCCAGAGATTGTGACACATATTCCAATTTCTTGTGGGTTTTTTTTCCCTTCAAATCTCAAAAACCAATTTTGTATAATTCAGGCAATTCATTATAAGATCAAATAGCATCTAATAACAGCAAGTCATATCAACAGTGAACAAAATAGATACACAATCATTTGAAAATGCCATCAAGGAAAGTTTGGCATCTTTAGTTGTCACTATTCCTAGTCATTAACGGAAATGAAGGCAGATATATACTTCTGACTTATATTTCAAACATAATTAAAAATCGAACACAAAATTTACTGCAGCACATCAATTTTAAATTTAAAGCCTAAAATACTCTATTTCCTGACTCACATCTGTTGGACGGGAGTAAAAACAACTTGCAATCACATTTCTCTATTCACACTATGCCTAACTCTAGGGGTCATCATGTGATTAATACTACAATCTAATTTCTCTATTTGTCTTACCTGTGTTGAATTTGCTGAAGGGATGAGATGGGTTAACCGTTCCCTTGTCGAGCTGATGGATCCTCCACGAATCAGCCTTAAGATTCTTGTCATTCTCAGAGTCGACTGCATTCACTTCTCTGTCTTGGGCATCTTGGTTGAAGAGAGGACAGTGAAAGAACTGGGCAAACCTATAACGCAAAGTGTAATATTATTATAACACACAGTCTACTTCCAAGAATAATCACAAATACACATTCAAGCAAACTGGTGCTAACATTTCACGAGAAATTAAATTTTATGTTTAACCACTATCCACCCAGGTTTACAAGTTTTGAAATTTACCACTGTCAGTATTAAACATGTCACTAGATCATATCCTCACTACATAGAGTTTGGCCAACTTGGTTTCACTTGGTTACAACATGGCCCACACTCTTTTGTTTTGTGCTTGCCCAACAAGCCAGTAGTCGCCATATTGTGTCCAACTCGAACCGGGTTGGCCAAACTCTCCTAATCAATAGCACTGATCCTCACCTATCAAGGGCTCCCTCTATATGCTCATAGGAGACATCAAAGTAGAAGTTAGTGTGTTCACCGCTGGTGTATGCATTGGCAAATCCTCCATGCTCATTCAAAAACTAGAAAGAGATATAGGAGACATAGAAATCAAACTTTCAGGACAGGATTTATTTTAGGGCTAAACTGATCATAAATTGTCCTTCAAATTGGCTAATGTCATATTTTTCTTGTATTGCTACATTGTTCTGATAAAATGTAATGTCTCTGAAAACCATATACATGGGCAAGAATGTTGTCGAAAAGTTGAACATTTTTAATTTTGATTTAGAATTTCTCAATGTTTTGATAATATACAGATTTCAAATCTTGTTTTCCTGTTTAAAATTCCTGACATCAAACGCAAGATAGTCGTGAAACAAAAATGGATGCAATTTGTGCGGAAATGTTTGCCCTTTATACCCATGGATCTGGCATATTTTATAGGGATCTAAATCAAAAGTTATTGAATATTGAGCCAAACTAGAAAATGTGGAATGATTGTCGCAAAAGGGTTAATACGGTACATGGCATGAGACACAGGGAAACATTGGGATGTCTTTTTAACCTAACATACAGAATGCTGCTATGGGTATACAAGTTGTAAAGTGGTTGTTAGGGTATTATTAATGCATTTAAAGCATTTGAAAGAAAACTGGTCCTACTTCTAAGGAATCTCTCTCAGGACAATTGAGCATCACTAAACAGGATATGCAGGTAAACAATTTTACAGGGTTTTCATCGTTCTCTTTTATCAGACGTGTATTGGGTTCATAGCTTGCACAGGGTCCTATTCAATTGACCTCAATCATTGATTCTACAAAATTGTTAGTTACACCATCATTCAAAGCATGAATCTGAGAACATGTGATAAGTACGCTGACAAACAAACACTGCCAACGGCGGCATCTAATCTTCAATTGCAAAATTTATGTTGACTGAGCCAACTACTTAATATGTCACAGATTTCTATCAAAATTAATTGTACATAAAGAAAGATTTTGTTAAAACTTACCTGTGAGTATGCATTTTCTGATGGATACTGTGTAAAAAAAATTAAAAAAAAGTTTAGGTAACTTGTGTAATCACAACTGTTAAATCATCAGGGAACAAATATCAAAGAAACTCTATTTTTAAAACAGCAGCAAAAAATTACAAGGACTATTTCTTTAATAACAGATGACTTGACAAATTATTAAATTTAATTCTTCATTAGACAGCAGAGCTGAAATAACTGACATCCCTGAGTAGGTTAACTGTCTATAAAGTACAGACCTGAAGTAAATCAAAGTAATAATAATAATTGTTTCATATAGCATCTTTTCCAATAGATACATTACATGTACATAAATGGGTTGGTTTCGCAAATAAATTTTTGATGGTAAGAAAAACATACCTTCTCAGTTCCAAGAAACAACATGTGCTCCAGAAAATGAGCGAGACCAGGAATCTCCCACGGATCGGACAAGGAACCTGCATGAGGAAGGAAGATAAGGAGAGAGAGAGAGATAGAGAGAGAGAGAGAGAAAGAGAGAGAGAGAGAGAAAGAGAGACAAGGGGGAGAGAGAGAGAGCGGGAGAGAGAGAGAGAGCGGGAGAGAGAGAGGGAGGGAGGGAGCGAGAGAGAGAGAGAGAGAGAAATAGAGAGGGTGGAAGAAAAGAGAGAGAAATAGAGAGGGGGGGGGGGGGGTTAGAGTTCATGGTAAAACCTTCACAATCCAGTACCATAGTGGCTTCACAATATCTATAAGTATGCAGAAATTACGTATTCAGCGATCTTGTATTTAGAATAACAAATAACTTCCCTTCATGAATAACACATTACTTACATCTACTTTGAAATATATACTGGTACACCTATGTTATATATTTATAACAATTTTTAATCACATTTTGTAAACCCCATCACTTGGTCTGCATGCTTTTCAATTATTTATGACTTTAAAATTTCTCAATAACCTCTATTAGATTGGTCAATTTGGTATAGAGTGTATTACATTATGAACATGTAGCTGGAAGGGCTCTTATCATATCAACAATAGAAAATACAGCTATGGTACAGTATATATATATATAATGCATCTATGGTACATAGATAAGGGTGTAGATTTCAGTGTTGTTCTTCCAATCGTGTTAATTAGAGGTCAGCACCAATTTTCACGGATCCAATACCTTTTCTACATAGACTGATTTTCTTGGTGATACAGTGAATGTGACTAGCCCTATTCTAAAAGGCTGTCTGTACTAGTTTGGTTAGGAGGGATTAGACCCAGGGCTCAAATTAATTTTTTGTCCACGGGGGCTCTTCCCCTCAAAAAAGAGCCCCCGTGAGCCTTCTCACGGGGGCTCTTTTAGTACTGACGGGGGCTCTTTTTTATACAAATATCCATTGAATTGGTACCTATGATACTCCTCAATTATTTGCTATTTCATCATTATCATTTCAATCAGCATTTTCCCTCTTACAAATTTACAAGCTACATAGCTGTTACTGGCCTGTGTATATAAAATATATACGCATACAACACTGATCTTTATGATGTCTTTAACGTGACATATCTTCTTCTCCCCTTGCAAACGAGAAAGAAAACAAGGGCATTAAAAGGGATTAAGCGACAAATAATGATTGTGATTCAAATTGATGCGAATATTTGTTTGAATAAGCACTGCTATTCACCTGAATCTTCTTTGTAAAAACAACTTTTACAAATCTCAGCCATGCTTACTGAGTTGAGACATTCCATTCAATGTAAAATACTCATTAAAGAATACACTTCTCCTAATCTGAAAGTGATCTTACAACACAGTGGCAGATTTGCATGGCTGAGATTTGTAAAGTCGTTTTTACAAAGAAGATTCTGGTGAAAAGCATTGCTTATTCAAAAAAATCCTTGCTTCAATTTGAATCACAATGATTATTTGTCGCATGATCCTTTTATTAAATAACCTTGTTTTCTTTTTTGTTTGCAGGGGGAGAACAAGCTATGTCACGTTAAGAAATCATAAAGATCAGTTGTATTATGCGTATATGATACCAGAACAAATGTTGATTATCAGAATGTCATTTTGGAATACCTCTATACAAATACCACATTGTCTTTAGCCCGTATCAGTATTAGTATGATCCAATATAAAGCTATTATTCTTTATTTAATTCAGTATACAGGTAGTGCTTTTCCTCAAAAATAGTTTTGCTATTTTTTTAGGGTTGAGACGCTAAGAAATGGTTTCAAATGTACATTACACGAACCCTGGACCATTGCAAAATGATGGTGGTTCTCTCTCTCTCTCTCTCTCTGTCTTTATTTTAATCATGCATTATCAACTACATATAAAGCAGCAACCAAAAACTTAGGGTTATCTGAGATAGGTGAAAGTAAGAGTTTTAGATTTGCGTGGACGTGCTACGTCCTTTTAAGGCACTGGCAGTCACATGTGACGTCCTTTTAAGCACTGACACTGCCTTAAAAGGAGGTCACACGTTGCAGTCCACGTTCTCATCGTGCAAATCTAAAAGTCCCTAATATTGATTTACTGGTCGAGGTTCATTATTTGCTGGTCATTTGAAATCACCAGATTTAAGTGGGTTAAAGCTTTCACAACGAAAAACTTTTCCATGACCATGTTTCTGTCCTTGCGCGATCGCCTCCAGCTCCAGCAGACATCGCGCGGCAGCGTGCATACGTACCGCTACTAACGGTGCAGTAGGCCTATAACCACTGCTGACAACGGCACTGCAGTTGCGAGCTGAATCGGTAATAATAGGCCTACTCATGAAACGAGAAATCTTGCACGCTAATCTAAGTTCCATTTCATTGGTTTAAGGTTTGAAAATTGAAACTCAATATTGTGTTAAAGTTGTAACAGAAAAGATAATCTTTATTTTATAATTCCACGGGGGCGATTTTTAATTTTGCAATCGCCCCCGTGAGCAACCTGACGGGGGCGATTATGTAGCTCACGGGGGCGAATCGTCCACCGCCCCGTGTATTTTGAGCGCTGATCATGGGGAACCAATGGTCACCGATTAAGCATTGTTTTCTATATAGAGGGAGCAAGTAGCTACAAGTAGTACAGTGGGCCTTTAAAGATAAAGACCAGTTATGGTCATGCGCTTGCATTGTGAAAGAAACATTTTGGAATTGATCAGAAAAGGTTGATCATCTAGCATATAAGTATAGGTGTGTACTGCAAGGTTCTGAAATCATCAAAATGATAAGAAATTTGGCCCAGGCATGGTAAAGTTACAAGCACTGTACACAGAAAGATGACTTCGGGACTAAGCGACATGTGCGTGACACGTGCGTTATCTCTATCAGGTCCAAATAGATAAAATAATGTACCAAATTTATCAATTAGTAGGCGGTTTCTTGGCAAAATTTGTGTGATCACGTATAAGTCAAAACATATTATTTCACATGATTGATAATAAGAGCTTCCATTTCATTTTTTGAGGGGGAGGCATTTCCAAAACTGGTCTTTGCCTTTGAGAACACCTACTTACCAATATTGACATCCATGGCAGCTGCAGACTTCTCAGTCGTAGGATCACTGATGAGAATGATCTTCATGCCATTGTTGAGTTGAAGACCTCGGTACAGTCTCTTGTCCTCTGCAGACTTGGTAATGTTCTCATACTGCTTGGCAATGGCTGGGTTCGCTGGGGCTGTCATTGTGGCAGAGGTCTGATATGCAGCAAAGGAGCTGCAGAAACGAAAACAAATGTATGAAAATGAAATTATTTTGTAGTTTCCAAAATATACATCTAGAAGCATGATAAACATTAAAGAGATCCATTTGATCAAGTTCAGTAAGACTTATACTCAAGCCTCTCCGTAAGCGGGCGCCGGACGATTTTTTTACTCAATATTCCCTGACTTTTTCAGCCCGGTAAGACAGAAAAAATGAGTCCCAGGCGCCGGTCATTTTTTATTTTTTGCGACCGGTCTGGAAGAATGATCATTTCCTGTTTCAGAAACTTTCACATGGCCAGCACACAAAAGTATGAGGCGGCTGATTGCCAGGACTGACAGTAGACTTTCTATTTCAATATTTTTAGGGCAAGGCCACTTTTCTGTAGGGCACATTCCTATATTACAGCACAAATAGGAAGAATTGGAAAGGGCACAAAAAATCTCCAAGGCCAATGAGAAGGGCATTGAGGCCAATCAAAGGGGCATCCAAGGCCATGGCCTTGGTGGCCTTGGATTGATTTAAGCCCTGATTGCCCTCTAGGTGCCAAAACATGGGTCGGTTGGTCAGATTTAAAAAAAACAAAAACAAAATAAAGCCGACTGTGGGTCGGTCGCAAAGGGCAATACAACATCTTTTTTTTTTTAGGCCTAGAGGCAATAGAATTATTATTTAAAGGTTTTTATATCTCTGTTCTAAGTTCTTACTAATTTTATGTATAGCAATGCCATGGCAGGTACACTGTGCTACCACTGCTGTGCATGATGTACATGTACTTTATACTATAGTGTACTGATACTAATGAATAATAACAAATAATTTAAAAGAATACTTAATTTCATTAATTTTGGAAATGGCTTCTGGTGCTGGAAAAACGGCTCCCAGTTCTATAAAAAAAATTACAGACAGAGAGCCGCTTTTTTCAGATAATTGGCTCCCGGTCTGCTTTGACTTACTGAAAGCCTTGCTTATTTTCTGCTTGTATTTCTTTTATACATAATACATGTAATGATGTATATGTCATCAAAATCTCAATGGAGACGGACGTACTGCTGTAACTCTCTTGCTTTTTGGCCGCCTCCCTACCTTTCTTCCCGGTTTTCTGACTTTTATTTCCATATTTTCGTCTAATTTCATCTGCAGTGACATTACTAAGTGGTATTACCTATAATAAACACAGATTTTAAAGTTGTTTTTCGGCGTCATTACGTTGATTTGTTCGTTGTTTTACGACCGAGTAGACAGCATGGCAAACCGCACGACAAGGCAAACCAAGGATCGGACCACTGCCGCCCATCACGCCCAACCCGCTCGCTCCGATGCCAGCCAACACGTGGCAGACACTAGCGAAGTAGAACCCCCCGATCGCGAACTCACTTTATCGGACATTCATCAGAGTATTACCAGCTCTTCAGCTATCCTAAATGCTAAGCTCGATTCACTTACGCGAGAGTTTTCAGCTATCACAACCAAACTCACAGATTTAGAGAATTCTGTAACAATGAATTCTGACAAGTTAGCCGAAATAGAGCAGAAAAAGCTTCCCGACATAGAAAGAAAGATAACCGACGAAATCTCTAAACTCCAAGACAAGCTGACGCTTATGGAAATTTATGGTCGTCGCACAAATCTCCTCTTCTATGGAGTGATGGAACCTCAAAATGAAGTCGTCACGCACACGCTTCGCGATACGTTCATCTACCTTAGCAACCACGCCGACAACGCCGCAAACATCGCCATAGTGAATGCCCATCGCCTTCCCCGTCGTGATAACAAACCACCAAACCAGGCCAACGGACCACCGGCCCCACGCGCCATCATCGCCAAGTTTGTCTATATGGAAGATAGAAACCAAATCCTTGCCGCGTTTGATGAGCGGCGCCGGCTGCGGGATTCCGGGCCTGAGCCAGACCGACAAACCCGAAGGATCACAGTCCGTACCGGTCTTCCACCCGCCCTCAAAGCCAGAAGAAGTATTCTCGCCAACATTGCCTACACTCTAAGAAAAGAGAAAAATGTGTCTACAAAAATATCTGTGAGTGGAACCGAAGTGTTACTTCATTGGAAAGAAAAGGGAACCGCAAATTGGAATCTCCACAGAGACTAGAACTTGTTATCCAAGAAGTATATGACTAGACCTCTCTGGTAAGCGTCTACAACTAGTTTTTAATTTACTAAAAGTAAAACCGATCACTTGCCTTTAAGTTTCTTTTATATCCTACAGGCCTACTTCTCTCAGTAAATGTACCTCTCACCACTTACTAAAGTTATGTTATTCAAATGATATCAAACTTAGATGTCTCGAAGCCCAAGATGCGGCTTACAATTTCATTTTGAAGTCTTGATTACGTTTAAACTGCCATATGCATTGTTCTAAATCCGAACTGACAATTATTTACAACTTGCGGTAGCCTAGCCCATTTGAGTTATTCTACCTTTAAAGTGGCGCTACCACTACTGTACATACTTATACAAATGACAACATCTAACCTTTTAATAAATTGATGCTTTTGTAGTGACTTGAACTTTACAAAGGTAACAAATGTTTATCAACATTGTAAATAGCCAGCATTTTAAACATTCCTTTTGTCAGTACTTTCCGTTCAGCCAGCTTCAATAACAATAACAATTTACAGCTGCACATTCTACACATTCTCTGAGTTAATTTCATCCATGGAACCACCCAGCAACAAGAGTGTTATTTTAGTTACTCCAATCGGACCGCACCTTATTGTTTTAATAAGCCAATCATCACACTTTTAGCGCACTTGGAAAAGTCTCCACACACGGATTTTACTCACTTCTCCTGTCTTCAGTTTCATCGATCGGACGTGTTTTACAGGAAGTTTCGGATTTTACAACAAGCGTTTTCTCATTGGTTTTCACGCTAGTAGCGAGTTTCATCATCATCATTTTATTTGAGGACTGAATCGCAAATTAGATTTGTCTTCTATTTAATTTCGGGAAGTGTGAACTGTAAGGTTGTGTGCCTTCATCATATTCGCGTTTCGCTAGCTAGCTAGTCGCGCTCCACGTGCTGATTCATCACTTCGCTATATCGCACTATTCTTCCTCTTCATGATTCGCCTTCCAGTTTCTTTCTACACTCGAGATATCAACTCTGAAGATTATTATTAACCGTAAGAATATTCATTTAGTTTCTCCACAACATTTATTCCTACACTTTTTTAACATAAATCAACAAACAAGCAATTCTTTCTCTCAGTAAATGTATCCCTAAACATTTAGATGGTAGATTATTATTGATTGGCAGGTGCTATATTGCACAGGAAATACTTGAGGTGAAATTTACACTGGCAGAATTTTGTGTAACATACAAATTTGGTGATATGTACCATAATAGAATGCAGAAATTGTTATTCTAAGTTAATTGGTATCAAAATCAGATACCTCGAAGCCCAAGATGTGGCTTTAAATTTCATTTTAAAATTGTGTTCATGTTTAGACTACCACATGCATTGTTATCTAAACAACTTTACAACTCGCAGTAGCATATCTGAGTTATTCTACCATTACTATCAAAACCTTGTACAAATGACAATGTCTAACCTCTGAACTTAAATGGATGCTTTATTTATGTGAATCAACAAATAAGCAGTTCTTACCCTTACCCTCAGTAAAACATTTACTAAATTTCATGTTATTACAATGTTCAACGATATCAAACTTAGATATCTTGAACCCCAAGTTGTGGGTTACAATTTCATTTTGAATCCTCTTTAAAAGTATAAACATTGAACTGATTATTCTTTATAACTTGATCTAGCGAAGCATATTGAGTTATTCTACCTTTTGAAGTGGTACTACCACAACCATACGTTTTTTGCATTATAAAAAGTGAGAATAAATGACAACAATTGAAGAAAAAAAGGGGGGGGGAAATCCTTGTTGATTTTACTGTTCTGATTAACCTATATAAAATTCAGTTGTACGACGCATTACGCATGTAAAATCCATGCCTGCGAACGGGAGGGGAGGGGGGGTGGCCAAAATCAAATCAAGAGCTTGCATATAGGAACATTGTATGTTTTATTTTAAGTCTTTTTTTTTGTATGCCGTGGTCAAAAGCATTGATTAAGGTGTTCTGTTATTCCCTATGTGTTTTTCTTGCCATGCCATACGCATACCTGAAGTGGTGTATACAAATTGGCCCGAATTCACAAAGCAAGGTTTGAGCTCAAACCTCCTTTTGTTTCGCCAAACCTCCTTTTGTTCTTTACAAACCAGGTTTGTAAAAAACGCGTAAAACGCGTCATATGACGTACGAAAACCAAGGTTTGTCGACAAACCTCCTTTGTGAATTTGGGCCATTGTGTTTAAATGTACCAAATGTCAAATTCTTAAATTTTTGAGGTTGATAAGTTACAATAGCTCAGCTGGTATTTTTGTTATACGAACTAGTCACTTTTATGTGCGTAGTCTTATGTACGAAATTTATTCGGAGAAGCCAGATTTATTTCTGTGCTTATTCTTCTGTCATGTATTCGCCTGTCTTTTTTTCTTATTCAGTGTTCTTTACATTCAATGCCTAGAGTTAAACAGATTCCTTAACAACTACTCATTTCGCCGGAATGTCTCTGTTATATATGATGAATGATGTAATTAACATGAATAACACTCAAGATGCCACAATAAATGTTAACTCTATGAATAGAGAAGAGGGTGACAACTCAGACATAGCAGCATTTCTAAATTCAACAACTCCTGAATTGCAGCTTGAAATCGATTCTAATGAGATTTTTCCTCAGCATTTGTTTACTGGTTACCTCCTAGAAAAAGAGCTTACGTCATCACCCTATTCAAATTCTAACCAACTCTTTGCCTCACATTTTAATATCAGGAGTCTTAGTAAAAATTTTGATCAGTTCCAGCTACTCATTAATGATTTAAAATGTAATCACGGAATTCTCGCCTGGGGTAACGCTAGTGGAAATTTAATAAATATGCTTTTTCGCATTCAAAAACGCGCCATTAGAAATATTAATCATGTAGGATACCTTTTTCACACCAACAACCTGTTCCATGAAAACAGAATCCTAAAATTATCAGACTTATTCTATTGCAATGTTGGTATATTCATGTACAATTTATCTACTAATAACCTACCTGAAATATTTTTACAAATGTTCCAGAAAAATAGATCCATACATGATTATCCCACACGTCAGAGCGACGCATACCACCTTCCACGTACCCGAACTGTTTTTGCCCAAAAAACAATTATGTTTACAGGACCCAGTTACTGGAATGCCCTCCCGTTAGAGTTAATTGAAAGTCCTTCCTTATATACTTTTAAACGTAAACTAAAGGAACTGCTTTTCAAAGCATATCTTGATGTCAATGTATGACCTTTGCTTGCAAGCGCGTTGTGTTTGGTTGTCGTGCTTTCGGAAATACGTATTAAAAAAACAAAAAAACAATAAAACATCTTTACTTCTATATCCGAGAGTGCGACGGCTGACACAGTGTGCTTGCTCGCCTCGTTATTCTATTTATGTATGTAATATACAAATGTATTCATTTTATTATATCTGAAATGTTAGTTTACCAGCTGAGCACACATTGTATGATAATTTAAGTACGTCTACTTTTATCTACACTGTAAGAAAGGAAGGGATAATATAAACAGCACCACCGCAAGTTTATTATTATTTCCTTTTTTATTTTTTGATTCATTTAGACTGGTCACTATTACATGTATCCGTTCTCCATTTATTACCACAAATACTTTACTGGGGCCTACAGCTTTACAAGCTTGCTTTCATGTAGGTCCCATCATATTTCTCTTAGTTAAATCAGTAATTCACATTGACCACTTATCTTTGTTATTATTATGTATTATTGAAGATAAAAACAATTTTGTACTTTATTTGAAATGTACATGTATAGACTATGTTTGCTTATGAGAAATATGAAAATAAATGAAATGAAATGAAATGAAAGAGAAGTCAGAAGGAGCAGACCAAATTTGAGTACAAAACGACGAAAGTACATGTACATCACTCATTGACGCCCCCGATTCGCTGTCAATTTACCAGTAAACTAAATTGATCTCATGTTTTGAACAGAGTTAGACCTAAATTTGAAGTAACAAGTTAACAATACATTATCAATTGAATTCCAATCACATTCCTACTGTCTGCAGGTCCGAGATTCGAGAATCCCACAAAAACATTTACAAATGTTTTTAATTTAATCATGTGCACAAATTTTGGATACCCCAAAAGACATATCATCGATGTTACAGATTCTCCATTATAAGTATAGACTGGTTCTACATAATGTGCCTTTCTAATTAAAAGACATAAACCCAATCAAAACAGGCACTCACACCTCGATCAGTCACAGCAGCAGTCAGAAAAGTCAGTCACAGAAAATGCACAGTCACTGACAATTCGCCTAAGCGGGCGCGCGTCCCTTTCTTGGCCGCATCTCTGCGGGAAGAGCTGAGCTCCACCGCTACCTGTTCACGTAGACAAGACAGTAAAATAGATTTAACCAAAGCATTTTACAAAATATGAAGAAAATAATTTAAACAAACCTTTCGAACGATGATTTTGCCAATCTAAATCCTCTGTATAATGTCTGTATACGAAACATCTAGTTCTTTAACCACAAACGACGCTTTTTGCCAACAATTAACTCTGGGAACGCCACATGTAGCATCTGTTGCAAAATTTACAAAATTACAAGCGACGCTAGGTTAATCTACCAGTCGTTTCAATTATTATTTTTTCACTTTAATCCTGTTTACTAAAACTTAAAAACTAGGGGCAATCTTTCCTCCGTTATGGGTCATATTTATCCGGTGAAATCTTGGTCCGTCCTGTGAGGGGGTTCTTGATTTATTTTCACCCCTAGCACCACCATCAGTTATCAGTAATACGTATGTTTCATGAAATTATGCCAAACTTTCATTCTTGTTTATTTTTTCTCCATTTATTCAAATCAACTTGCAAATGAACCGAAATCGCCCTTCAATATAGGACTACTTGCAAGCAATTCTATATTTTGAACAGTCGTATTCTTTCATTCATGATAATTTAAAACCCCTTCCATAGCTCTCCCCCTCACAATACACATCATAACTGCATCATTTATCTCTCATAAAGCTCTGAAATTGACTTCTCCTTTTTATTTCGAGTTGATAAATTGTCAAGAGGTTATCATGGGGACCTAGATGTTTTGAAAATGACAACAACAATAGCCACAAAGAAGTTATTACGAAGATACTTAATCACAGATCAGGAGATTTGGAGCGAGAAAAGAGCAGGAAGGCAGTAAAAACAAGAGGACTCAGAGGAAGAGAATCAAGATAAAGCGTGATTAATGAGAGGGGGAGGGAGGGAGGGAAAAAAAGAGAGACAGAGAGTTGATAGAGAGGGAGAGAGAGAGAGAGAGAGAGAAGTGAAAACACCTCCAACATCAATTTATGTATAATGTTAACATATTTACTTTTATTATTTTTTTACCTATTCATTTTTTTCCAGTATAATTTTTAGGACACTATAGGAAATCGTATGTAACAGAATAATTCACTTTCAGCCAATAACAACACAAAACAAGAAAAGCAGTTTATATGTTTGTTTTTTTCTTTCTTCAAATGGACCAACACCGTATATGCATAATAACATTTTTGGGAAAAAGTACATGTATTTTTTAAAAAATTCTAAAATGTTGAAAAGTCTGTTGTTGTTTTTTACAATACAAGATATTGTCCGTTTCACTTCTTTTGAAAATAAATGGTGTACAATTAAACAAAATTTCACCCCCCCCCCTCCTCCCCCCTCAGTCCAAAGTCTATTTGAGTAGTCCAGGTATGCTAACATTGTAGCTACCCCTGAATAATCAGAAGAGAAAGATGAATCTGGTATATTGTATCTCTACAAGAAAATGCTAGTTCAATGTTGATGAAATAATCAGGCAGGTTAACCATAACATAAACAATAATAGGTGATTTCAAGTTCAGTGTCGAAAGCTGGTGTTGGTGTTATAAAAACTCACTGAGTCCAACACCAAACATCGCACTTGAAATCATGCAGTATTCGGTTGAAAATACAAAATGGTTCTGTGTACTGTCTGATTTTACTTTGAAATGTAACCCTCATTACTTTAATAAAAGCTGATTTTAATATGAACAACAACAAAACATGAACATGCATATACATTAATGTTGTATTTGACGCAAATTATTGAACATACACATTGTACATAAACCGATCATTCCAGTCACACGTACACATACTGCACATGTATACATTGTACAATATAGAAGCATTTACACATGCATATCATACTACTGGAACTTCTACAGATCCAGACGTGATCAAACATCTCTCCCTTCTCATTGTGATTTTAGCTTGTTTTAGAATTAATAAACAACGATTTTTCCAACATTTATCAAACTGAATTCTAAAATTTCTGGCTAGTTTTCATAAAAGTGTACCAACATTTACTAGTCCTGGTCTAAACGGGCAAAGTTTAATGAATGATTTGAAGAGCACCAAGTGGCGATTCCATCCTGTAGACACTACCATAACTCAATTAAAACCAAATTTAATATCATTATGAAATCAATTTCTCTCATATTCATTCCATGACTGGATTCAATTCTTTGATACATCTTGTAATAGAATAACATTAAGCTTCAAGATGATAATCTTTGGAAACATTTGCTTTCAGATTAAAAACAGTTAAGAAGGGAATAATTATCTCATGTTATAATGACTGGCAAACCTTTCTGAATAAGTTTACAAAGATTTTAGAAATGCAGCAGAAATTATTACCTTGTTTATTTCAACAATGGCAATATAAAAATTCTCAGTCCTACATCGAAGTACGTACTTACACATATAGAAGAAGAAAAAATAGATATTTCAATTCGGCTTTGTACTGGTCTTCTTTTTGCATCCGTTTTTAATTATTTTCACCAATTTCCTTGCAGCATAATTACGTTAAAGACCGTCAATACTACTGGGCCAGAAGGGATTAGACCGCCCAGCCAGGTCCCCGACAGGTGGCTTTCTCATCAACTCAGCTCTCAACTAACATAAGAAAAAGAGGATCATGGGGGACCAAAAGGCACCGATTGGGGAAGTTTTCTATATAGAGGGAGCAAGTAGCTACAAGTAGGACAGTGGGGCTTTAACAAGTACATCAAACCTCTTTTTTGTACCGGCAAAGAATATCCAACCATGAGACTATATATCTGATGATGGTGATTCATTTTCATGAGATATATCAATGAACATACACTGACTCATCCAGAATATGAATTTTGTAAAAGGGCGAATGGACAAGAGTTCCCTCTTTAAATTGGCAACACTAAGATTTCTAGACAACTGGTACATAGGTGTAATTGAATGTACATGTAGCTTTTGAAATATCAATATACCGGCAAACATTACATGTCACAGTATAAATTACAGATGTGATTGTAATTTTCAGCATCTACATGTAATGCCAATTGTAATGTTTTAAATGTTAATTCCTTGCTTAAAACTTAGTTCAAGCTAATCTTGAGTTCTGGTGATGGGATTGCATGTCAAAGGAGAATTATGTGAAATGTATCATGCAGAAGATTGGTTGGTTGAACCAGAAAAAAAAACATAAACTAAAGGCCGACAAAAACTTTATGCAAATCATATTCACTGAAAACCATATCTTCTATTGTTCTACACACAGTCTGGATGCCTAGCTTCAGTTTCTCATCTTCATTTAATCAATTTTAAGCTCTTATCAATTTTCTACAAAATTTGTTTGGCAGATATTGTTTCTTTTAGAAATTCAACAGTTAGTGTAAATATGCTTTGAATTTGTGGAAAAAAATTCTCATCATGACTAGATTACAAAGTTGCCTTGAAAAGAGCAAATACAGCAACAAAAATGAAAAATAAGTAGGTAGTACTTTTTGGTCTTTTGGTCTTCCTGCTCTAGCATGGCGAGTTATTCAGAACATAGATTTCTTACATTAATAGATAATGTACCATGCCACAATATGCGGCACCACATTTCTAAATGGACAAACATCATTATCATCACAATTTAATCATTTAACATCTAATGTTCTCATGCTGTGAGGTTGGATGTTTCATTTCCTTGATGGCCTTTACCCAACCCCACTGTCTTCAGTATTCACTTAAGTGAGGCCAGATAGTCACATATCTTCCTCTGATGTCTCCTTCCAAGTTCTGCAAGGTCTGCCACAGGGTTGGAGCCTGCGACCGGGAAATTCATTGCTCTCTTTAACCAGTGGCTTTTCTCTGGCCTACCCACATGTCCAGACCATCTCAATCTACCTATCCTTATGTCATTCATTTAAAAAAAAAAGATAAAGATCTCTGTACTAAAATGTTGGTGACAAAGTGGCATTGTAGTGCTGTTCATCTTGGATCTGAGTCTCATCGTCATCATCGTTCATTTCATTGTTCACTTCAGGGTTTTGTGACGCCTCCTGGCTCTTCCCTTCAGCTTCTCTGGATTCAAGCGTCCTGTTATCAGCTCCGTTCACGCTGCCCTGCGCGGGGCCTTCCATCGAGGAACTGTCCTTTCCAGTAGAGTTGATGCTCGATGATCTGCTTTTGGACAGGCTCTGCTTCATGTCCTTAAGGAGTCCAGCAAAAGGATCGGACGGTTTCGCTTCCATAGGTTCCTCTACCACGGAGTTGTCCGGTATGGACGTTCCTAGAGGCGACCGTTTCTCTGCAGATTGGTTGGCTATCGTTGGATGCGATCCAAGGCAATCACCGGATGCAGATGATGATGTATTAGAAACGGTGGAGGTGGGTTTTGTTTCCATTGCTAGAGGCAACTGTTTCTCATACGATGTTGAAGGCGGCAGCCTGGGAAGGCCTGAATTGTAAAAGAAAAAAATTACAGATAAAGCAAAGTTTTGGTAAATTTTGAAAATTGGATGGATAGTAATTCTTTACAATTTTGATATATTTGGATGCCCCTGTGGATGTATTATAAGCACAAGAAAATTTAACCCCTAAAACACTTCTGCTTTCGAGATATTGAATAATCAAAAATTTACTGGTGCTCCCGGTAAATTTCAAATATTTCGAATAGTGTCTATAAGGCCATTCCATGGTAGCCGGAACCATGAAAATGTCAGAATATGCATTTATGATACATAATTTCCAAACGGGAATAGCAAATCGTTCGAATGTATTCAAGAAATATTGTTTTCAAGCAAAAGTAATATCAGTCTTGAGAGGGCGCTATACAACATAATGAGTTTATTATTTACAATTTCATCTCTTTAGATTCGTTTACAACCGCGACAACGATCATCGAATATTATAAAATCGCATTTGCTTCCAATATGTTCATTTGAACTAAATTCATGACCCCATACCAAAACTTTGTAGTACTTAAAGTGACACTGTACTGGTAGTCAAGGCAGAACATACATACATGTACCAGTAAATGTTACCATATTTTTATGGCTTGTTCCTACACAAGGTAGAATATCATGTTACAAATGCTTCTGAGGTAAAAAATAAAATAAAATCACTATAAATGAACCTACCTATTGACATATTACCAGGCAATATAGAAGGCACAAAATCATTTTGATAAATATGTGTACTGCGCAAATCATTAACATGTGTCAAACTGATTGGTTTCCGTGGCACCACATACCTGCATTGTTGTTGGTATTAAGGACCTGTCCAGCCACTCTTTGTCTCTCGGCCTTGTCGTGTCTCTGTCTCTGAGCTCTTCGTCTCAGCTCACTGACCTCTTGACCCAGAGTACCAAGCCTCCCTTCTGTATCGGTCACTTTCTGTTTCACTTCCTGTAAAGCAGTAGAAAATAGTCAAAGGTTAATGGAATGGTATGTGACCCCAGGGACCCATTTCACAAAGCCTTTTTCAATGACAAAATTCAGTGACAAATCTGCTGATAACCAATCAGAAGCAAGGATTTCAGAAGCTTATAACAAAAACTGTCATTTGTCACTGATGACAAGTTTTGTGAAACGCCCCCCTGGTCTTATCTCTGGCCACAACAGCTTTGGGCATGATTTTTTGTCACAGATGTATGGTTAGGGTTGTAATTGAATTTAGTTTTTGTACTTCAGTCACACCCCCAAACCGACTCAAGACCGCCCTCTAAAGGACCGATTCTTATGTTTATTTTGTTGGTCTGTTGTACATGAAGGTGTGGTGTGGGTCTCGTTGGTATGACTGAGGTATTAGGTTACTTGTAGGTTTAGGGTTGGAGATGGGGTCAGGTATACACTGTATTGTTAAGTCCAGAGTTTACAGCATGAATGTGATTAGTATCGGATACTAACCATGGAGGAATAGTCACTAGAGTATGTGTAATAGAACCGATTGAGGTATCATCATTTATTTCAACAAATAGAAATACATGTAATATCCGGTTAAAATGAGTAATGAAGAAAAAAAAAGTCATGAATTTCATGCCTTGTTTGTTTTTCTCTCTTTGAAATGATTGCATGATAAATTTGTATACTTTTTTGCAATTAACAAATTCCAGCGGGCAACGAAGATTGTGTTCCTTATTTCCTTTTAACATGAATATATGTATTTACTTTGCTATATGATTTGTTTTGCTTGCTTATGGCGTAGAAGGCACAGACTTTATAGTTTTAACACGTACATGTACATGATAAGTTTCCAAAGGTTAGGAAACATTTCATAAATGATGAAGAAAGGGAATACGAGAACTTTGTGAATTAGACCAGGGGGTGTTTCACAAAGATCCTAAGTTGAACTTATCTCTAAGTTGGAAAGCCGTTAGCATCTATGAAAATATTTTGTAAAAAGTTATTTTAAAAGGCATAAAATGTTGATTCAAATCCTTCATGTTTTCTATTATCAAGGAGATTTCTTGATGTGGAATATTATTATTATTATTATTATTATATATAAAAAGTCTAAAATACTTGAATATTTGCTTTTGAATATACTTTATTTTAACGCTACAAAGGGCTCTCCATAATTTTTAAGTCCAACTTAGAGTTAAGTTCGGCTTAGGATCTTTGTGAAACACCCCCCTGGTCTAAGTTCATTTATGTATTCCTACCTGAAGTTTGTTGTGGATGTCATTATTGAGGTTCCGAACCGTCTGAACACCAGAAAGCGTGGCATTTGGACCCAATAATTGAGTGCTGATTCGTTCAAGAGAGATGGAGAAAGAGAATCAGTAAAGAGAAATAAAATACAGAAGGTAAAAGAAAAGCAGTAAAAAAGTTTTGTATCCATCTTCATCAGTAATGTTTAATAAATTTTAATTTTGTATACTTTCAATATTTTCTTATATTCATCAAGTTATTTTTCTGGTACATCAATGTTGTTTTAATGAAAGGATATGATGTACAAAGAAAGTACATGGTCATAGTTCGGATGAAAGGTAGTAACCTATTATTATTGTTTATCATTTTTCTTTATATCCTCTTAAACCATTCTTAAATCTTTGTTCCTTGGAATTCGTTATGGATATAAAGATATTTTGCAATTAAGAGTCAACATATATTTCCATGTGAAAACATATGTAAATCTTCCATATTCTTTTTTATTTTTTCTACAATTATTAGAAGAACATTTTGTTCTTTTCATATTCTCTTCAGATCACTGTCCCTGGATATAAGAAAGGGTTTACAGTCAAATCTGTCTCAGTGGCCACCTGTCTATAGTGGCCGTGTATTTTGTCTCCCTAGAGAAAGAAAATATATGCTGTACAACCTGCCTAGAAAGGCCGCTTGTCTACAGAGGCCACTCTTTCTGTTTCCCTTGGATGACCTTAATAGACAGGTTGACTGTAATTGTTTATATAATATGTTGGCACTGGAACTTAAGGATGACTTTCATTTAAAAAATACAGTCAAACCTGTCTAAGTAACCACCCCTCTACAGAGGCCATAGACCTGTCTATAGCGGCCATGTATTGTGTCTCCTTCAAGAAAGACATGTCTGGCAGAACCCATCTACAAAGGCCACCTGTCTACAGTGGCCACTTTCTCTATTTTCATAGAGCGGCCTTTATAGACAGGTTTGACTGTACTAAATCTTCTATAGTCCTTTTGAAGTGTCACATAAATTGTTAGAGGGATAGATCTAGCAACTAACCTGTAGTTTTTGAGGATATGTTGAAAGCCTCCATTGTCAGAAGACAACGAAGATTGGACCGGTGAGAGTTTGTACTCTGATTCAGCTGTGTCTCCTAAGTTCACTACAGACACCTTTCTTGCTGAAAAACCACTGTAATAAAAAAGAAAATTACAAAAAGGAAGGTGATGAATAAACCTGTCTATAAAGACCACTCGAGGGAGACAAGAAAAATGGTCCATATAAACCGATGGTCTTTATGTACAGGTTACTTTATTACATGTTTAGATGAGAAACTGTTTCAAGGGAAACCAAAAAATTGTGGTCTTTCTATACAGGTGTCACTAAAGAAGGTTTGACTGTACTACATTTATTTGTGGTATTCACAAGTTCTTTAATGCTATGCATCACATTTCACTTTTATATTTATATATGCTATGCAGTACAGTTTGCTTAAAATTTACTTGGTAGAATCGGGGGTCTACTGCCTATAACAAATTTTGTAATTTAAGTCACTCAGAAAACCCTTTTTATCAGTTCTAGAACAGATGGATATCACAGCACTACAAGTATCTGTAGGTGTGTATCGTCTGTACACAGACTATAGCCAATGACTACTCCTAACTAAGGTTTTGATACTTCTAGCATGGACAAGTTCAGGGTATTTTGTCCCGTATGTTATCAACAACATCAACAAATTTTGTTTGAGTCTACAGACCTACTAGAACAGCAATCAAACAAAATACATTTATGTGTAAAGGAAAATGAAAGTTTCATTTTCAATTCTATGAAACTTAATGTATGGGATAAGAATGACCAAATAGTTTTGACTTTGGTAATAAGTAATATGTTAAATTTTGATATCTTGTGAGAATTGTTATGTAAAGGTATTACAAATCCACTCCCCCTCAGTAATAATATGTAATATCACTCAGTATGCCCCAATACAGATAAGACCCAACCTGCGAAATACCAGACCTCCTTCCAAGACATTTGTTTAATAACTTATTCCAGCTAAATAAACCACGAATTGTATACATCTTTAAAGTGCCCCTAAACCACCAAAACAAAAGACCTCCTGTCTTCCTCCCAATAACCAAAGCCCCCTTTGTTTGGTAAGACCCTTTCCCAGAACAGTGTTAGCTAGAATTGACTTGTCTTTGTCCCTTTGACACAATGTAACCTAGCCTCATATTCCTTGTGTCCTCCTGTATAATTATGAAAGGTTCTGGCTTTCTGAGGGAGTTCAGTTTTGATCACCATTAGATCAAGACCCTCTTTCTAGCTGGCTCTCTCTTCATCTAGTGTTTTATATATGCAGTTCATAATGATGTGACGGATTTGATTCTCCAAAGTTTGGAGATAATAAATACTCTCATATAGCTCCGGAATTACAAGTCTCTCCTTGCTTCTTTATATTTATGTACCTCTCCTACTGCCAATAACAATAGACCGATCCCAACACAACAGAATCTCAACACCTCTCCCTACAATGAAAGTTCAGCTACTTTTAGTACTCGACACAAGATTCTCTGGACATTTAAACCATGAATTTGACAGCTACAATGTATGTAAATACAGCTGTAAATGAGAGATAAAAGAGTTTTTAGAACACGGCATAAGATTCTCTAGACAATCAAACCATAGGTATGAAAACTATGTGAGAATATAACTCTGAGACGACTTACTTGAAGCTGTATGTGAAAAGCTGATAAGGGAAGGAGTGAGTGGCTAGGTTAGAGGTGCTATTGCCAGAGAAGATTCCCAAGATGAAAGTCGCCGGTTGAGGTTCGCCTGGTAGACTGGCTAGGAGACGCTGATAGAGGGCCATCTCTCTCAGTGAAGGCTGCAGCATTGTGTTGCGTCGGAAGCGATAGAAACCGATGACATTCTGGGAAAGAAACAATCCAAAAGTGACAAAAATTTGTCTCCTATATTCATGAAAATAACTATTAAAGGAAAGCAATCACTGATTTCACAAAGTGCATTGCATAAAATCATTACAACTGGAAACAGAGATTTGTGATATTCTTTTGAAATAAATCTCATAAATCTGAATCTAATGACATAGGCATAAAAGGATAAGAGAGAGAGAGAGAGAGAGAGAGAGAGAGAGGAGAGGGATAGGAGGTAGATGAAAGAGAGAGGAGAAATAAAATAATGAAGAAAGGAATGAAAATGTTGGTCTACGTTATCTACTTTCTTAATTATTCTGCATATACATGTACCTTGTAGTTTGATCGAAGTAGAGCTAACATCTTAATTTGGTCAACATGGCCAGAGGTATCATAGAAGCTGAAAGAGAAAGAGATACAATACAAAATAGTATTTCCCTGAAAATAATCTGTAACATAACTGTAACTGTAACACAAATTATATTACATAAATGGGTTTTTCTTTAGTACAGTGCTGTAAAAATTGTATGACCTGCCATAAGTTCAGAATGGGACTAACTTAAAAATAATTTAATTTTCATATAGCGCATGATAGTAATACTCATGACATCTCTATGCACCCTACACAAAAGTAAATCAGTGTATTTTAGTTGCCATGAGGAAGACAAAGGCAATGCTTATAAGTAATACCCCAGTGCATTTTGGATGTCAATGGCAGCTGAGCAACTGCAAATTTTGGGCACAGCGTATTTTAGAACTACATGTATGCAGCCTTCTAGGAACCTAGAAATGGTCATACATGTACATACCGGGTACATGTAAATAATACATACCTGAATGGCTCTCTACAGTGACAATGGGAGGTGACATCTGAAGGGAAGAAAAAGATTGGATTTAGAGGAAAATTGTAAAGTTGTTTTCTCTTTAATTAGTTTAGCTCATTGATGGACCTGGAATTAAAAAAAAACAGACAGACAACATACTTGTTTCGTAATATTTTTTTTGTTGATAAGGCACCCAAAAGCAGTATTTACTATACCGTTAAAAAACAAAAAACTGAATATACTGCCTGTACATGTATATACATCTATATAACAGAACTTAAGTTTACAAATTATCTTTGTCCCATATGTATTCCTCATTAATATACACATGAACAATCACAATTTGTACAAGAATGACTTCTAGAATATCAATTTTACTGTTGCTAAACTTAGTTTGCCTCTTCCATAATAAAAAGGTAACATTTGAGGACATCCAAACTACTTATACAAACAATCATTTTTACTTTCTTTTGTGAAGTTAAACAAGGGACATTTTCCCACAATGCAGTCAAATACTATCCCAATGGATACTTAACCAACATGTACTTTTTAAAGATAAAGTTGAGATCTGATCATGCGATTACATCGTGAAAGAAACGTTGTGGAATTCATCAGAAAAGGTTGATCATCTAGCATATAAGTATTGGTGTGTACTGCAAGGTTCTGGAATCATCAAAATGATAAGAAATTTGGCCCAGTCTTGGTAAAGGTACAAGCACTGTACACAGAAAGATGTATGGGGCTACACAAACACATGTGGCATAAAAATCTGTACAGATTTTCATGATGTTACATGCCATATTTAGAATATTAAGGCATTTGAAGAGCCATGCTTTTCAGAAAACATTTTTTCTCTGATGTTCTTCTACACTTGCATAATACAATGATAATGCTTACAAATTATTTTTCACCTCTTCCTAGAACTCAACCTTCTCAATAAGCAGCTACATGTACCATGGAAGTAATCTCTCAACCACTCCACTTTTGTGGACTTTCTCAAGCCAAGCCATAATTTTACTTACTTATATCAACTTCTTCTGTTTTTCTGTCCATTTGAGAATCACTGATGTCTGTTGTCTCCCTGTATGTGACTTCACCAATAAGAAATCCTTCCTGCAAATAATTATATCAAGAAAAATTTAAAGATTAAAAGCAAAAGTTGGAAACTTGTAATATTGTTCAAGATTTGGAGATATGTTTTTCTTGTTGGTGTGCATTTGTCCACAGTGTACACAAACTGCATACATATATTCAAATTGGCTTGGACTTTTATTCCATATTTACACTTCCTCTCTCGGTCTCTCTCTCTCTCTCTCTCTCTGCCTAGAATTAAATGAGTAAATAAATAAACATGTATTTATGTTCTGATTTATTTCTTGGGCAATAGATCCAATAGCAATACACAGAATTTATGTAGCATATTTCATACAGATTTAGTCTAAAACATAAACAAAATTAAAGGTAAGTGCTGGTAATGATGGAAAAAATTTTTGTTCATACTGTAACGGCGACTTATATTGTTCGACAATAGGAAGTAAAAGCCCCAAAATATATTAGCCCCGTTATATGTTGAAGTTTAGTTGTATAGGGATGGCCGAGATTCAGGGAGAATAAACACTCGAGAGGCAGGAATTACAGTTGAAGAGTTTATTACAGCAAACCCAAACACATTTACAAGGATGGATAAAAGAGAATGTCTTGCGAATCCGAGAGGCAAAATAATGCAGCAGGCGTTAGAACAGGCTAAAAAGATAGACTAACATGACTGGAGACCATTTCTGAACAGGTTGGCTCTCTATCCCATTCGTAAAGTACTCTCGCTTCAAACACTGTGATGACAGGCTTGTCACACTAACTGACACAATTAACTCTCGACAGCTCACTAGTTTCACTCTTCACTGACAGATTCTTCGCTCCTAACTGCCTAAGATACGAATGCAGTCTGTCTTATATACCCTTCGAGAGAAATAGAGAAAGACCAGTCATGTAGGTCACAAGTATCGCGCTGCGGAGTATTTAGGGAGAAGGGCGTCATTGAGCACATAAATAGAGAGCTCAAAGTCATATTGAGAGAGAGGATACAAGGACAGGAGAAAGTCAAGACAAGAAGCAAGCTGAAAGGGCTGAAGGACAGTGCAAGGTTGAAATGAGAGTTTCGGGCAAACAAGAGAGAAGGGAAAGAGCGAGAGCTCTGAAAGTCAGGCAAAGTCAAAGTGAGAAAGGACAGAGTGAAAGTTCTGAAAGTCAGGCAAAGTCAAAGTGAGAAGGGACAGAGTGAAAGTTCTGAAAGTGAATGCAAGGTCAAAGTGAGGAGAGAATAGAACTCCGCTGTATGCAAAGCAATTGAGATCGAGCTGGCTGGATTTGTAATAGCGTAATTATAGCAAGACATCCTTAACATATACTAGTACAATAATCATGGATAGTTGTAAAGTAGACTAAAGCATTGAATAAAATATATACATAATATTACATCAAATATCTTAATCAAACTGCGTGACACTATCCTCCCCCTACGGAAGATATCGCTGTCCCCAGCGATGAAAAGGAGAATGAAGGAAAAATAGCAAGAAGAACAGAAGAGAAGGATAAGAAAGGGATAAGAAAGAAAAGCAAAAGCAACAGTAAAATTATGATAAATAAAGCAAATATCGAAAAACGAATACGCAACATGCACCAGTATAGTAAAATGTAGGATAAATACAAATGTCCTTAAAGTCGAACTCTCACAACAGACGCAATGATACAAAAGCATAACTTAACATCTATAGTACAACAAACAAGTCACGGAGAAAGGAAACCAAAGAGAGACTACAGGAATGGAGAGAGAAGAGAAGGCAAGGTGATGACAGCGAAAGAGACAACAGAGAAAGAGATAGAGGGAGAGAGAGAGAGAGAGAGAAAGAATCAGGAAAAGAGAAGGAGCGTCGTTTATCAAAAGGAGCCTTATGTACACAACCAACAAGTTCAAGTTTGTTCCCTATGGTATAACACTGCAAAGATAGCATGGAAGAAACAGGCAAAATAATTAAGCCAATGGCCTGAGCCTCGAAGAAGATGTATATACATTACCCCCCAAAAAGAGAAGACTTACACAGCAAAGGAATGTGACCTTTACTCATATATTAACAGTTGCAGGTACACATGTATAATGAATTAAAGATAACCGAAGATACAAAATACTATCTGACCTAATCTGACTATTAAAAATGCATAAATAGAAAATAAATGAGTACATCGTGCGCTATATGGCGCAACAAAACAAAAACATTGTAGCGGGATGTAACCAATTAAGAAAGGTAAGAACAGCGAATTTGCGACAAGCAGTATAATTTCATGATAATGTGAAGGAACTTAAAACATACCGAAAACTTCGAGTAGTACATTTTCCCGCAAGTAGATACAAAAGTTAGGGCACACCCTATGTAATGTGGCAGAAATTAAATAGCAAATGGTGTAAAACATTGAAAATAGCATAACATCTGAAAGAGTACTAAGAGTAAACACAGTGGCAATAACTCCACCCAGTCACATAATTCTAAAATAGATGATAAGAGAAAAAGACAGAGAGATAGGCACAGAGAGAGAGAGGTAGGGAGGTTAGATAGAAGAAACGGAAAGTACAGTAGAAAACAGGCAATGGCAATGTACGAACAATATAACAATTGAAGAAACAAAATAATTAGATCCAAATAATTATAGAAAGTACGCATGGTAATCATTATGGAGCTCTCATAGTTCCATTAAATATAAAACTGACAGTTCGTCCTAAACAAATCCTCCGATATAAGGTAAGGCACTCAATGTCCGCAAAAAGAAATATAGTCTGGGAAAAGTTAGTTGTCGTCAGCCAACAGTTCGGTCAGGAGTGACGATGCCTGGTGGATTTTCTTCTTTTGCTTTCCAAGCAAGGAAACCAGGTGGTTCACCCCCGATGTGAAAGTCGACTGGATATGTTCGGCGTAAGTCCTGGAGTTGTCGTCCCTTCCTTCTATGACGTCAGCTAAATTTTGGACGCTTTTCTCCATCGTTTTTATTTCGGTCCTAAGCCCAGCAATCTCGGACGAAAGTCGGGCTTCCATGTTTGAAATTGCTTCAGAAAGTTTTGTATCGGGGTCGGTTTTTCTCTCTGTTGAATATGTCCCTCTCCTTTTTGTCGGCCTCTTCCCATTCGGAAGAGGCGTCGGCTCGAATGCACTATTGGCTGCTTTTGGTTCCCCCATGATGTCATGTAAGTCTGTAGTTGTGAAAGGGGTAACTTCCCCAACGTTCGAAATGGGAGAGTAGCTCTCGTCCAATACGGGTGTATTTTGTGGTGGGTACTGGACAAGTGAAAAAGCATCTCCGTTAAAATGGGTAGACATGGTGCTATAGCCAGGAAAAGTTTAAAATTAATCCAATTAATCACTAGATGATCAAGCTAGACAATGTTAAATTCCAGAGATTGGTCCAATTAGAGAATTTAGAGATACGGCTGGTAGAAGGGAAAGCACAATATAAAGTCTCCACCAAAATCAGACAGGTCTCTCTTTGGTGATAAAATGAAGCAGAAGTGACAAACTGGAGGCCAGCACACCATTTCACTAGGCATTTAGAAGGAATCAACAAGTTCATGCCTGGAGTATATCATCTATGGTAATTTAGTATACAAATCTGTCAGGGGCTATAGATCTTCGTGAAGAGCGGCGAGGGGAGAAAGTGTCTTTCTGGCTAGTCTGGGTACCAGTAGTACAAGTATTAGAAAAAGAAACATTATTACGAACTTTCTTAGATTGTTCCTTTACCCATTGTGGAATGTCATTAGATTTGAAGGGTTTAAGACGATCATGATGCAGGACTTTAAGTTTTCCCTTCTGTTGCGCTTTAATCTCAAATACTAAGTCACTCATTTTTCTGGTCACCACACATGGACCAACCCAGAAAGCAGACTTCAGTTTTGGGGAAAGTCCCTTCTTTCTAGTTGTGTCTAAATAGTAGACTAAATCCCCTGGTCTGTAGGTGTTTACTGATAGTCTCGCATCATAATCTCTCTTCTGTCTCTGAGTTTGTGAGGCCAGATGCTCACGGGTTAAGTTGTATGCTTCCTTCATCGTTGAGACGATGTTGGCGGCGTATTCATGATAGTCCTGGTCATTGATGTCGGGCTTGTCTACACCAAGTGCTATTTCAATTGGGGTTCTAACCTCACGCCCTAACATGAGAAAATTTGGTGAAAATCCAGTAGTCTCATGAATAGTGCTTCGATAGGCTGATGTCAAGAGCGACAAATTTAAGTCCCAGTTCTCCTGCTTTTTGTCAACATAAGCAGACATCATATTAACAAGTGTTTGATTAAATCGTTCAATCATACCGTTGGATGACGGGTGGTATGGTGTAGTCCTTGTTTTCGTTATTTCCAGTAGCTGGCAAACGTGCTGGAAAAGTTGTGATTCAAATGTTTTGCCTTGGTCTGAATGTATTTCCAACGGTATGCCCCATCTAGCGATAAATTCATTCACCACGATGTTGGCGACAGTACGAGCTGTTTGATCAGGAATCCCATAGGCCTCGATCCATTTGGTAAATACATCTCCCACTACCAAAACATAACGGTTACCTTGGTTACTGATGGGAAATGGACCCATGATATCGAGAGCGACACGATCCATAGGAAATCCCGAGTTATATTTACCAAGAGGCCCCTTTGGTTTTGATGTCGGACGCTTGCGGGCACCACATGTTACACAATTACCAATATAAAGTTTTACAGATTCTCTCATATTTAACCAGTAAAATCGTTGGATTCTACTGAAAGTTTTTTTAACCCCGAGATGCCCTGATAGCACAGACTTGTGATTAGACTCCAAGATCTGATCACGCAGTATGAATGGGACGACGAGTTGTCTAGTAGTAGTTAATTTATGATTAGTGACATGCCGTTTGTATAGAACACCGTCAATTAATTCAAGCTGAGTCCATAAGAGCCATAGATTCCTGACGATTGGGCTTTTGTCATGAACTAAGGCTCGATTAGGTCTTTCAGGAGACTCCGAAATCCATTTGTAGATTATGCCGACGTCGGGGTCGTCACGTTGCATTGTCAACAAAGTTTCTCGGTCAAAATTATCACGCAG